TCATGGTGAACACTGTGGTGAGACTCATGGTGAACCCTGTGGTGAGACTCATGGTGAACACTGTGGTGAGACTAGTGGTGAACCCTGTGGTGAGACTCATGGTGAACACTGTGGTGAGACTCATGGTGAACCCTGTGGTGAGACTCATGGTGAACACTGTGGTGAGACTCATGGTGAACACTGTGGTGAGACTCATGGTGAACACTGTGGTGACACTCATGGTGAACCCTGTGGTGAGACTCATGGTGAACCCTGTGGTGAGACTCATGGTGAACACTGTGGTGAGACTCATGGTGAACCCTGTGGTGAGACTCATGGTGAACCCTGTGGTGAGGCTCGTGGTGAACACTGTGGGTAGAGCAAGGGTCATGGTGAACACTGTGGTGAGGCTCATGGTGAACACTGTGGTGAGACTCATGGTGAACCCTGTGGTGAGACTCATGGTGAACACTGTGGTGAGACTCATGGTGAACACTGTGGTGAGGCTCATGGTGAATACTGTGGTGAGACTCATGGTGAACCCTGTGGTGAGACTCATGGTGAACACTGTGGTGAGACTCATGGTGAACCCTGTGGTGAGACTCATGGTGAACCCTGCGGTAAGACTCATGGGGAACCCTGTGGTGAGCCTCATGGTGAACCCTGTGGTGAGCCTCATGGTGAACACTATGGTGAGACTCATGGTGAACACTGTGGTGAGACTAGTGGTGAACACTATGGTGAGACTCATGGTGAACACTGTGGTGAGACTAGTGGTGAACACTATGGTGAGACTCATGGTGAACACTGTGGTGAGTCTCATGGTGAACACTGTGGGTACAGCAAGGTTCATGGTGAACACTGTGGTGAGACTCATGGTGAACCCTGTGGTGAGACTCATGGTGAACACTGTGGTGAGGCTCATGGTGAACACTGTGGTGAGACTCATGGTGAACACTGTGGTGAGGCTCATGGTGAACACTATGGTGAGACTCATGGTGAACACTGTGGTGAGACTCATGGTGAACACTGTGGTGAGACTCATGGTGAACACTGTTGGTAGAGCAAGGTTCATGGTGAACCCTGTGGTGAGACTCATGGTGAACCCTGTGGTGACACTCATGGTGAACACTGTGGGTACAGCAAGGTTCATGGTGAACACTGTGGTGAGCCTCATGGTGAACCCTGTGGTGAGACTCATGGTGAACCCTGCGGTAAGACTCATGGTGAACCCTGTGGTGAGACTCATGGTGAACACTGTGGTGAGACTAGTGGTGAACACTATGGTGAGACTCATGGTGAACACTGTGGTGAGACTCATGGTGAACACTGTGGTGAGACTCATGGTGAACACTGTGGTGAGACTCATGGTGAACACTGTGGTGAGACTCATGGTGAACATTGTGGTGAGACTCATGGTGAACCCTGCGGTAAGACTCATGGTGAACCCTGTGGTGAGACTCATGGTGAACACTGTGGTGAGACTAGTGGTGAACACTGTGGTGAGACTCATGGTGAACCCTGTGGTGAGACTCATGGTGAACACTGTGGTGAGACTCATGGTGAACCCTGTGGTGAGACTCATGGTGAACCCTGTGGTGAGACTCATGGTGAACCCTGTGGTGAGACTCATGGTGAACACTGTGGTGAGACTCATGGTGAACCCTGTGGTGAGACTCATGGTGAACACTGTGGTGAGACTCATGGTGAACCCTGTGGTGACACTCATGGTGAACACTGTGGGTACAGCAAGGTTCATGGTGAACCCTGTGGTGAGACTCATGGTGAACACTGTGGTGAGACTCATGGTGAACATTGTAGTGAGGCTCATGGTGAACCCTGTGGTGAGACTCATGGTGAACACTGTGGTGAGACTCATGGTAAACACTGTGGTGAGACTCATGGTGAACCCTGTGGTGAGACTCTTGGTGAACACTGTGGTGAGACTCATGGTAAACACTGTGGTGAGATTCATGGTGAACCCTGTGGTCAGACTCATGGTGAACACTGTGGTGAGACTCATGGTGAACACTGTGGTGAGACTCATGGTGAACCCTGTGGTGAGACTCATGGTGAACCCTGTGGTGAGGCTCGTGGTGAACACTGTGGGTAGAGCAAGGTTCATGGTGAACACTGGGGTGAGGCTCATGGTGAACACTGTGGTGAAACTCATGGTGAACACTGTGGTGAGACTCATGGTGAACCCTGTGGTGAGGCTCATGGTGAACAGTGGTGAGACTCATGGTGAACACTGTGGTGAGACTCATGGTGAACACTGTGGTGAGACTCATGGTGAACACTGTGGTGAGGCTCATGGTGAATACTGTGGTGAGACTCATGGTGAACCCTGTGGTGAGACTCATGGTGAACCCTGTGGTGAGACTCATGGTGAACCCTGTGGTGAGACTCATGGTGAACATTGTGGTGAGACTCATGGTGAACCCTGTGGGTAGAGCAAGGTTCATGGTGAACACTGTGGTGAGCCTCATGGTGAACCCTGTGGTGAGACTCATGGTGAACACTGTGGTGAGACTCATGGTGAACCCTGTGGTGAGACTCATGGTGAACACTGTGGTGAGACTAGTGGTGAACCCTGTGGTGAGACTCATGGTGAACACTGTGGTGAGACTCATGGTGAACCCTGTGGTGAGACTCATGGTGAACACTGTGGTGAGACTCATGGTGAACACTGTGGTGAGACTCATGGTGAACACTGTGGTGACACTCATGGTGAACCCTGTGGTGAGACTCATGGTGAACCCTGTGGTGAGACTCATGGTGAACACTGTGGTGAGACTCATGGTGAACCCTGTGGTGAGACTCATGGTGAACCCTGTGGTGAGGCTCGTGGTGAACACTGTGGGTAGAGCAAGGGTCATGGTGAACACTGTGGTGAGGCTCATGGTGAACACTGTGGTGAGCCTCATGGTGAACCCTGTGGTGAGACTCATGGTGAACACTGTGGTGAGACTCATGGTGAACACTGTGGTGAGACTCATGGTGAACACTGTGGTGAGGCTCATGGTGAATACTGTGGTGAGACTCATGGTGAACCCTGTGGTGAGACTCATGGTGAACCCTGTGGTCAGACTCATGGTGAACACTGTGGTGAGACTCATGGTGAACCCTGTGGTGAGACTCATGGTGAACCCTGCGGTAAGACTCATGGTGAACCCTGTGGTGAGCCTCATGGTGAACCCTGTGGTGAGCCTCATGGTGAACACTATGGTGAGACTCATGGTGAACACTGTGGTGAGACTAGTGGTGAACACTATGGTGAGACTCATGGTGAACACTGTGGTGAGACTAGTGGTGAACACTATGGTGAGACTCATGGTGAACACTGTGGTGAGTCTCATGGTGAACACTGTGGGTACAGCAAGGTTCATGGTGAACACTGTGGTGAGACTCATGGTGAACCCTGTGGTGAGACTCATGGTGAACACTGTGGTGAGGCTCATGGTGAACACTGTGGTGAGACTCATGGTGAACACTGTGGTGAGGCTCATGGTGAACACTATGGTGAGACTCATGGTGAACACTGTGGTGAGACTCATGGTGAACACTGTGGTGAGACTCATGGTGAACACTGTTGGTAGAGCAAGGTTCATGGTGAACCCTGTGGTGAGACTCATGGTGAACCCTGTGGTGACACTCATGGTGAACACTGTGGGTACAGCAAGGTTCATGGTGAACCCTGTGGTGAGACTCATGGTGAACACAATGGTGAGACTCATGGTGAACCCTGTGGTGAGACTCATGGTGAACACTGTGGTGAGCCTCATGGTGAACCCTGTGGTGAGGCTCATGGTGAACACAATGGTGAGACTCATGGTGAACCCTGTGGTGAGACTCATGGTGAACACTGTGGTGAGGCTCATGGTGAACACTGTGGTGAGACTCATGGTGAACACTGTGGTGAGACTCATGGTGAACATTGTGGTGGGACTCATGGTGAACACTGTGGTGAGACTCATGGTGAACCCTGTGGTCAGACTCATGGTGAACACTGTGGTGAGACTAGTGGTGAACACTGTGGTGAGACTCATGGTGAACCCTGTGGTGAGACTCATGGTGAACACTGTGGTGAGACTCATGGTGAACCCTGTGGTCAGACTCATGGTGAACCCTGTGGTGAGACTCATGGTGAACACTGTGGTGAGGCTCATGGTGAACACTGTGGTGAGACTCATGGTGAACCCTGTGGTCAGACTCATGGTGAACCCTGTGGTGAGACTCATGGTGAACACTGTGGTGAGACTCATGGTGAACACTGTGGTGAGACTCATGGTGAACCCTGTGGGTAGAGCAAGGTTCATGGTGAACCCTGTGGTGAGACTCATGGTGAATCCTGTGGTGAGAGTGATGGTGAACACTGTGGGTAGAGCAAGGTTCATGGTGAACACTGTGGTGAGACTCATGGTGAACAAAATGGTGAGCCTCATGGTGAACCCTGTGGTGAGACTCATGGTGAACACTGTGGTGAGACTCATGGTGAACCCTGTGGTGAGACTCATGGTGAACCCTGTGGTGAGACTCATGGTGAACCCTGTGGTGAGACTCATGGTGAACACTGTGGTGAGACTCTTGACCGGTTTCTACATTCGGTGTCTCATCATCAGAACGAAGCGTCATGACGTCACTCGCCGGCAAGATGACGTCATGTTCAAGTGAGCTAGCGCCTCCATGTTACCTCGGGCATGGCAATGACCAATGAAACGCCGCGCCCCGTCGAGGTCGCCGCGGAGTGACGTCACCGCATTTCCAGGCCACCCAATGGGGGGAGCTTCCCCTGAGCAAGAAGGCCGACCAATGGCGGACAACCCCCGGGCAATATGGCCGCCCAATGGGAGCACGCCGCTTGGGTAAGACGACCACCCAATGGGAGAGCTCCCCTGAGTGAGACGACCACCCAATCGGGCCGTTCCCCCCCCTGAGTGAGATAGCCGCCTAATAGCAGAGCTCACCCTGAGTCCGATGGCCACCCAATAGGAGAGCGCCCCCGAGTAAGATGGCCGCCCAAAGGGAGTGCTACCCCTGAGGAACATGGCCGCCATGTCTTGCACGCAGCGGTGACGTTGCACAAGGAGCGAGGCAGCGGCAGAGCACGAGGAGGAACCTCGCGAGCAGCACGCAGCGAGCACGGTCTGTGTGTATGTGTCTGTGTGTATGTTTGTGTTAGTGTCTGTGTGTGTTAGTGTCTGTGTGTGTTAGTGTCTGTGTGTGTGTATGTATGTAGTGTGTTAGTGTGTGTCTGTATGTTAGTGTGTGTGTTAGTGTGTGTGTATGTGTGTATGTAGTGTGTAGTGTGTCTGTATGTTAGTGTGTATGTGTGTTAGTGTGTGTGTGTCTGTGTGTTAGTGTGTATGTGTGTTAGTGTGTGTGTGTCTGTGTGTATGTGTCTGTATGTATGTTAGTGTGTTAGTGTGTGTCTGTATGTTAGTGTGTATGTGTGTTAGTGTCTGTGTGTCTGTGTCTGTATGTACGTATGTGTCTGTGTGTTAGTGTGTGTCTGTATGTTAGTGTGTCTGTGTGTTAGTGTGTGTGTCTGTGTATTTGTCTGTATATATGTAGTGTGTGTGTCTGTATGTTAGTGTGTATGTGTGTTAGTGTGTGTGTGTGTCTGTGTGTATGTGTGTGTCTGTGTTAGTGTGTAGTGTGTCTGTGTGTTAGTGTCTGTGTGTGTCTGTGTGTGTGTTAGTGTGTGTCTATGTGTGTGTCTGTGTGTATGTGTGTGTGTCTGTGTGTGTGTCTGTGTGTATGAATGTTAGTGTGTAGTGTGGTTCTGTGTGTGTATGTGTGTGTCTGTGTGTTAGTGTCTGTGTGTTAGTGTGTTAGTGCCTGAGTGTCTGTGTGTGTGTGTCTGTGTGTGTGTATGTTAGTGTGTCTGTGTGTTAGTGTCTGTGTGTGTGTGTCTGTGTGTGTGTATGTATGTTAGTGTGTAGTGTGTCTGTGTTAGCGTCTGTGTGTGTGTGTAGTGTGTGTGTCTGTATGTTAGTGTGTAGTGTGTTAGTGTGTGTGTTAGTGTCTGTGTGTTAGTGTGTGTCTGTATGTTAGTGTGTAAGTGTGTTAGTGTGTGTGTCTGTGTGTGTGTCTGTGTGTCTGTCTGTGTGTCTGTGTATGTGTCTGTGTGTGTGTCTGTCTGTGTGTCGGTGTGTGTGTATGTGTGTGTCTGTGTGTGTGTCTGTGTGTGTGTCTCCGTATGTATGTGTGTGTCTGTGTGTGTCTGTGTGTGTGTATATCTGTGTGTGTGTATCTGTGTGTGTGTGTATCTGTGTGCGTGTATATCTGTGTGTGTGTGTATCTGTGTGGGGAGCGGTAGTGTAGCGGCTAGCGCTACGCTGCACTATGAACCTGGCGACCCGGGTTCGATTCCCGCTCACGGCCAACACCAGTGACGATTATCTGAACCGGTCCCGGGCGTCCCCTAGGTCGACTCAGCCTCAAATGAGTACCTGGTGCGGTGTGTAAACATTGCCACTAGGGAGACAAAGGCGGTCGGGCGTGGTGCTGGCCACCCACCCCCTCGTGTACCGATCCGGCCTTCGTAGGTGCTCGCTAACAGCACTTGCCCCTACAGTCTGTTAAGGCTATACGGGGGATCTTTGTCTGTGTGCGTGTCTGTGTGCGTGTCTGTGTGTGGCAGTTTAACTCGTGGTTTCGTGGTAATTAATTGCCGATGACTGGTACCAGCGGTGTCAAGATCAGCCTCTGTGGAGGAGGCTCGTGAAGGACGCTACTGAGCAGTTGGAGGCAGTCGCCCTCCAACAACAACGGAGGGCGGAGGAGCGACGCTCACAACAACGAGCGGAGCGCCGGGTGGCTAAAGCACAGCAGGTTGGCACAGTAGGGGGCACAGGTGGTGCATCAGCCAGTCATCTCAGTCAGTCGACCCGTGGCACCTGGGTCTGCCCCGTGACCTCCTGCCAGCGTGCGTTCGACACTTCACGTGGCCTCAGGGTGCACATAGCCTGGCACAAGCGTCGTGGTGACGTCACCGCCACTTAGTGGCGAATGGCGGTTGTTGTCTGTGTGTGTGAATCTGTGTGTGTGTGTCTGTGTGTGTGTCGCGGTGCCGGACGGGCAACTCTGTCGTGGACAGCGCTGTGGGGGGAGATCCAATTTTGATTGGCTCCTCCCCTCATGGCATATGTGTCCACCACAGGGGCTAAACGGGGGCTCTGGACGGGTGCGAGGGGCTGGTAACCCCTCCACCTTCAATTAATTACCACGAAACCACGAATTAAACTGAAATATGTAACAACTAAGCTTGTGCCGGAGGCCCCGGGGGGCCAGGCGTCTATGACGTCTCCTGGCCAAACCCCAATTGGCGGAGCCAGGAGATTGAATACCTACCCTCGGGGCTACTCCAGAAACTACAAAAAGCCACTACGGGTGGCCACGTGGAATGTTCGAACGCTCACTGCAGAGGAGAGGCTGCCACTCCTCTGTCGGGAGCTGGACCGGTACCGCCTGGATCTATGCGGCATTCAGGAGGTCCGGTGGACCGGCTCTGGCTCCTGCCACCATGAGGGGTGGACAGTCCTCTACTCGGGGCAGCAGACTGCCAAACAACAGGGTGTGGGTCTTCTTTTGAACAAAAGAATGAAGGGGGCGTGGGAGCGTGGCGGTGAGGTGTGGGAAGCTGTAAGCCCCAGGCTACTTTGGGCTCGCCTTCCCATCAACCGGAGGCGAGGAATGGTGGTCGTGGTTACTTATGCCCCCACCGAAGATGAACATCCGTGGAGGGATGCAGGCAAAGCCGATGAGTCAGATGCCTTCTATGACCTCCTGTCACAGGTGCTGGCTAAAGTGGCCCCTCGGGATAGAGTCATCATGTTGGGTGACTTCAATGCCCGAGTTGGTCATGATACTGGCACCTGGTCTGGAGTGATTGGAGGGCATGGGCCAGATCAGCTCAATAACAACGGTAGGAGGCTGCTAGATTTTTGTGCAGCCCATGGGCTTGTAATTACCAACACGCTGTTCCGGCATCGGCGCATCCACACAACATCATGGATGCATGCCGGGTCCAAGCAAGAACATCTGCTGGACTACATAGTGACGGACCAGCGAATGCGAGCCCATGTCCTTGACACCAGGACCTACCGTGGAGCTGATCTGCCCTCTGACCATCGACTAGTCATCTGTAAGATGCGCCTGCCATTCTTCCACTCCGGTGGTGGGTGTACACCCAGGACCCCATTCCAACCTAAAGTGGCCTGGTCTCAGTTATCTGATGAAAGTTGCAAGCGAGAATTTCATCATCGCTTGCGGCTGGGATTGGCATCGTCCCCGACTCCTCCTGATGTCGAGGGTAAATGGGCGAGGTTTAGGACTGTGACTCATGCAGCTGCAATGGCTGCTTTGGGTACGCGGTCCAGACCTCCCCAGACACCCTGGATGACAGAGGAGTTGTTCAGGATGGTTGAGAAAAAGCGACAGGCCCACTGTCATCGGCTACAGAATCCCACGTCAGAGAATGAGGAGGCTTACCGCAGCCTTCGCTCGGAGGTTCGGAGAGCCGTGAGGCGCTGCAAGGATGGGTGGTGGTCGCGGGTTGCTGAGGAGATGGAGTCTGCCTCAGTGGCCCGTGATCACAAATCTCTATTTAACTCCATCAAAAAAGTAACCTGCAGCGCCACACCTATTACCATCATTAGGGGAAAAAACGGTGATCCAATTTCCGACCCCCAGGAACAGGTTTGCAGATTTGCTGAGCATTTCTGTGAGGTCCTGGGGGAGGGAAAATCCCTCAGCCAGGAAAACATCGTGGCACAAAGTGAGGATGACCCTGCTGAGGCTGCGGTGCCTCAAATATTGGATGAAGTCACCCCCTGTGAGTGGCTGGCTGAGGTGCCATCTGCTGAGGAAGTATTGAAGGCGATCCGGAGTCTGAGACCAGGAAAGGCAGCGGGCAGAGATGATCTCCCAAGCGAAATGCTGCGGGAGGGTGGCGTTTGTGCACAGACTGCCCTATATGACATCATAACAACAGTCTGGACCACTGGACGGGTTCCGCAGGATTGGAAGGATGCCCTGGTGGTCCCCCTTTTTAAGAAGGGGGACCGCACAGACTGTAACAACTACAGGGGCATCTCACTCCTCAGTGTGCCGGGAAAGGTCCTGGCAAGGATTATTCAGCATCGCCTTGCCAGGCACGCTGAGGAGAGGCTTGCGGAGCCCCAATGCGGTTTCAGGAAAGGGCGGTCCTGCACAGATGCCATATTTTCTGTCCGTCTGCTACAGCAGAGGTGTAGGGAATTCCAACAAGACCTACATCTCTGCTTTATTGACCTGGTCAAGGCCTATGATACCATCAGTAGGCCTGGGCTCTGGGTCGTTCTTCGTGCTTTTGGAGTACCTGACCCTCTGCTCACGATCATTAAGGACCTTCATGATGGTGAGCGGGCCCGGGTAAAACTACGTGGCCGGGAGTCAGAGCCATTCCCTGTACACCTTGGGGTGCGACAGGGATGTCCTCTGGCTCCCACATTATTTAACATCTATTTTGACCACGTAGTTCGTGAAGCCTTCAATAGCTGTACCGGGGGAATCTCCATATGGTACAGATATAATGGGAGGCTAATCGATGCCCGGGTGCGGTCAAGGGATGGCTCCCTATTGCTCAACCACGTTATGTATGCTGATGACTTGGTAATAGCTGCTCAGTCAGAGGAGGAGTTGGAGACGCTGCTGCTGAGACTGGAGCGTGCCACTAAGAGGTGGGGCCTTACCATCAGCCCCACCAAAACTAAGCACCTGCCTGGGTATTTTGTACCATCGGACACTCCACCCCCACAACTCCCAATCGGTGATGGGGCAGTTGTGGAGAGAGTGGAGAGTTTCCCATACCTGGGCAGTGTGCTTATGACTGGCTCCAGTTTAACAGCAGAGGTCTCACTCCGAATCAGTCGAGCGGCAATATCTTTTCATCGGTTGCGTAACGCTGTGTGGAAGCTACCTGGTCTGTCGCTCCGCACTAAGCTTCAGGTCTTTTCGGCCACGGTCATTCCCTCCCTTCTCTACGCTTGCGAAACGTGGACCACCCTAATGGAACATCTTCGCCGGTTAGAAACATTTAGGCTGGCCTGCCTACGATCCATCCTGGGTTTAACCAGACTGGATTGTGTGAGGAGCTCACAAATCCTTGAAAGATCTGGGCAGGGTCCCATCGGTGAGCTCCTCCGGCAGGCAAGGCTGCGATGGCTGGGTCATGTAGCCCGCATGCCCAGCCACCGCATGCCGAAACAGCTTTTGTTTGGCCGGATTGAGGGGGCTAAGCGGGCGCGGCACGGGCTAGAGAAGAGATGGAGTGATGTGGTATAGGAGGACGTGGAGCTGAGTGGACTTGCCGATGACTGGTACCAGCGGTGTCAAGATCGGCCTCTGTGGAGGAGGCTCGTGAAGGATGCTACTGGGCAGTTGGAGGCAGTCGCCCTCCAACAACAACGGAGGGCGGAGGAGCGACGCTCACAACAGCGAGCGGAGCGCCGGGTGGCTAAAGCACAGCAGGTTGGCACAGTAGGGGGCACAGGTGGTGCATCAGCCAGTCATCTCAGTCAGTCGACCCGTGGCACCTGGGTCTGCCCCGTGACCACCTGCCAGCGGGCGTTCGACACTTCACGTGGCCTCAGGGTGCACATAGCCTGGCACAAGCGTCGTGGTGACGTCACCGCCACTTAGTGGCGAATGGCGGTTGTTGTTGTTGTTGTCTGTCCGTCTGCTACAGCAGAGGTGTAGGGAATTCCAGCAAGACCTACATCTCTGCTTTATTGACCTGGTCAAGGGCTATGATACCATCAGTAGGCCTGGGCTCTGGGTTGTTCTTCGTGCTTTTGGAGTACCTGATGGTGAGCGGGCCCAGGTAAAACTACGTGGCCGGGAGTCAGAGCCATTCCCTGTACACCTTGGGGTGCCACAGGGATGTCCTCTGGCTCTCACATTATTTAACATCTATTTTGACCACGTAGTTCGTGAAGCCTTCAATGGCTGTACCAGGGGAATCTCCATATGGTACAGATATAATGGGAGGCTGATCGATGCCCGGGTGCGGTCAAGGGATGGCTCCCTATTGCTCAACCACGTTATGTATGCCGATGATTTGGTAATAGCTGCTCATTCAGAGGAGGAGTTGGAGACGTTGCTGCTGAGACTGGAGCGTGCCACTAAGAGATGGGGCCTTACCATCAGCCCCACCAAAACTAAGCACTTGCCTGGGTATTTTGTACCATCGGACACTCCACCCCCACAACTCCCAATCGGTGATGGGGCAGTTGTGGAGAGAGTGGAGAGTTTCCCATACCTGGGCAGTGTGCTTATGACCGGCTCCAGTTTAACAGCAGAGGTCTCACTCTGAGTCAGTCGAGCGGCAATATCTTTTAATCGGTTGCGTAATGCTGTGTGGAAGCTACTTGGTCTGTCACTCCACACTAAGCTTCAGGTCTTCTCAGCCATGGTCATTCCCTCCTTCTCTACGCTTGCGAAACATGGACCCCCCCTAATGGAACATCTTCGCCGGTTAGAAACATTTAGGCTGGCCTGCCTACGATCCATCCTGGGTTTAACCAGACTGCATTGTGTGAGGAGCTCACAAATCCTTGAAAGATCTGGGCAAGGTCCCATCGGTGAGCTCCTCCGGCGGGCAAGGCTGCGTTTGCTGGGTCATGTAGCCCGCATGCCCAGCCACCGCATGCCGAAACAACTTTTGTTCGGCCGGATCGAGGGGGCTAAATGGGCGCGGTACGGGCTAGAGAAGAGATGGAGTGATGTGGTACAGGAGGACGTGGAGCTGAATGGACTTGCCGATGACTGGTACCAGCGGTGTCAAGATCGGCCTCTGTGGAGGAGGCTCGTGAAGGACGCTACTGGGCAGTTGGAGGCAGTCGCCCTCCAACAACAACGGAGGGCGGAGGAGCGACGCTTACAACGACGAGCGGAGCGCCGGGTGGCTAAAGCACAGCAAGTTGGCACAGTAGAGGGCACAGGTGGTGCATCAGCCAGTCATCTCAGTCATCTCAGTCAGTCGACCCGTGGCACCTGGGTCTGCCCCGTGACCTGCCAGCGGGCGTTCGACACTTCACGTGGCCTCAAGGTGCACATAGCCTGACACAAGCGTCGTGGTGACGTCACCGCCACTTAGTGGCGAATGGCGGTTGTTGTTGTGTGTGTATGTGTGTGTCTGTGTGTCTGTGTGTGTCTGTGTGTGTGTGCCTGTGTGTGTCTGTGTGTGTCTGTGTGTGTCTCTGTCTCTCTCCGCGTCTCTCCCCCTGTCTCACTCGATCTTCAACATCGCCAGTTTACCCCGTGTCCCCAGGTCTCCCCGTGTCTCCAGATGTCCCCGTGTCTCCACCTTGACGTGTCTCCCTGTGTCTCCCCGTGTCTCCCCGTGTCCCCGTGTCTCCAGGTGTCTCCCCGTGTCTCCACAATGACGTTTGTGCGCTGCTGGGAGGAGTTCACTCGCTCTGCCGAGAAACTCTGCAGTTCCAATCCCATGAAGGTGGTGGTACTCACCACTCACTCACCACTCACTCACCACTCACTCACCACTCACTCACCACTTACTCACCACTCACTCACCACTCACTCACCACTTACTCACCACTCACTCACCACTTACTCACCACTCACTCACCACTCACTCACTCACCACTCACTCACCACTTACTCACCACTCACTCACCACTCACTCACCACTTACTCACCACTCACTCACCACTTACTCACCACTCACTCACTCACCACTCACTCACCACTCACTCACCACTTACTCACCACTCACTCACCACTCACTCACCACTTACTCACCACTCACTTACTCACCACTCACTCACCACTCACTCACTCACCACTCACTCACCACTCACCACTTACTCACCACTCACTCACCACTCACTACTCACTCACCACTCACTCACCACTCACTCACCACTCACTAACCACTCACTCACTCACCACTCATTCACCACTCACTCACCACTCACTCACCACTCACTAACCACTCACTCACCACTCATTCACCACTCACTCACCACTCACTCACTCACCACTCACTCACCACTCACTCACTCACCACTCACTACTCACTCACCACTCACTCACCACTCACTCACCACTCACTAACCACTCACTCACTCACCACTCATTCACCACTCACTCACCACTCACTCACCACTCACTAACCACTCACTCACTCACCACTCATTCACCACTCACTCACCACTCACTCACTCACCACTCACTCACCACTCACTCACTCACCACTCACTTACCACTCACCACTCACTCACTCACCACCACTCACCACTCACTCACCACTCACCACTCACTCACCACTCACTCAATCACTCACCACTCACTCACCACTCACTTACCACTCACTCACCACTCACTCACCACTCACTCACCACTCACTCACTCACTCACCACTCACTCACCCCTCACTCACTCACCACTCACTCACCACTCACTCACTCACCACTCATTCACCACTCACTCACCACTCACTCACTCACTCACCACTCACTCGCCACTCACTCACTCACTCACCACTCACTCACCACTCACCACTCACTCACCACTCACTCACCACTCACTTACCACTCACCACTCACTCACTCAATCACTCACCACTCACTCACCACTCACTCACCACTCACTCACCACTCACTCACCACTTACTCACCACTCACTCACCACTCACTCACCACTTACTCACCACTCACTCACCACTTACTCACCACTCACTCACCACTTACTCACCACTCACTCACCACTCACTCACTCACCACTCACTCACCACTTACTCACCACTCACTCACCACTCACTCACCACTTACTCACCACTCACTCACCACTTACTCACCACTCACTCACTCACCACTCACTCACCACTCACTCACCACTTACTCACCACTCACTCACCACTCACTCACCACTTACTCACCACTCACTTACTCACCACTCACTCACCACTCACTCACTCACCACTCACTCACCACTCACCACTTACTCACCACTCACTCACCACTCACTACTCACTCACCACTCACTCACCACTCACTCACCACTCACTAACCACTCACTCACTCACCACTCATTCACCACTCACTCACCACTCACTCACCACTCACTAACCACTCACTCACTCACCACTCATTCACCACTCACTCACCACTCACTCACTCACCACTCACTCACCACTCACTCACTCACCACTCACTACTCACTCACCACTCACTCACCACTCACTCACCACTCACTAACCACTCACTCACTCACTCACCACTCATTCACCACTCACTCACCACTCACTCACCACTCACTAACCACTCACTCACTCACCACTCATTCACCACTCACTCACCACTCACTCACTCACCACTCACTCACCACTCACTCACTCACCACTCACTCACCACTCACCACTCACTCACTCACCACCACTCACCACTCACTCACCACTCACCACTCACTCACCACTCACTCAATCACTCACCACTCACTCACCACTCACTTACCACTCACTCACCACTCACTCACCACTCACTCACCACTCACTCACTCACTCACCACTCACTCACCCCTCACTCACTCACCACTCACTCACCACTCACTCACTCACCACTCATTCACCACTCACTCACCACTCACTCACTCACCACTCACTCGCCACTCACTCACTCACTCACCACTCACTCACCACTCACCACTCACTCACCACTCACTCACCACTCACTTACCACTCACCACTCACTCACTCAATCACTCACCACTCACTCACCACTCACTCACCCACCACTCACTCACTACCCACCACTCACTCACCACTCACTCACCACTCACTCACCACTCACCACTCACTCACCACTCACTCACCACTCACTTACCACTCACCACTCACTCACTCAATCACTCACCACTCACTCACCACTCACTCACCCACCACTCACTCACTACCCACCACTCACTCACCCCTCACTCACTCACCACTCACTCACCACTCACTCACTCACCACTCATTCACCACTCACTCACCACTCACTCACTCACCACTCACTCGCCACTCACTCACTCACTCACCACTCACTCACCACTCACCACTCACTCACCACTCACTCACCACTCACTTACCACTCACCACTCACTCACTCACTCACCACTCACTCACCACTCACTCACCCACCACTCACTCACTACCCACCACTCACTCACCACTCACTCACCACCCACTCACCACTCACTCACTCACCACTCACTCACCACTTACTCACTCACCACTCACTCACCACTCACTCACCAACTACTCACCACTCACTCACCACTCACTCACCACTCACCACTCACTCACCACTCACTCACCACTCACTCACCAACTACTCACCACTCACTCACTCACCACTCACCACTCACTCACTCACCACTCACTCACTACTCACTCACTCACCAACTACTCACCACTCACCACTCACTCACCACTCACTCACCAACTACTCACCACTCACTCACCACTCACTCACCACTCACCAACTACTTACCGCTCACTCACTCACCACTCACTCACCACTCACTCACCAACTACTCACCACTCACTCACCACTCACTCACCACTTACTCACCACTCACTCACTCACCACTCATTCACCACTCACTCACCACTCACTCACTCACCACTCACTCGCCACTCACTCACTCACTCACCACTCACTCACCACTCACCACTCACTCACCACTCACCACTCACTCACCACTCACTTACCACTCACTCACCACTCACTCACCACTCACTCACCACTCACCACTCACTCACTCACCACTCACTCACCACTCACTCACCCACCACTCACTCACTACCCACCACTCACTCACCACTCACTCACCACTTACTCACCACTCACTCACCACTCACTCACCACTTACTCACCACTCACTCACCACTTACTCACCACTCACTCACCACTTACTCACCACTCACTCACCACTCACTCACTCACCACTCACTCACCACTTACTCACCACTCACTCACCACTCACTCACCACTTACTCACCACTCACTCACCACTTACTCACCACTCACTCACTCACCACTCACTCACCACTCACTCACCACTTACTCACCACTCACTCACCACTCACTCACCACTTACTCACCACTCACTTACTCACCACTCACTCACCACTCACTCACTCACCACTCACTCACCACTCACCACTTACTCACCACTCACTCACCACTCACTACTCACTCACCACTCACTCACCACTCACTCACCACTCACTAACCACTCACTCACTCACCACTCATTCACCACTCACTCACCACTCACTCACCACTCACTAACCACTCACTCACTCACCACTCATTCACCACTCACTCACCACTCACTCACTCACCACTCACTCACCACTCACTCACTCACCACTCACTACTCACTCACCACTCACTCACCACTCACTCACCACTCACTAACCACTCACTCACTCACTCACCACTCATTCACCACTCACTCACCACTCACTCACCACTCACTAACCACTCACTCACTCACCACTCACTCACCACTCACTCACCACTCACTCACTCACCACTCACTCACCACTCACTCACCACTCACTCACCACTCACCACTCACTCACTCACCACCACTCACCACTCACTCACCACTCACCACTCACTCACCACTCACTCAATCACTCACCACTCACTCACCACTCACTTACCACTCACTCACCACTCACTCACCACTCACTCACCACTCACTCACTCACTCACCACTCACTCACCCCTCACTCACTCACCACTCACTCACCACTCACTCACTCACCACTCATTCACCACTCACTCACCACTCACTCACTCACCACTCACTCGCCACTCACTCACTCACTCACCACTCACTCACCACTCACCACTCACTCACCACTCACTCACCACTCACTTACCACTCACCACTCACTCACTCAATCACTCACCACTCACTCACCACTCACTCACCCACCACTCACTCACTACCCACCACTCACTCACCACTCACTCACCACTCACTCACCACTCACCACTCACTCACCACTCACTCACCACTCACTTACCACTCACCACTCACTCACTCAATCACTCACCACTCACTCACCACTCACTCACCCACCACTCACTCACTACCCACCACTCACTCACCCCTCACTCACTCACCACTCACTCACCACTCACTCACTCACCACTCATTCACCACTCACTCACCACTCACTCACTCACCACTCACTCACCACACACACACTCACTCACCACTCACTCACCACTCACCACTCACTCACCACTCACTCACCACTCACTCACCACTCACCACTCACTCACTCACTCACCACTCACTCACCACTCACTCACCCACCACTCACTCACTACCCACCACTCACTCACCACTCACTCACCACCCACTCACCACTCACTCACTCACCACTCACTCACCACTTACTCACTCACCACTCACTCACCACTCACTCACCAACTACTCACCACTCACTCACCACTCACTCACCACTCACCACTCACTCACCACTCACTCACCACTCACTCACCAACTACTCACCACTCACTCACTCACCACTCACCACTCACTCACTCACCACTCACTCACTACTCACTCACTCACCAACTACTCACCACTCACCACTCACTCACCACTCACCAACTACTCACCACTCACTCACCACTCACTCACCACTCACCAACTACTTACCGCTCACTCACTCACCACTCACTCACCACTCACTCACCAACTACTCACCACTCACTCACCACTCACTCACCACTTACTCACCACTCACTCACTCACCACTCATTCACCACTCACTCACCACTCACTCACTCACCACTCACTCGCCACTCACTCACTCACTCACCACTCACTCACCACTCACTCACCACTCACCACTCACTCACCACTCACTTACCACTCACTCACCACTCACTCACCACTCACTCACCACTCACCACTCACTCACTCACCACTCACTCACCACTCACTCACCCACCACTCACTCACTACCCACCACTCACTCACCACTCACTCACCACCCACTCACCACTCACTCACTCACCACTCACTCACCACTTACTCACCACTCACTCACCACTCACTCACCAACTACTCACCACTCACTCACCACTCACTCACCACTCACCACTCACTCACCACTCACTCACCACTCACTCACCAACTACTCACCACTCACTCACTCACTCACCACTCACCACTCACTCACTCACCACTCACTCACTACTCACTCACCAACTACTCACCACTCACCACTCACTCACCAACTACTCACCACTCACTCACCACTCACTCACCACTCACCAACTACTTACCGCTCACTCACTCACCACTCACTCACCACTCACTCACCAACTACTCACCACTCACTCACCACTCACTCACCACTCACTCACCACTCACTCACCTCTCACTCACCACTCACTCACCACTCACTCACCACTCACTCACTCACCACTCACCACTCACTCAACTCACCACTCACTCACCACTCACTCACCACTTACTCACTCACCACTCACTCACCACTTACTCACTCACCACTCACTCACCAACTTCTCACCACTCACTCACCACTCACTCACCACTCACTCACCACCCATTCACCAACTACTCACCACTTACTCACCACTCACTCACCAACTACTCACCACTCACTCACCACTCACTCACTCACCACTCACTCACCAACTACTCACCACTCACTCACCACTCACTCACCACTCACTCACCACTCACTCACCACTCACCAACTACTCACCACTCACTCACCACTCACTCACCAACTACTCACCATTCACTCACTCACCACTCACTCACCACTCACTCACCAGGTGGGTGCTCCTCACCTGCCCTCGGCTCAGCAGAGGAGGAGTGGAGGCGCCGCGGTTAGCGCAGAGCGCCGTCAACCCTGGGCTAGGCCCCAAGTTCGATTCCAGCTCACGGCCACCAACTCAGTGACGGCCATCGGAACCGGTGCTGGGCCTCCCCTAGGTCGGCTCAGCCTCAAACGAGTTACCCGGTGCTGTGTGGTGTGTAGTGAACATCGCCACTGGGGGAGAGACAAAGGCGGCCGGGCGTGGTGCTGGTAGCCACCCACCCCCTCGTATGCCACAGTGCCGGTAGCCTTCATAGGTGCTGCTCGCTAACAGCACTTGCCCCTACAGTCTGTTAGAGGCTACACGGGGGATCTTTGTCTTTGTCTACCTTCACAGGCGCTGCTGCTACTCGCTACTAACAGCACTTGCCGCTACAGTCTGTTAGAGGCTACACGGGGGATCTTTGTCTGTGTCTGTCCCGCGTGTAGGTGCGTGTGGTGGTGAAGTATAGACATTGTGCTGGACACCTGTCAATCAAGGTGACAGACGACGTCGTGGTAAGCAGCCCTACTCACCAACATGCTCACCATCACCACGCTTACCACCACCACCACCCTCACCACCACCACCCTCACCACCACCCTCACCACCACCACCACCCTCACCACCCTCACCACCACCACCCTCACCACGATCACCACGATCACCACCACCCTCACCACCACCCTCACCACTACCACCATGCTCACCACCACCACCCTCACCACTACCACCCTCACCACGCTCACCACCACCACCCTCACCACTACCACCATGCTCACCACCACCACCCTCACCACGCTCACCACCCTCACCACGCTCACCACTACCACCACGCTCACCACCACGACAATTATGATGTGACGACCATGATCACGAGGATGGCGTGATGTTGCCAACCATGATGATGTGATGTGATGATGGTGATGATGTGATGGTGGTGATGATGTGATGGTGGTGATGTGATGATGTGATGATGTTGTGATGTGATGATGTGATGATGTGATGGTGTGATGTGGTGATGTAATGTGATGATGTGATGATGTGATGTGGTGGTGTAATGTGATGATGTGGTGATGTGATGGTGATGATGTGATGATGTGATGATGATGTGATGTGATGATGTGGTGATGTGATGTGATGTGATGATGTGATGATGATGTGATGATGGTGATGTGATGATGTGATGATGGTGATGTGATGATGTGATGATGATGTGATGATGTGATGTGATGTGATGATGTGATGGTGGTGATGATGTGATGATGTGATGATGATGTGATGATGTGATGTGGTGATCTAATGATGTGATGATGATTTGATGATGTGATGATGGTGATGATGTGATGATGTGATGTGATGGTGGTGATGATGTGATGATGATGTGATGATGTGATGTGGTGATCTAATGATGTGATGATGATGTGATAATGTGATGATGGTGATGTGATGTGGTGATGTGGTGATGTGATGATGTGGTGATGTGATGATGTGATGATGATGTGATGATGATGTGATGATGTGGTGATGTGATGGTGATGTGATGGTGATGATGTGATGTGATGATGGTGATGTGATGATGTGATGGTGATGATGTTATGTGATGGTGATGTGATGATGGTGATGATGTGATGTGATGATGTGATGATGGTGATGTGATGATGTGATGGTGATGTGATGATGTGATGGTGATGATGTGATGGTGATGATGGTGATGATGTGATGTGATGATGTGATGGTGATGTGATGATGTGATGTGGTGATCTAATGTGATGATGATGTGATGATGGTGATGTGATGATGTGATGTGGTGATGTGATGATGTGGTGATGTGATGATGATGTGATGATGATGTGATGATGTGGTGATGTGATGGTGATGTGATGGTGATGATGTGATGTGATGATGGTGATGTGATGATGTGATGGTGATGATGTTATGTGATGGTGATGTGATGTGATGATGGTGATGATGTGATGTGATGATGTGATGATGGTGATGTGATGATGTGATGGTGATGATGTGATGATGTGATGGTGATGATGTGATGGTGATGATGGTGATGATGGTGATGTGATGGTGATGTGATGATGTGATGTGATGATGTGATGATGGTGATGATGTGATGATGTGATGTGATGATGTGATGGTGATGTGATGATGTGATGTGATGGTGATGTGATGTGATGATGGTGATGATGTGATGATGTGATGTGGTGATGTAATGATGTGATGGTGATGTGATGTGGGTATTGTGTACCATCGGACACTCCACCCCCACAACTCCCAATCGGTGATGGGGCAGTTGTGGAGAGAGTGGAGAGTTTCCCATACCTGGGCAGTGTACTTATGACCGGCTCCCAATTTAACAGCAGAGGTCTCACTCCGAATCAGTCGAGCGGCGATCTTTTCATCGGTTGCGTAACGCTGTGTGGAAGCTACCTGGTCTGTCGCTCCGCACTAAGCTTCAGGTCTTCTCGGCCACGGTCATTCCCTCCCTTCTCTACGCTTGCGAAACGTGGACCCCCCCCTAATGGAACATTTAGGCTAGCCTGCCTACGATCCATCCTGGGTTTAACCAGGCTGGATTGTGTGAGGAGCTCACAAATATGGACAAAGTCCCATTGGTGAGCTCCTCCAGCGGGCAAAGCTGCGATGGCTGGGTCATGTAGCCCGCATGCCCAGCCACCGCATGCCGAAACAGCTTTTGTTCGGCCGGATTGAGGGGGCTAAACGGGCGCGGCACGGGCTAGAGAAGAGATGGAATGACGTGGTACAGGAGGACGTGGAGCTGAGTGGACTTGCCGATGGCTGGTACCAGCGGTGTCAAGATCGGCCTCTGTGGAGGAGGCTCGTGAAGGATGCTACTGGGCAGTTGGAGGTAGTCACCCTCCAGCAACAACGGAGGGCGGAGGAGCGACGCTCACAACAACGAGCGGAGCGCCGGGTGGCTAAAGCACAGCAAGTTGGCACGGTAGGGGGCACAGGTGGTGCATCAGCCAGTCATCTCAGTCATCTCAGTCATCTCAGTCGACCCGTGGCACCTGGGTCTGTCCCGTGACCTCCTGCCAGCGGGCATTCGACACTTCACGTGGCCTTGACGTGCACATGGCCTGGCACAAGCGTCATGGTGACGTTACCGACACTTAGTGGGAAACGGCGGTTGTTGTTGATGGTGATGTGGTGGTGATGGTGGTGATGTGATGTGATGGTGGTGATGTGCTGGTGATGTGTTGGCAGTGCCTGCAGTTCGAGACGGACCAGGCTCAGGATGTGAAGAAAGTGGAAAAATTCCACGGCCAGATCATGAGGTTGATGGTGGCCAAATGAGAAAGACACCAAGACACTCACACAGACACTCATTCAGACACTTACACTCACTCATGCACTCACTCACGCAGACACTCGCACACTCGTTCACACACTTACACTCACTTAGACACCCACTCACACAGACACTTAGACACCCACTCACACACTCATTCACACACTTAGACACTCACTTAGACACTCACTCATGCACTCACACAGACACTCATTCACACAGACACTTAGACACTCACTTAGACACTCACTCATGCACTCACACAGACACTTAGACACTCACTCATGCACTCACACAGACACTTAGACACTCACTTAGACACCCACTCATGCAAACACAGACACTCACACACACACTCTCACACACACACAGACACACACACACACCCACTCACACACAGACACACTCACCCCGCGGTGTGGTGAGGAGGCTGTTTGCGTGATGGCTGTGCCTGTGGGTCCCCCTGTGGTGTAAAATACACGACCGCCACTTCACGTGAAGTCTGTGACTCTCCTTTTTTGGGCCTTATGGTGAAGTTACGTTGATAGATTCAAAGAAAATAACAAATAACAAAACTCTCTTTATTCAACTCTATTCAAATCGCGACATCGCCACCATCATCACCACCATCACCACCATCATCACCATCACCACCATCATCACCAACATCATCATCACCACCACCACCACCAACCACGTCCACAAGCCCACTCGCAGTGCCGATGACTCTCCCCCGGCACCACGGCCCGGCACCACGGCCTCCTCGTGGTCTTCGTGTTGCCGTGCGGGGGACCAAGCAGCTTGCCGCCCACGGTTCGAAACGAAAACTCCGCCACCGGCCGCGGAGGCAGCGGCGGAGTTGGAGAGCCGCTAACGTGGTCGGTGGGGCCACAGCCGACGACGACAAAGCAGCGGAGCGGAACGCAAGGCGACGGAACGGAACGCCGCAGAACGGAACACGACAGAACGGAACACGACAGAACACGACAGAACGGAACACGACAGAACACGACAGAACGGAACACGACAGAACACGACAGAACGGAACACGACAGAACACGACAGAACGGAACACGACAGAACACGACAGAACGGAACACGACAGAACACGACAGAACGGAACACGACGGAACACGACAGAACGGAACACGACAGAACGCTACGGAACACGTGTGCACGAATCGTCATCGAAGAAGTTCAACGTACACACACAGACTGGCATAGTCACTCACCCACTCACACAGCCACTCACCCACTTACTCACCCACTCACACAGTCACTCACCCACTCACACAGTCACTCACCCACTTACTCACCCACTCACACAGTCACTCACCCACTCACACAGTCACTCACCCACTCACACAGTCACTCACCCACTCACACAGTCACTCACCCACTCGCCCTACGGTGCAAAACAAGTTCAACGTACACACACGTACATCATGACCAGCGCGCGTCATCACGCACGCAGGAATCCATCCTCATCCCAGCATCTCCTCCGCATGTCCCCGCGTCTCCTGGTCCTCCACTCTGTCTCCGCCCCGTGTCTCATCTCAGTGTCTCCACATATCCCTCGTGTCTCCATCTTGTCTCCTTGTCCGCGGGTCCCTGTGTCTCCTCTTCCCGTGTCTCCGTGTCCCACCCTCCCCCGTGTCTCCGCCTCCTCCCCCGTGTCTCCGCCTCCTCCCCCGTGTCTCCGCCTCCTCCCCCGTGTCTCCGCCTCCTCCCCCGTGTCTCCGCCTCCTCCCCGTGTCTCCGCCTCTTCCCCCGTGTCTCCGCCTCTTCCCCCGTGTCTCCGCCTCTTCCTCCGTGTCTCCGTGTCCCCGTGTCTCCGCCTCCTCCCCGTGTCTCCGCCTCCTCCCCCGTGTCTCCGCCTCCTCCCCATGTCTCTCCGTGTCTCTCCGTGTCTCCGCCTCCTCCCCGTGTCTCCGCCTCTTCCCCCGTGTCTCCGTGTCCCCGTGTCTCCGCCTCCTCCCCCGTGTCTCCGCCCCGTGTCTCCGCCTCCTCCCCGTGTCTCCACCTCCTCTCCGTGTCTCTCCGTGTCTCCCCGTGTCTCCCCGCGTCTACGCGAGCAGTCGTCCGTACTCGGCCATGAGTGGAGACTTGCGAACCGCGTCCCAGATCCGCGCCGCAAAGTGGAACCTGGGGAAGATGGGTCACATGATTCGTACGGCCATGGTTACAGGTGGTGGTGGTTTTCCCACTGGCAGCGTGAGACCAGCACGGTACTGGTGGTGGTTTTCCCACTGGCCACACCCGAGCCAATGTGGGGCTATCACGGTACTGGTGGTGGTTTTCCCACTGGCAGTGTGGGGGCTATCACGGTACTGGTGGTGGTTTTCCCACTGGCCACACCCGAGCCCAGCGAGTGCGGCGAGCGTTCGGTGAGTGCACTCATTGGCCCTCAGCGAGCGTAGTGAGCGAGCGTGGTGAGCGTGGTGAGTGAGCGAGCGAGCGTGGTGAGCGAGCGAGCGTGGTGAGCGAGCGAGCGTGATGAACGAGCGTGGTGAGCGTGGTGAGTGAGCGAGCGAGCGTGGTGAGCGAGCGTGGTGAGTGAGCGAGCGTGGTGAGCGTGCGAGCGTGGTGAGCGAGCTCCACTCACCAGTTCTTCTCGGTCAGCGTGGTGTGGGTGAGCGGTGGGCGGGGTGAGCTGAGCACCTGCTTGCGGAGTCGCGCCACGAGGCTGGGGAACCCCGAGTGGCCCCGGAACGCGGGCAGCAGCGAGAACGGAGCCCCGGCTACACACAGCACAAAGACAAAGGTCCCCCGTGTAGCCTCTAACAGACTGTAGGGACAAGTGCTGTTAGTACCGAGTAGCAGCAGCACCTGTGAAGGTAGACACAGACAAAGGTCCCCCGTGTAGCCTCTAACAGACTAGGGGCAAGTGCTGTGAGTAGCGAGTAGCAGCAGCACCTGTGAAGGTATACACAGACAAAGGTCCTCCGTGTAGCCTCTAACAGGCTGTAGGGGCAAGTGCTGTGAGTAGCGAGTAGCAGCAGCACCTGTGAAGGTAGACATAGACAAAGATCCCCCGTGTAGCCTTTAACAGACTGTAGGGGCAAGTGCTGTTAGTAGCGAGTAGCAGGGAAACTTATTCGAGGCTGAGTCGACCTAAGGGAGCCCCAGGACCGGTTTGGGATAGCCGTCACTGGTGGTGGGCCATGAGCGGGAACGGAACTCAGGTCTCCGGGTTCGTAGTGCAGCGCGCTGTTACACCACACAGAGAGACACTCACACAACAACAACAACCGCCATTCACCACTAAGCAGTGATGACGTCACCACGGTGCTTGTGCCAGGCTAAGTGCACCTTGAGGTGACGTGAAGTGCCGAAGGCTCGGCAGGAGGTCACGGGACAGACCCAGCAGGTGCCATGGGTTGGCGGACTGAGATGACTGGCTGATGCACCACCTGTGCCCCCAACTGTGCCAACTTGCTGTGCTTTAGCCACCCGGCGCTCCGCTCGTTGTGAGCGTCGCTCCTCCGCCCTCCGTTGTTGTTGGAGGGCGACTGCCTCCAACTTCTCAGTAGCGTCCTTCACGAGCCTCCTCCACAGAGGCCGATCTTGACACCGCTGGTACCGGTCGTCGGAAAGTCCACTCAGCTCCACGTCCTCCTGTAACGCGTCACTCCATCTCTTCTTCAGCCCGTGCCATGCAAATTTAGCCCCCTCGATCCAGCCGAACAGAAGCTGCTTGGGCAGGCGGTGGCTCGGCATGCGGGCTACAGGACCCGCTCAACGCAGCCTTGCTTGCCGGAGGAGCTCACCAGATCTTTCAAGGATCTGTGAGCTCCTCACACAATAATCCAGCCTGCAGGTTAAACCCAGGATGGATCGTCGGCAGGGCCAGTCCGAATCTTTGAAACTGGTGCAGATGTTCCTCTAAAGGGGTCCACGTTTCGCAAGCGTAGAGAAGCGAGGGAATGATCGTGGCCGAGAAGACCCGAAGCTTCATGTGGAGCGATGGACCAGGTAGCTTCCACACAGCAGCGTTATGCAGCCGATGAAAAGATATTGCCGCTCGACTGATTCGGAGTGAAACCTCTACTGCCAAACCGGAGCCGGTCATAAGCACACTGCCCAATTATGGGAAACTCTCCACTCTCTCCACAACTGCCCCATCACCGATTGGGAGTTGTGGGGGTGGAGTGTTCGATGGCACAACATACCCAGGCAGGTGCTCAGTTTTGGTGGGGCCGATGGCAAGGCCCCATCTCTTAGTGGCACGCTCCAGTCCCAGCAGCAGCGCCTCCAACTCCTCTTCCTTGGCGGCAGCAGCAATCACCAGGTCATCAGCACACAGAACGTGTGTCGTGACATCTCAGATGTCGCTATGTGGTGCCGGCGTGCGATGCACCGCCATCGTGGACACCCCATAGGTGGGCGTAGTAACAGCCCAAGTGGCGGTTCCGTAAAGGCCGGAGGTAGTGTGGGAGCGTCAGCCATGGGGTGAGGTTACCCTGGGCCATGGCACTCCGGTCGACGCCCCGGAAGGCACGTGACGAGTAAGATCTACACAGGGACCCCCAGGTGCGGGGGGCGAGGGGGTGGTCGCGTGTCAACGAGTGGACGAAGACCCAGGCCAGGGACCTGTCCGTTGTAGCTACTCCCAGCGACGAGCGCAGCAGTTAAGCCTGGCGGTCGTCCACCGCCACAGGTTCTCGGGGTAAAGGGGCGGTAACCTCTCTGCGTAATGTGCTGGTGCTAATCAATAATGTGTTGCCTCCAAGGAGCAAGTCTGCGGCTCGGTTGACCCCCACCGCACGTGGTTGACCAGTAGGTCAGTGGGCGGATCAGCCGCGGTGGCACCTGGTGTTAAGGTCACGGGCCCGCATCCACTCATGTGGCCCAGCAGCTGCTCTTGCTTGGACCCGGTGATGCCGTGTGGACGCGCTGATGCCGGAACGGCGTGCGTTGCGCGATTACGAGCCCACGGGCTGCACAGCAGTCTTGGAGCCTCCGCCGATTATCCACCTTCGTTGGGGGCGTAAGCCACCTCCCGCCATTCCTCGCCTCCCGCTGATGGGGGGGGAGGAGGTGGGCCGCACAGTAGCCTGCTCGGTGTCTCTTGCTTGGCAGTGTCCCGGCCCCCCGAGTCCAACCATCACAGCGACCCGGAGCCACGGAGGGGTCCAGGCGGTACCGGTCCAGCTCCCGACATAGGAGCTGCAGCCTCTCCCTCGGCAGTGAGCAGTTCGGAAACATTCTACGCGGCCGCTCGCAGCGGCTCCCTGTCGTTTCTGGAGGAACGCCGAGGCCACGGGAATCGGTCTCCCGGTGCCGCCACATGGGGCGTGGCCAGGAGACTTCACAGAATCTCTGTCACCCCCACGGGGGGCCTCCGGCACAACCCTAGTTTGATCTGCGCGGTTTTGGTCAAGTGGTTGAGGGTGGGGGGGGTCAGCAGCCCCCACCGTACACACGCGGACACTCGCAGACGCACGCGGGCAGGGAGAGAGAGCGGGGAGAGAGAGGGAGAGAGGCGGGGAGAGAGAGAGGGGAGAGAGGGAGCGGGGAGAGAGGGAGCGGGGAGAGAGCGGGGAGAGAGGGAGGGAGAGAGCGGGGAGAGAGGCGAGGAGAGAGCGGGGAGAGGCGGGGAGAGAGGCGGGGAGAGAGGGAGGGAGAAAGCGGGGAGAGAGGGAGGGTGATGCAGGGTGATGCAGGGTGATGCAGGATGAGGGTGAGGGTGATGCAGGATGAGGGTGAGGGTGATGCAGGATGAGGGTGAGGGTGATGCAGGGTGATGCAGGGTGATGCAGGATGAGGGTGAGGGTTAGGGTGATGCAGGGTGAGGCAGGATGAGGCAGGATGAGGGTGAGGGTGATACAGGGTGAGGCAGGGTGAGTGAGGGTGAGGGTGATGCAGGATGAGGGTGAGGGTGATGCAGGGTGAGGCAGGTAGCACGAGGCAGTAGGGGCCCTCACGTCTGCGTGAGGCTTTCTCGTCCGCGTCTCCGTCGCCCGACGCCGGCAGCAGGAAGAGGGAGACGGCCGCTGACCCCGCGGCAGCGGCGGCGGCGGCGGCGGCACGGCCGGGCATGGACACCACCCCTAGCGCACAAAGGCAAAGATCCCCCGTGTAGCCGCGACCGACCGTCGGGGCAAGGGCCGTCAGCGTGCAGCGCCGCCGAAGGGAGCCGGCGCCGCGCCCGGCCGCCTTTGTCTCCCCGGCGGCGACATTCCCTCCACGGTGCTGGGGATGTGGGGGGTGGGGGTGGGGGTGGGGGGGGTGGGGTTGTGGGGGGTGGGGGTGGGGGTGTGGGGGGTGGGGGTGGGGGGGGTGGGGGTGGGGGTGGGAGAGTCGCACCGCGGTGCTTGAGGTTGGAGTGGCGCATGAGCGAGGCGACCGTCTGCTCCATCTCCTCGAGGCGGCGGGGAGAGAAGTCTTCACGCGGCGCTCGGTTCTGTACAAACACTGGGGGGGGGGGAGACACGGGGATCAAGTGTGGAGGGAGAGGGAGACACGGGGATCAAGTGTGGAGGGACAGGGGGACACGGGGATCAAGTGTGGAGGGACAGGGAGACACGGGGATCAAGTGTGGAGGGAAAGGGAGACACAGGGAGACACGGGGATCAAGTGTGGAGAGACAGGGAGACATGGGGATCAAGTGTGGAGGGACAGGGAGACACGGGGATCAAGTGTGGAGGGACAGGGAGACACGGGGATCAAGTGTGGAGGGACAGAGAGACACGCAGGCACACAGGGAGGGGGAGGGGGGGCAGGAGGAGGGATAGGAGAGATGGGATCACAGGAGAGGGGTGTGAGTGTGCAAAGACAAAGATCACCCGTGTAGCCTGGAGGGGCAAGTGCTGTTAGCAGCGAGCAGCAGCAGCAGTAGCAGCAGCACCTATGAAGGCTACTGGCACTGTGGCACACGAGGGGGGTGGGTGGCCAGCGCCACTCCCGGCCGCCTTTGTCTCCCCAGTAGCGATGTTTACACGCAGCGCCAGGCACTTATTTGAGGCTGAGTCGACCTAGGGGAGGCCCAGGACCGATTCAAATTGTCGTCACTGGTGTTGGCCGTGAGTGGGAAGCGAACCCGGGTTGTTGGGTTTGTAGCGCAGGGTAGCGGCTAACCACTACACTACCGCTTGCCTACACACACTCACCCACACACTCACCTGCTCAGCCACCCGCTCGCCCACACACACGCACAAACACACACACTCACTCTCACACACACGCACACACATACACACTCACTCTCACACCTCACCCACACACTCACCCGCTCACACACCCACACACTCCCCTGCTCACCCACACACACGCACACACACTCACCCGCTCACCAACCCGCTCACCTACACACTCACCCGCTCACCCACACACACGCACACACACACTCACTCTCACACTCACCCGCTCACCCACACACACGCACACACACACACTCACTCTCACACACTCACCCACACGCACACACACACACTCACTCTCACACACTCACCCACACACACACACACTCACTTTCACACTCACCCGCTCACCCACCCACTCACCCACACACTCACCCGCTCATCCCCACACACGCACACACGCACACACACTCACACACACACTCACACACTCACCCACACACTCACCTACTCACCCACGCACACACTCACTCTCACACTCACCCGCACACTCACCCACACACTCACCCGCTAACCCACACACACACTCACACCCACAAACTCACACACACACTCACACCCACAAACTCACACACACACTCACACCCACACACACACTCACACCCACACACACACACACCCACACTCACACCCACACACACACACCCACACCCACACTCACACACCCACACACTCACACACTCACACCCACACTCACACCCACACACTCACACCCACGCACACCCACACACTCACACACACTCACACCCACACACACACTCACACCCACTCACACCCACACACTCACACCCACACACACCCACCCACACACACCCCCCCACACACTCACACACTCACACCCACACACTCACACCCACCCATGCACACCCACACTCACGCACACCCACACTCACACACACGCACACACACGCACACCCACCCACCCACACTCACATCCACACACTCACACCCACCCACCCACACACTCACACCCACACACTCACACCCACACACACACCCACACTCACACCCACGCACTCACACCCACCCACCCACCCACACACCCACCCACACACACCCACCCACACACTTACACCCACACCCACACACACCCACACACCCACACACCCACATACACACACCCACCCACACTCACACCCACACACCCACACTCACACCCACCCACTCACACCCACACTCACACACCCACACACTCACACCCACACACCCACACACCCACACACTCACACCCACACACACTCACACCCACACACACACTCACACACACCCACACACTCACACCCTCACACCCACACACACCCACCCACACACCCACACACACCCACCCACACACTCACACACACACTCACACCCACCCAGGTGTGGGTAGTGCTCTGTGGAGTCTTCTGTGCCCAGGGTGGAGTTGGACTCGTGGCTGGGCTGGGGGCAAGACGGCTTCAGCATCTCGGCCGTGCGCAGGAACCTGAATCAGCACACAGACAAAGGTCCCCCGTGTAGTCTCTAGCAGGCTGTAGGGGCAAGTGCTGTGAGTAGCGAGTAGCAGCAGCACCTGTGAAGGTAGACACAGACAAAGGTCCCCCGTGTAGCCTCTAACAGACTGAAGGGGCAAGTGCTGTCAGTAGCGAGTAGCAGCAGCGCCTGTGAAGGTAGACACAGACAAAGGTCCCCCGTGTAGCCTCTAACAGACTTGCAGGGGCAAGTGCTGTGAGTAGCGAGTAGCAGCAGCACCTGTGAAGGTAGACACAGACAAAGGTCCCCCGTGTAGTCTCTAACAGGCTGTAGGGGCAAGTGCTGTGAGTAGCGAGTAGCAGCAGCACCTATGAAGCGTGGTGAGCGTGGTGAGCATGGTGAGCGTGGTGAGTGAGCGTGGTGAGCGAGCGTGGTGAGCGTGGTGAGTGAGCGTGGTGAGCGTGTTGAGCGTGGTGAGTGAGCGTGGTGAGCGTGGTGAGCGAGCGTGGTGAGTGAGTGTGGTGAGCGTGGTGAGTGAGCGTGGTGAGTGAGCGTGGTGAGCGTGGTGAGCGTGGTGAGTGAGCGTGGTGAGTGAGTGTGGTGAGCGTGGTGAGTGAGTGTGGTGAGCGTGGTGAGTGAGCGTGGTGAGCGAGCGTGGTGAGCGTGGTGAGCGAGCGTGGTGAGTGAGCGTGGTAAGTGAGCGTGGTGAGTGAGCGTGGTGAGCGAGCGTGGTGAGCGTGGCGAGTGAGCGTGGTGAGTGAGCGTGGTGAGTGAGCGTGGTGAGCGAGCGTGGTGAGCGTGGTGAGCGTGGTGAGCGAGCGTGGTGAGTGAGCGTGGTGAGTGAGCGTGGTGAGCGTGGTGAGCGAGCGTGGTGAGCGTGGTGAGTGAGCGTGGTGAGCGTGGTGAGTGAGCGTGGTGAGCGAGCGTAGTGAGCGAGCGTGGTGAGCGTGGTGAGTGAGCGTGGTGAGTGAGCGTAGTGAGCGAGCGTGGTGAGCGTGGTGAGTGAGCGTGGTGAGCGAGCGTGGTGAGCGTGGTGAGTGAGCGTGGTGAGTGAGTGTGGTGAGCGTGGTGAGTGAGCGTGGTGAGCGAGCGTGGTGAGCGTGGTGAGTGAGCGTGGTGAGCGAGCGTGGTGAGCGTGGTGAGCGTGGTGAGTGAGCGTGGTGAGTGAGCGTGGTGAGCGTGGTGAGTGAGTGTGGTGAGCGTGGTGAGTGAGCGTGGTGAGCGAGCGTGGTGAGCGTGGTGAGCGAGCGTGGTGAGTGAGCGTGGTGAGTGAGTGTGGTGAGCGTGGTGAGTGAGTGTGGTGAGCGTGGTGAGTGAGCGTGGTGAGCGAGCGTGGTGAGCGTGGTGAGCGTGGTGAGTGAGCGTGGTGAGTGAGCGTGGTGAGTGAGCGTGGTGAGCGAGCGTGGTGAGCGTGGTGAGCGTGGCGAGTGAGCGTGGTGCGTGAGCGTGGTGAGTGAGCGTGGTGAGTGAGCGTGGTGAGCGTGGTGAGTGAGCGTGGTGAGCGAGCGTGGTGAGCGTGGTGAGCGTGGCGAGTGAGCGTGGTGAGTGAGCGTGGTGAGTGAGCGTGGTGAGCGTGGTGAGCGAGCGTGGTGAGTGAGCGTGGTGAGTGAGCGTGGTGAGCGTGGTGAGCGAGCGTGGTGAGCGTGGTGAGTGAGCGTGGTGAGCGAGCGTGGTGAGCGAGCGTGGTGAGCGTGGTGAGTGAGCGTGGTGAGTGAGCGTGGTGAGCGAGCGTGGTGAGCGTGGTGAGTGAGCGTGGTGAGTGAGTGTGGTGAGCGTGGTGAGCGTGGTGAGTGAGCGTGGTGAGCGTGGTGAGTGAGCGTGGTGAGTGAGCGTAGTGAGCGAGCGTGGTGAGCGTGGTGAGTGAGCGTGGTGAGCGAGCGTGGTGAGCGTGGTGAGTGAGCGTGGTGAGTGAGTGTGGTGAGCGTGGTGAGTGAGCGTGGTGAGCGAGCGTGGTGAGCGTGGTGAGTGAGCGTGGTGAGCGAGCGTGGTGAGCGTGGTGAGCGTGGTGAGTGAGCGTGGTGAGTGAGTGTGGTGAGCGTGGTGAGTGAGTGTGGTGAGCGTGGTGAGTGAGCGTGGTGAGCGAGCGTGGTGAGCGTGGTGAGCGAGCGTGGTGAGTGAGCGTGGTGAGTGAGTGTGGTGAGCGTGGTGAGTGAGTGTGGTGAGCGTGGTGAGTGAGCGTGGTGAGCGAGCGTGGTGAGCGTGGTGAGCGTGGTGAGTGAGCGTGGTGAGTGAGCGTGGTGAGTGAGCGTGGTGAGCGAGCGTGGTGAGCGTGGTGAGCGTGGCGAGTGAGCGTGGTGAGTGAGCGTGGTGAGTGAGCGTGGTGAGTGAGCGTGGTGAGCGTGGTGAGTGAGCGTGGTGAGCGAGCGTGGTGAGCGTGGTGAGCGTGGCGAGTGAGCGTGGTGAGTGAGCGTGGTGAGTGAGCGTGGTGAGCGTGGTGAGCGAGCGTGGTGAGTGAGCGTGGTGAGTGAGCGTGGTGAGCGTGGTGTGCGAGCGTGGTGAGCGTGGTGAGTGAGCGTGGTGAGCGAGCGTGGTGAGCGAGCGTGGTGAGCGTGGTGAGTGAGCGTGGTGAGTGAGCGTGGTGAGCGTGGTGAGCGAGCGTGGTGAGTGAGCGTGGTGAGTGAGCGTGGTGAGCGTGGTGAGCGAGCGTGGTGAGCGAGCGTGGTGAGCGTGGTGAGTGAGCGTGGTGAGTGAGCGTGGTGAGCGAGCGTGGTGAGCGTGGTGAGTGAGCGTGGTGAGTGAGTGTGGTGAGCGTGGTGAGTGAGCGTGGTGAGCGAGCGTGGTGAGCGAGCGTGGTGAGCGTGGTGAGTCACCGGTAGAGGCGAGTATCCCACGGTGAGTCTTGCACCACGAGCAGCACGTGGCACACGGTAAGCAGCAGAGCAGCCAACTGGAGAGACTACAACCACCACCACAACCACAACCATCACCACAACCATTACCACCACAACCACCACCACAACCACAACCATTACAACAACCACAACCACCACAACCACCACAACGATTACCACCACAACCACCACAACCATCACCACCACCACAACCACCACAACCATCACCACAACCACCACAACCATCACAACCACTACAACCATCACCACAACCATCACCACAACCATTACCACAACCACCACAACCACCACAACCATCACCACAACCACCACCACAATCACCACAACCATCACCACAACCATCACCACAACCACCACCACCACAACCACCACAACCATCACCACAACCACAACCATTACCACATCCACCACCACAACAACCACCACCACAACCACCACAACCATCACAACCATCACCACAACCATCATTACAACCACCACCACAACCATCACCACAACCACCACCACAACCATCACCACAACCATCACCACAACAACCACCACAACCACCACCACAACCATCACCACAACCATCACCACAACCATCACCACAACCACCACCACAACCATCACCACAACCACCACAACCATCACCACAACCACCACCACAACCACCACCACAACCATCACCACCACCACAACCACCACCCCAACCACCACAACAACCACAACCACCACAACAACCATCACCACCACCACAACAACTACAACCACAACCACCACCCCAACCACCACAACAACCACCACCAACCACATCAACAACAACATTAACAACCACCACCACAACCACTACCACAACAACCACCACCACAACAACTACAACCACCACCACAACCACCACATCAACAACTACAACCACAACCACCACAACAACCACCAACACAACAACAACCACAACCACCACAACCACCACCAAAACAATCACAACAACCACATCAACATCAACCACATCAACAAGAACATTAACAACCACCACAACCAACAACAACCACATCAACAACAACCACAACCACCACCACAACAACCACCACCACAACAACAACCACAATTGTTGATGTTGTTGTTGTAGCTGTACTAGTCGTGGTTGTAGTGGTAGTTGTGGTGGTTGTTGTTGTTGTGGTGGTGGTTGTTGTTGTTGTTGTGGTTGTTGTTGTTGTGGTGGTAGTTGTGGTGGTAGTTATGGTTGTGGTAGTTGTGGTGGTTGTGGTGGTTGTGGTGGTGGTAGTTGTTGTGGTAGTTGTGGTGGTAGTTGTGGTAGTGGTGGTTGTGGTAGTTGTGGTAATTGTGGTGGTAGTTGTGGTTGTAGTGGTAGTTGTTGTTGTGGTGTTGGTGGTGGTACCCACGTGCATCTCCACGAATGTGTACTAGTAGTTGTGGTAGTTGTGGTTGTTGTTGTGGTGGTTGTGGTAGAAGTTGTGGTAGTTGTTGTGGTGGTTGTGGTAGTAGTTGTGGTAGTTGTGGTAGTAGTTGTTGTTGTGGTAGTTGTTGTTGTTGTGGTGTTGGTGGTGGTACCCACGTGCACCTCCACAAACGTGTGTGGCAGGGAGAACTCCTGGGGAAGTTTACGTTCGTTGTTGATGAAGTGGTCCAGCACAGACGCACTCAGCACTGGCTGGGGGGGGGGGCACGGGGGGGGGGGGGCACGGGGGGGGGGCACGGGGGGGGGCACGGGGGGGGGGGGCACGGGGAGAGTGACAATTTGACTGTGAGCGTGTGGGTGAGTGTGTGAATGAGAGGGTGGGCGAGTGTGTGAATGAGAGGGTGAGTGTGTGGGTGAGTGTGTGGGTGAGTGTGGGTGAGTGAGGGTGAGTGTGTGGGCGAATGTGTGGGTGAGTGTGTGGGTGAGTGTGTGGGTGAGCGTGTGGGTGAGTGTGTGGGTGAGTGTGAGGGTGAGTGTGTGCGTGAGTGTGTGGGTGAGTGTGTGAATGAGAAGGTGAGCGTGTGGGTGAGTGTGTGGGTGATCGTGTGGGTGAGTGTGTGGGTGAGTGTGTGGGTGAGTGTGTGGGTGAGTGTGTGGGTGAGCGTGTGGGTGAGCGTGTGCGTGAATGTGTGGGTGAGTGTGAGGGTGAGTGTGTGCGTGAGTGTGTGGGTGAGTGTGTGCGTGAGTGTGTGGGTGAGTGTGTGAATGAGAGGGTGAGCGTGTGGGTGAGCGTGTGGGTGAGCGTGTGGGTGAGCGTGTGGGTGAGTGTGGGTGAGTGTGTGAGTGTGTGAGCGTCAGCGAGGTGAGCGAGGTGAGTGTGTGAGCGAGGTGAGTGTGTGAGTGTGTGAGCGAGGTGAGCGGGGTGTGTGAGCGTGGTGAGTGTGTGAGTGTGTGAGTCTGTGAGCGTGGTGAGTGTGTGAGTGTGTGAGTCTGTGAGTGTGGTGAGTGTGTGAGTGTGTGAGCGTGGTGAGTGTGTGAGCGGGGTGAGCGTGTGAGTGTGTGAGTGTGTGAGTGTGGTGAGTGTGTGAGTGTGTTAGTGTGTTAGTGTGTGAGCGTGTGAGTGTGTGAGCGTGGTGAGCGTGGTGAGCGTGGTGAGTGTGGTGAGCGTGTGAGCGTGGTGAGCTTGGTGAGCGTGTGAGTGTGGTGAGCGTGGTGAGCGTGGTGAGCGGGGTGAGCGTGGTGAGCGTGGTGATTGTGTGAGGGTGGTGAGCGTGTGAGCGTGGTGAGCGTGGTGAGCGTGTGAGCGTGGTGAGCGTGGTGATTGTGTGAGCGGGGTGAGCGTGTGAGCGGGGTGAGCGTGTGAGCGTGGTGAGCGTGGTGATTGTGTGAGCGTGGTGAGCGTGTGAGCATGGTGAGCGTGGTGATTGTGTGAGTGTGGTGAGCATGTGAGCGAGGTGAGCGTGGTGAGCGTGGTGAGCGAGGTGAGCGTGGTGAGCGTGGTGAGCGAGGTGAGCGTGGTGAGCGAGTTGAGTGTGTGAGCGTGTGAGCGTGGTGAGCGTGTGAGCGTGGTGAGCGTGGTGAGCGAGTTGAGTGTGTGAGCGTGTGAGCGTGGTGAGCGTGTGAGCGTGGTGAGCGGGGTGAGCGTGTGAGCGTGGTGAGTGGGGTGAGCGTGGTGAGCGTGTGAGAGTGTGAGCGAGGTGAGCATGGTGAGTGTGTGAGCGTGGTGAACGTGGTGAGCTTGGTGAGCGAGGTGAGCGTGGTGAGTGTGTGAGCGTGTGAGCGAGGTGAGCGTGGTGAGCGTGGTGAGCGTGGTGAGCGTGGTGAGCGTGGGAGCGTGGTGAGTGTGTGAGCGTGGTGAGCGGGGTGAGCGTGGTGAGCGAGGTGAGCGTGGTGAGTGTGTGAGCGTGGTGAGTGTGTGAGCGTGTGAGCGTGGTGAGTGTGTGAGCGTGGTGAGCGTGGTGAGCGTGGTGAGCGTGGTGAGCGTGGTGAGCGGGGTGAGCGTGGTGAGCGTGGTGAGCGAGATGAGCGTGGTGAGCGGGGTGAGCGTGTGAGCGTGGTGAGTGTATGAGTGTGTGAGCGTGTGAGCGTGGTGAGCGTGGTGAGCGTGTGAGCACACCTGTGTGTCCAGGAAGAACACGCGCTCCTGGCTGATGAAGAGCTCCACGCCGCTGGTGTGGTGACTCGCTCGCTCACGGCTCTCCTGGCTCTGGGAGCGGAATGCGTGGAGCCTGCACACACACACACACACGTACACACACACTTACACACACACTTACACACACACACACGTACACACACACTTACACACGTACACACACACGTACACACACACGTACACACACACTTACACACACACTTACACACACACGTACACACACACTTACTCACTTACACACACACTTACACACACACTTACACACACACACGTACACACACACACGTACACACACACATACACACACACTTACACACACACTTACACACACACACGTACACACACACACACACACAGTTACACACACACACACGTACACACACACTTACATACACACTTACACACACACGTACACTCACACACACTTACACACACACTTACACACACACACGTACACACACACACGTACACACACACTTACACACATACTTACACACACGTACACACACACTTACACACACACGTACACACACACTTACACACGTACACACACACGTACACACACACGTACACACACACTTACACACACACTTACACACACTTACACACACACACGTACACACACACACACATACACACACTTACACACATACTTACACACACGTACACACACACTTACACACACACGTACACACACACTTACACACACACGTATACACACACACTTACACACACACAGTTACACACACACTTATACACACACTTACACACTTACACACACACTTACACACACACGTACACACACACTTACACACACACACATACACACACACTTACTCACTTACACACACACTTACACACACACACGTACACACACACACGTACACACACACTTACACACACACTTACACACACACGTACACACACACGTACACACACACTTACACACACACGTACACACACACTTACACAACAACAACCGCCATTCACCACTAAGTGGCGGTGACGTCACCACGACGCTTGTGCCAGGCTATGTGCACCCTGAGGCCACGTGAAGTGTCGAACGCCCGCTGGCAGGAGGTCACGGGGCAGACCCAGGTGCCACGGGTCGACTGACTGAGATGACTGGCTGATGCACCACCTGTGCCCTCTACTGTGCCAACCTGCTGTGCATTAGCCACCCAGCGCTCCGCTCGTTGTTCCGAGCGTCGCTCCTCCGCCCTCCGTTGTTGTTGAAGGGCGACTTCACGAGCCTCCTCCACAGAGGCCGATCTTGACATCGCTGGTACCAGTGATCGGCAAGTCCACTCAGCTCCACGTCCTCCTGTACATCACTCCATCTCTTCTCTAGCCCATGCCGCGCCCGTTTAGCCCCCTCGATGCGGCCGAACAAAAGCTGTTTCAGCATGCGGTGGCTGGGCATGCCGGCTACATGACCCAGCCATCGCAGCCTTGCCCGCCGGAGGAGCTCACCGATGGGACCTTGCCCAGATCTTTCAAGGATTTGTGAGCTCCTCACACAATCCAGTCTGGTTAAACCCAGGATGGATCGTAGGCAGGCCAGCCTAAATGTTTCTAACCGGCGAAGATGTTCCATTAGGGGGGTCCACGTTTCGCATGCGTAGAGAAGGGAGGGAATGACCGTGGCCGAAAAGACCTAACGCTTAGTGCGGAGCGACAGACCAGGTAGCTTCTACACAGCGTTACGCAACCAATGAAGAGATATTGCTGCTCGACTGATTCGGAGTGAGACCTCTGCTGTTAAACTGGAGCCGGTCATAAGCACACTGCCCAGGTATGGGAAACTCTCCACTCTCTCCACAACTGCCCCATCACCGATTGGGTGGAGTGTCCGATGGTACAAAATACCCAGGCAGGTGCTTAGTTTTGGTGGGGCTGATGGTAAGGCCCCATCTCTTAGTGGCACGCTCCAGTTACACGTACACACACACTTACACACACACACGTACACACATGTACACACGTACACACACACTTACACACACACGTACACACACACACACGTACACACACACTTACACACGTACACACGTACACACACACACATACACACTTACACACACACACTTACACACGCACACACGTACACACACATTTACACACACACACATGAACACACACACTTACACAACAACAACCGCTATTCGCCACTAAGTGGCGGTGACGTCACCACGACACTTGTGCCAGGCCATGTGCACCTTGAGGCCACGTGAACTGTCGAACGCCCGCGGGCAGGAGGTCACGGGGCAGACCCAGGTGCCACGGGTCGACTGACTGAGATGACTGAGATGACTGGCTGATGCACCACCTGTGCCCCTTACTGTGCCAACTTGCTGTGCGTAAGCGTACACACACACACGTACACACACACACGTACGTACACACACACACGTACACACACGTACACACACACGTACGTACACACACACACGTACGTACACAAAAGACAAAGACAAAGATCCCCCGTATAGCCTTAACAGACTGTAGGGGCAAGTGCTGTTAGCGAGCACCTATGAAGGCCGGATCGGTACACGAGGGGGTGGGTGGCCAGCACCACGCCCGACCGCCTTTGTCTCCCTAGTGGCGATGTTTACACACCGCACCAGGTACTCATTTGAGGCTGAGTCGACCTAGGGGAGGCCTGGGACCGGTTCAGATAATCGTCACTGGTGTTGGCCGTGAGCGGGAATCGAACCCGAGTCGCCAAGTTCATAGCGCAGCGCGCTAACCGCTACACTACCGCTCCCCACACACACACACGTACACACACACATGTACACACATGTATACACACACACGTATACACACACACGTACACACACGATCACACACAAACACCTCCCCCAATGGCGATGTTTACTACACAACGCACCAGGTACTCATTTGAGGCTGAGTTAACCTAGGGGAGGCCATTGACCGGTTCAATCACTCACCTACTCACCTACCCACTCACCCACCCACTCACCCACTCACTCACCCACCCGCTCACCCACGCACTCACCCACTCACTCACCCACCCGCTCACCCACGCACTCACCCACTCACTCACCCACCCACTCACCCACCCACTCACCCACCTACCCACCTACCCACCTACTCACTCACCTACCTACTCACCCACCCACTCACCTACCCACCCACTCACCTACCCACTCACCCACCCACTCACCTACCCACTCACCCACTCACCTACCCACCCACCCACTCACCTACCAACCCACCCACCCACCCACTCATCTACCCACCCACCCACTCACCTACCCACCCACCCACGGCTCACCGGGGGTCGTCCTCAGGAGAGTTGGTGGCCAGCAGGGACATGATGGTGGACTTCCCCACGCCCTGAGGGCCCAGAACCCCGACCACCAGGAAGTCCGTCTGGTCCAGCAGCATCTGGTGCAATGAAGCACAAACACACACACACAGACACACACACACACACAGTACACACACACAGACACACACACAGACACACACACACAGACACACACACAGACACACACACAGACACACACACACAGACATACACACACACAGACACACACAGACACACACAGACACACACACAGTACACACACACACAGACACACACAGTACACACACAGAGACACACAGACACACACAGACAGGCACACACAGACAGACACACACACACACAGACACACACACACACACAGACGCACACACACACAAACACACACAGACACACACACAGACACACACACAGACACACATACACACAGACACACACAGATACACACAGTACACACACACACACAGACACACACACAGACACACACACACAGTACACACACACAGACACATACACAAACACACAGACACACACACAGACACACACACACAGACACACACACAGACACACATACACACAGACACACACACAAACACACACAGATACACACAGTACACACACACACAGACACACACACAGACACACACAGACACACACACAGACACATACACAGATACACACACACAGTACACACACACACAGACACATACACAAACACACACAAACACACAGACACACACACAAACACACACAGATACACACAGACACACACACAAACACACACACAGACACACACACAAACACACACACACAGACACACACACAGACACACACACAGACGCACACACACACAGACGCATATGTAATGGGTTCCGGAGACACTTGTAGAGGCGACTCTTTATTACAACAAACCACGCCAACAGTCCTGATACAGCCGAGGGACACAGCCGACTTCTAGCGAGCCTGACACTGCCTACGCTCTCGGCTCCTCCGGCTATGACTACCCTAGGGGAGGCGACCTGACCCGACCCAGCCAAGGTGCAGGTCCAGACCTCTGGCTTCCTCGGACCTCGCACTCAGAGTGTCACCACCGGCACGCACAGCGTCCCGGCCCTCACAAGGGCAGCGTGGAGCTGGGAGTCTCAGAGTGTCACCACCACAGCGTCCCGGCCCTGACAAGGGCAGTGTGGAGCTGGGAGTTCCAGAGTGTCACCACCACAGCGTCCTAGCCCTGACAAGGGCAGCGTGGAGCTGGGAGTCTCAGAGTCTCACCACCACAGCGTCCCGGCCCTGACAAGGGCAGGGTGGAGCTGGGAGTCCCAGAGTCTCACCACCACAGTGTCCCGGCCCTCACAAGGGCAGCGTGGAGCTGGGAGTCCCAGAGTCTCACCACCACAGCGTCCCGGCCCTCACAAGGGCAGCGTGGAGCTGGGAGTCCCAGAGTCTCACCACCACAGCGTCCCGGCCCTGACAAGGGCAGCGTGGAGCTGGGAGTCCCAGAGTCTCACCACCACAGCGTCCCGGCCCTCACAAGGGCAGCGTGGAGCTGGGAGTCCCAGAGTCTCACCACCACAGCGTCCCAGCCCTCACAAGGGCAGCGTGGAGCTGGGAGTCTCAGAGTGTCACCACCACAGCGTCCCGGCCCTCACAAGGGCAGCGTGGAGCTGGGAGTCCCAGAGTCTCACCACCACAGCGTCCCAGCCCTCACAAGGGCAGCGTGGAGCTGGGAGTCTCAGAGTGTCACCACCACAGCGTCCCGGCCCTCACAAGGGCAGCGTGGAGCTGGCAGTCTCAGAGTGTCACCACCACAGCGTCCCAGCCCTCACAAGGGCAGCGGGGCTAGGGGGTCCAGGGTCCTAAGCTGGCTGCTGGTCTTGGGCTGGCACTGCAGCCCCTCCCCTGGCAGTCCCAGGTACCCCCAGGGGAGGGGCCCCGTCTACCACTGCTGGTAAGTGCGGCCCCCATCTACGGCACTACGCTCGCACAAACAAAGATCACCCCGTGTAGCCTGTAACAGACTGTAGGGGCAAGTGCTGATCGCGAGCGCCTATGAAGGCCAGAACGGCACACGAGGGGGTGGGTGGCCAGCACCACGCCCGGCCGCCTTTGTCTCCCCGGTGGCGATGTTTAAACACTGTAACAGGTACTCATTTGAGGCTGAGTCGACCTAGGGGAGGCCCAGGACTGGTTCAGATATCATCGTCACTGATTTTGGCCGTGTGTGTTTGAGTGTGTGCGTGTGTGAGACCTACACCTCTGCTTTATTGACCTGGTCAAGCCCTATGATACCATCAGTAGGCCTGGGCTCTGGGTTGTTCTTCGTGCTTTCGGAGACCCTGACCCTCTGCTCACGATCATTAAGGACCTTCATGATGGTGAGCGGGCCCGGGTAAAACTACGTGGCCGGGGGTCGGAGCCATTCCCTGTATACCTTGAGGTGTGACAGGGATGTCCTCTGGCTCCCACATTATTTAACATCTATTTCGACCACGTAGTTCGTGAAGCCTTCAATAGCTGTACCGGAGGAATTTCCATCTGGTACAGATATAATGGGAGGCTGATCAATGCCCGGGTGCGGTCGAGGGATGGCTCCCTATTGCTCAACCACGTTATGTATGCCGATGATTTGGTAATAGCTGCTCATTCAGAGGAGGAGTTGGAGACGATGCTGCTGAGACTGGAGCATGCCACTAAGAGGTGGGGCCTTACCATCAGCCCCACCAAAACTAAGCACCTGCCTGGGTATTTTGTACCATCGGACACTCCACCCTCACAACTCCCAATTGGTGATGGGGCAGTTGTGGAGAGAGTGGAGAGTTTCCCATACCTGGGCATTGTGCTCATGACCGGCTCCAGTTTGGCAGCAGAGGTCTCACTCCGAATCAGTCGAGCGGCAATATCTTTTCATCGGTTGCATAACGCTGTGTGGAAGTTTCCTGGTCTGTCGCACCGCACGAAGCTTCAGGTCTTCTCGGCCACAGTCAATCCCTCCCTTCTGTACGCTTGCGAAACGTGGACCCCCTAATGGAACATCTTTGCCAGTTATAAACATTTAGGCTAGCCTGCCTACGATCCATCTTGGGTTTAACCAGGCTGGATTGTGTGAGGAGCTCACAAATCCTTGAGCTCCTCCAGGCTGCGTTGGCTCGGTCATGTAGCCCGCATGCCCAGTCACCGCATGCCTTAACAGCTTTTGTACATCTGGATAGAGGGGGCTAAACGGGCGTGGCATGGGCTAGAGAAGAGATGGAGTGATGTGGTACAGGAGGACGTGAAGCTGAGTGGACTTGCCGATGACCGGTACCAGCGGTGTCAAGATCGGCCTATGTGGAGGAGGCTCGTGAAGGACGCTACTGGGCAGTTGGAGGCAGTCGCCCTCCAACAACAACGGAGGGCGGAGGAGCGACGCTCACAACAACGAGCGGAGCGCCGGGTGGCTAAAGCACAGCAGGTTGGCACAGTAGGGGGCACAGGTGGTGCATCAGCCAGTCATCTCAGTCAGTCGACCCGTGGCACCTGGGTCTGCCCCGTGACCTCCTGCCGGCGGGCGTTCGACACTCCACGTGGCCTCAAGGTGCACCTGGCCTGGCACAAGCGTCGTGGTGACGTCACCGCCACTTACGGCGAATGTTGTTGTTGTGTGAGTGTGGGGTGCACCTCCATGGCAGTGTCGCACCACCCCATGTGCTCGTCCAGCAGCTTCACGCTGTGCTTCATTCGCTCCGTGGGCTGCAGCAGCAGCAACAGGCGTGGCGGTGCCGATGGCGCAGAGCCATCTACAACATCAACAACAAACATCAACGACATCAACAACGTCGACATCATCGACAACGTCGACAGCGTCGCCATCACCGACATCATCAACATCATCGACGTTATTGACAACATTAACATCTACAACATCATCGATATCAACAACATCAATAACAATAATATCATCAACATTATCAAAAACTACATCAACATCATCAACATCATCAACATCACCGACATCAACAACATCATCATCGGCACCATTAACATCAACCATAACATTGACAAGATCAACAACATCAACATCACCCATCATCAAGAACATCACCGACAACATCATAATTAATATCACCGACATCAACAACACCAAAAATAACATCGGGGCAACAGCAACATTATCGGTAACATCAATATCACCGACATCAACAAGAATATCAACATCAACAACATCACCAATGCTGAGAGTACTGGTGGTAGTGGCGATAGTAGTGGTGTTGGTAGTGGTGGTGGTAGTGGTGGTGGTAGTAGCGGTTGTGGTGGTAGAGGTGGTAGTGGCGATGGTAGTGGTTGGTAGTGGCGGTAGTGGCGGTGATAGACGTGGTAGTGGTGGTAGTGGTGGCAGTGGCGGTAGTGGTGGTAGTGGCGATGGTAGTGGCGGTAGTGGCGGTAGTGGTGGTGGTAGTGGCGATGGTAGTGGTGGTGGTTGGTAGTGGCAGTAGTGGCGGTAGTGGTGGTAGTGGCGGTAGTGGCGGTAGTGGTGGTGATCGTGGCGATGGTAGTGGTGGTTGGTAGTGGCAGTAGTGGTGATAGTGGCGATGGTAGTGGTGGTAGTGGCGGCAGGGGCGATGGTAGTGGTGGTGGTTGGTAGTGGCGGTAGTGGTGATAGTGGCGATGGTAGTGGTGGTAGTGGTGGTAGTGGCGGTGATAGACGTGGTAGTGGTGGTAGTGGCGGTAGTGGTGGTCGTGGCGGTAGTGGTGGTGATAGACGTGGTAGTGGTGGTAGTGGTGGCAGTGGCGGTAGTGGTGGTAGTGGTGGTAGTGGTTGGTAGTGGCGGTAGTGGCGGTAGTGGTGAGTGGCGATGGTAGTGGTGGTAGTGGTGGTAGTGGCGGTGATAGATGTGGTAGTGGTGGTCGTGGCGATGGTAGTGGTGGTAGTGGCGATGGTAGTGGCGATGGTAGTGGCGGTAGTGGTGGTGGTAGTGGTGATGGTAAATGGTGGTAGTGGTTGGTAGTGGCAGTAGTGGTGGTAGTGGCGGTGGTAGTGGCAGTGGTTTGTAGTGGCGGTAGTGGCGATGGTAGTGGCGATGGTAGTGGTGGTGGTTGGTGGCAGTGGTGGTAGTGGCAGTGATAGACGTGGTAGTGGTGGTAGTGGCGGTAGTGGTGATAGTGGCGATGGTAGTGGTGGTAGTGGTGGTAGTGGCGGTGATAGACGTGGTAGTGGCGGTAGTGGCGGCAGTGGTGGTGGTAGTGGTGATGGTAAATGGTGGTAGTGGTTGATAGTGGCGGTAGTGGCGGTGGTAGTGGCGATGGTAGTGGCGATGGTAGTGGCGATGGTAGTGGCGATGGTAGTGGCTGGTTGTGGTAGAAGCAGCGGTGCTGCTGCCCTCTCACTCTCGGCGGTGGCCGCGTTGGCCGTGCCCACGGTAGCCGTGGTGGCGGTGGCGGCGGCGGCGGCCGAGGTGACGGCGGCGCTGGACGAGGCCGTCGTGGTCCCGCCGGTGGCCGGAGGCTGCGGCACGCCGCCGCCGCCGCCGCCGCCGCCGCCGCTGCCGCGGTTGTGGATGTGGTAGAGCGGCTGAGCCGGCCGCTCGCTCGCCGCCCTGGCCGGGGGGCTCGAGCCCCCCCCCCGCCGCCACTCCGCCCCCTCCCCCCACCGCCACTCCGGGGGCTCCCTCACGGTGATCGTCGTCGCGAGGTTTGGCGAGCACCGCCACCGGCTTCTCCGCGCCGCCGCCGCCACCCACCGCCGCAGCTCCAGCCTCCGTGCGAGAAAAAAGGCAAAGGTCCCCCGTGTAGCCTCCAACAGACTGCAGGGGCAAGTGCCGTTTGCGAGCAGCAGCGGCTACGAAGGCCGGCACTGTGGCACACACGAGGGCGTGGGTGGCAAGCACCACGCCTCGGCCGCCTTTGTCTCCCCAATGGCGATGTTTACGACACACACACACGGCACCAGGTGCTCATTTGAGGCTGAAGCCGACCTACGGGAGGCCCAGTGTCGAACGCCCGCTGGCAGGAGGTCACGGGGCAGACCCAGGTGCCACGGGTCGACTGACTGAGATGACTGAGATGACTGGCTGATGCACCACCTGTGCCCCCTACTGTGCCAACTTGCTGTGATTTAGCCACCCGGCGCTCCGCTCGTTGTTGTGAGCGTCGCTCCTCCGCCCTCCGTTGTTGTTGGAGGGCGACTGCCTCCAACTGCCCAGTAGCGTCCTTCACGAGCTTCTTCCACAGAGGCCGATCTTGACACCGCTGGTACCGGTCATCGGCAAGTCCACTCAGCTCCACGTCCTCCTGTACCACGTCACTCCATCTCTTCTCTAGCCCGTGCCGCGCCCGTTTAGCCCCCTCGATCCGGCCGAACAAAAGCTGTCTCGGCATGCGGTGGCTGGGCATGCGAGCTACATGACCCAGCCAATGCAGCCTTGCCTGCCGGAGGAGCTCACCGATGGGACCTTGCCCAGATCTTTCAAGGATTTGTGAGCTCCTCACACAATCCAGTCTGGTTAAACCCAGGCTAGATCGTAGGCAGACCAGCCTAAATGTTTCTAACCGGCGAAGATGTTCCATTAGGGGGGTCCACGTTTCGCAAGCGTAGAGAAGGGAGGGCATGACCGTGGTCGAGAAAACCCAAAATTTCACGTGGAGCCACAGACCACAGTAGCTTCCACACGGCTTTATGCAGCTGATGGCAGGCGCATCTTACAGATGACAAGCCAATGGTCAGTGGGCAGATCAGCTCCAGGTCCTGGTGTGAAGGACATGGGCTCGCATCCGCTGTTCCGTCACTATGTAGTCCAGCAGATGTTCTTGCTTGGACCCGGCGTGCATCCATGATGTTGTGTGGATACCCCGATGCCGGAACAGCGTGTTGGTAATTAGAAGCCCATGGGCTGCACAAAAATCTAGCAGCCTCCTGCTGTTATTGAGCTGATCTGGCCCATGCCTTCAAATCACGCCAGACCAGGTGTCAGCATCATGACCAACTCGGGCACTGAAGTCACCCAATATGATGACTCTATCCCGAGGGGCCACATTAGCTAGCACCTGTGACAGGAGGTCATAGAAGACATCTGACTCATCGGACTTGCCTGCATCCCTCCACTGATGTTCATTTTCGGTGGGGGCATAAGTAACCACGACCACCACTCCTCGCCTCCGGTTGATGGGAAGGCGAGCGCAAAGTAGCCTGGGGTTCACAGCTTCCCACACGTCACTGCCACTCTCCCACGCCCCCTTCATTTTTTTGTTCAGAAGAGCCACACCGTTGTTTGGCAGTCTCCTGCCCCGAGTAGAGGACTGTCCACCCACCATGGTGGCAGGAGCCAGAGCCGGTCTGCGGTACCTCCTGAATGCTGCAGAGATTCAGATGGAACCGGTCCAGCTCCTGACAGAGTGGCAGGCTCTCATCTGCATTGGGCGTTCGAAGATCCCCTGTATAGCCTGAACAGAATGTTGGGGCAAGTGCTGTTTGCGATTAGCAACACCTATAAAGGCCTTTGTCTCCCCAGTGGCGATGTTTATTACACACCGCACCAGGTACTCACTTTAGGCTAAGTCGACCTAGGGGAGGCCCAGGACCGGTTCAGATAATCGTCACCGGTGTTGGCCATGAGTGGGAACCGAACTCGGGTCCCCAGGTTCGCAGCGCAGTGTGGTGCTAACCACTACACCACCGCTCCCCACACACACGTACACACAAAGACATGCACACACACGTACACACAAAGACACGCACACACACATACACACAAAGACACGCACACACACGTACACACAAAGACACGCACACACACGTGCACACAAAGACACGTACACACAAAGACACGCACGTACACACAAAGACACGCACACGCACGTACACACAAAGACACGCACACACACGTACACACACAAAGACACGCACACACAAAGACACGCATACACAAAGACACGCACACACACGTACACACAAAGACACGCACACACACGCACACACAAAGACACGCACACACACGTACACACAAAGACACGCACACACACGTACACACAAAGACACGCACACACACGTACACACAAAGACACGCACACACACGTACACACAAAGACACGCACACACAAAGACACGCACACACAAAGACACGCACACACAAAGACACGCACACACAAAGACACGAACACACACGTACACACAGGGACACACAAAGACACGCACACACACGTACACACAAAGACACGCACCCACACGCACACACAAAGACACGCACACACAGGGACACACAAAGACACGCACACACACGTACACACAAAGACACGCACACACAGGGACACTCAAAGACACGCACACACAGGGACACACGGGGACACACACACGGTGGGGGGGGGGGGTGTGGGCGGGGCTGCTGACTGTTGGTTGTGTTTGTGGGGGGCTGAGTGATGAGGGGAGTGCGGGGGGGGCCCCAGCTCACCACGCGGTCTGCAGGGGGCTTAGCGAGGATGATGGGGGTTCGCATCATGGCCCCCACCTCCTTGGTGTCCGCCTCCTCCTGCGAAGACAGAAGCACAGACAAAGCTCCCCCACCCACCGTGTAGCCTCCCACACACACACACACGCTGTCGGGGCAAGTGCTCTATGTTGAACTTCTTTTCGATTTGAAGCTTTCGTGACTGCAAGGATTCATCTTCTTTGGTTCTTTCGGTAAAGTCACCACGTGGAATGAGAATAAAATCATAAATTAATAAAATAACACAATAAAATTCTCACGACGTTTCGGCCACAACACAAGTGGCCTTCATCAGGTGAAGGGACGAGACTGTCTGGAGGACAGCAAGCTGCAGCGTGTACAACGTTGCCTTCCAGCGCTGTCCTCCAGACAGTCTCGTCCCTTCACCTGATGAAGGCCGCTTGTGTTGTGGCCGAAACGTCGTGAGAATTTTATCATGTTATTTTATTTTATCAATTTATCATTTTATTCTCATTCTACATGGTGGTGACTTTACCGAAAGAACCAAAGAAGTTGAACTTCTTCAGCACTGCACGTAGCCAACCGCGCTAATCGGACGTTGCGAGGGAAGGACAACAAACAACAAACCACAACAACAACCAGCGGCAGCAGCAGTTCTAAAGAAACGAGTTTGTCAATCTAAATTACGACGACGAAGACGTCAAAGTGCAGCATAGCTCCAGCGGCTTCCGAACATCGGAAGGGAAGAGCGTTCCAGACGGGCAGCAGAAGCAGCGCGCCTGAAAGCGCCGCACGGCGGCGGCGAAGGCAACGACAATGCGGTGACCACCGTCGACGGTTATCCAAAAGCCGCCGCTGCGGGGACGAGCCGAGTTCACGGGCGCGACGATGCTTTACGCTCCTTGACGGGATCAGCAGCAAGGCATCGTGGCTCACTTGCGGCAAGCACTTTGTGTGTGTGTGTGTGCAATGACTGCGACCTTGCAACGAATTCGTTCGTTGCAACCAGAAGCCAATGCAGCTCGTCGAGCACCGGACGGGCACGGTGTCGGATCTTGCGACGTGTGGAAGGCAACGTTGTACACGCCGCAGCTTGCTAATGTTTTTTGCCAGACGTCCCGTATACGCAGCGAGTTGCAACAATCGAGCCTCGCCAACGACACTGCGCTGCACGCCAACCGCGTTGGCTGTTTCAGGACTCAATAAGCGGTGGAACGTGTTGTGGAGCCCCGACATGAAGCTTGCAGGACAAGACGGATGTTTTGCACGCGGTGATCAAACGACAACATTCTGGTCGAGTACGGGGAGCAGTGAACATCTTCGCACGGCTGTTGTTGAAACCCTTTCTCATTTGTCATACTTTTAAAACTGTCAAAAAAAATGGTATCCTGTAGTTGTAACTGCTCGACCCGAGCTTTAAGTGTTCTGATACAGGGACTCCTCAACTTACGAACGAGTTAGGTTCCAGAGCTCTCCGTTCGTAAGTCCAACTTTACTCCTGTTGATTCAAACACCTTGTACGGCATGTACACTCAACACGGGGAATGGCTTTAAAAGTTGTATAATCGCCTGTAGATGCCACTGGTTCTTCATGTTCTGTAGATGTAGATGCCACCGGTTCTTCACGTTCTGTAGATGCCACTGGTTCTTCACGTTCTGTAGATGTAGATGCCACTGGTTCTTTACGTTCTGTAGATGTAGATGCCACTGGTTCTTCACATTCTGTAGATTTAGATGCCACTGGTTCTTCACGTTCTGCAGATGTAGATGCCACTGGTTCTTCACGTTCTGCAAATGTAGATGCCACTGGTTCTTCACATTCTGCAGATGTAGATGCCACTGCTTCTTCACGTTCTGCAGATGTAGATGCCACTGGTTCTTCACGTTCTGTAGATGCCACTGGTTCTTCACGTTCTGTAGATGTAGATGCCACTAGTTCTTCACGTTCTGCAGATGTAGATGCCACTGGTTCTTCACGTTCTGTAGATGTAGATGCCACTGGTTCTTCACGCTCTGTAGATGTAGATGCCACTGGTTCTTCACGTTCTGCAGATGTAGATGCCACTAGTTCTTCACGTTCTGCAGCTGTAGATGCCACTGGTTCTTCATGTTCTGCAGATGTAGATGCCACTGCTTCTTCACGTTCTGCAGATGTAGATGCCACTGGTTCTTCACGTTCTGCAGATGTAGATGCCACTGGTTCTTCACGTTCTGCAGCTGTAGATGCCACTGGTTCTTCATGTTCTGCAGATGTAGTTGCCACTGCTTCTTCACGTTCTGCAGATGTAGATGCCACTGGTTCTTCACGGTCTGCAGATGTAGATGCCACTGGTTCTTCACGTTCTGTAGATGTAGATGCCACTGGTTCTTCACGCTCTGTAGATGTAGATTCCACTGGTTCTTCACGCTCTGTAGATGTAGATGCCACTGGTTCTTCATGTTCTGTAGATGTAGATGCCACCGGTTCTTCACGTTCTGCAGATGTAGATGCCACTGGTTCTTCACGTTCTGCAGATGTAGATGCCACTGGTTCTTCACGCTCTGCAGATGTAGATGCTACTGGTTCTTCATGTTCTGTAGATGTAGATGCCACTTCACGTTCTGTAGATGTAGATGCCACTGTTTTTTTACGGTCTGTAGATGTAGATGCCACTGGTTCTTCACGTTCTGCAGATGTAGATGCCACTGGTTCTTCACGTTCTGCAAGTGTAGATGCCACTGGTTCTTCACGCTCTGCAGATGTAGATGCCACTGGTTCTTCACGCTCTGTAGATGTAGATGCCACTGGTTCTTCACGTTCTGCAGATGTAGATGCCACTGGTTCTTCACGTTCTGCAGATGTAGATGCCACTTGCTCTTCACGTTCTGCAAATGTAGATGCCACTGGTTCTTCACGCTCTGTAGATGTAGATGCCACTGGTTCTTCACGTTCTGCAGATGTAGATGCCAATGGTTCCTCATGTTCTGCAGATGTAGATGCCACTGGTTCTTCACGTTCTGCAGATGTAGATGCCACTGGTTCCTCTCGTTCTGCAGATGTAGATGCCACTGGTTCTTCACGTTCTGTAGATGTAGATGCCACTGGTTCTTCACGCTCTGTAGATGTAGATGCCACTGGTTCTTCACGTTCTGCAGATGTAGATGCCACTGGTTCTTCACGTTCTGCAGCTGTAGATGTCACTGGTTCTTCACGTTCTGCAGATGTAGATGCCACTGCTTCTTCACGTTCTGCAGATGTAGATGCCACTGCTTCTTCACGTTCTGCAGATGTAGTGCCACTGGTTCTTCACGTTCTGCAGATGTATATGCCATTGGTTCTTCACGTTCTGCAGCTGTAGATGCCACTGGTTCTTCATGTTCTGCAGATGTAGTTGCCACTGCTTCTTCACGTTCTGCAGATGTAGATGCCACTGGTTCCTCACGCTCTGCAGATGTAGATGCCACTGGTTCTTCACGTTCTGTAAATGTAGATGCCACTGGTTCTTCACGCTCTGTAGATGTAGATGCCACTGGTTCTTCACGCTCTGTAGATGTAGATGCCACTGGTTCTTCATGTTCTGCAGATGTAGATGCCACCGGTTCTTCACGTTCTGCAGATGTAGATGCCACTGGTTCTTCACGTTCTGCAGATGTAGATGCCACTGGTTCTTCACGCTCTGCAGATGTAGATGCTACTGGTTCTTCATGTTCTGCAGATGTAGATGCCACTGGTTCTTCACGTTCTGTAGATGTAGATGCCACTGGTTTTTTACGGTCTGTAGATGTAGATGCCACTGGTTCTTCACGTTCTGCAGATGTAGATGCCACTGGTTCTTCACGTTCTGCAAGTGTAGATGCCACTGGTTCTTCACGCTCTGCAGATGTAGATGCCACTGGTTCTTCACGCTCTGTAGATGTAGATGCCACTGGTTCTTCACGTTCTGCAGATGTAGATGCCACTGGTTCTTCACGTTCTGCAGATGTAGATGCCACTTGCTCTTCACGTTCTGCAAATGTAGATGCCACTGGTTCTTCACGTTCTGTAGATGTAGATGCCACTGGTTCTTCACGTTCTGCAGATGTAGATGCCACTAGTTCTTCACGTTCTGCAGATGTAGATGCCACCGGTTCTTCACTTTCTGCAGATGTAGATGCCACCACCGCCATTCATTGCACGGCGGCTGAACTTACGACTCTCGGTCCGAACAGGCAACTGGACATGTGGACATCTTTGTTTGTATCTCTGAATGTGCGTAAGTCGAGGCGTCCCTGCGCGTGTGTGGTGACACAGCGCCGACTGCTGCCCAGCAGCGGCAACCGCACTGGACAGCTCGCGCACGCGCCGACGAGCGCACGCACGGCGTGCGTGCCGGCAGGGCGGAGGAACTGGGGCAAGGGGTCACGGAAGACCTCATCGGGAGAGCCCCTGGCACCCGCTGGTGACTTTGAGAAGGGTAGAATAACAGCAGCGGAGAGCGACAGAACTCCGGGCTGCCGCCTCCGGGAGTGGACTCATCCCGCCATCGCCGCCTTCATCGCTCGATAGCTGCGCGGCATGGACGGCTGTCGGCCGCCGCGGCCGGCGCCGCCGGTGCAACGCGGTTAGGGTTGCGCCGAGGCTGGGCTGCACGGCAGCGAGGGGGAAGGAGACGAGCCTGTGCGCGGACTGCCGAAAAGTGTTGCGGCAAAGAAGGCGCCTTCCTGCAACGACCTCGTCTCAGACTTGTGCTACACGACACGTGGATTTAAATGTTGATTTAAAGCTTTCGTGACTGCAGTAATTCATATTCTTAGCTCCTTCGGTAAAGTCACGTTGAAGAGAAACAATAAAATAATAATAAAATATATATATAAAACAATAAAAAAAAAATTACGACGTTTCGACCATAACGCAAACGGTCATCATCAGGTGATGAACGTTTGTGTTATGGTCGAAACGTCGTGAGAATTTGTATTTGTTTTATATATATTTTATTACTTTATTGTTTCCCTTCAACGTGACTTTACCGAAAGAGCTAAGAATATACACGTGCATTGTCTTCGTAGCGTTCGCCATCTGGCGCTGTTCTCTGGTCTGACACTGGGAGTGAGACTCGGCGATGAAGAAGGCCGCCGTCTCCAGTGTAGGCCAAACCCGTTTCCAAGACAACGCATGACGCTATTATTATCGGAGCATGTTTGTTTGCATGTTGTGGCACACGTACCGCGTGTGGTTAAAGCAGACTTGATGATGCCTTGCAATAGGCGTGTGTGCGTGTGTGTGTGTTCTCCGTTTGGTGTTTGAACATCTCAACACAACTGCTGTTTTATTGCCAGAGAGGGTGAAAACCCATTCTCATTACTGACACTTTAAGACTGGCCAAAGAAGGTCCCACCGATAGGAATTACACGAACTTATTCAATGTCGTTATTTGCTTAATTTGTAAAGAGTCATACTTAAGTGACTTGGTCAGCCCTCTCTCCGTTGCGTCGCCCTATCGTGAAGTTGTCGTGTCGTGAACTTGCCGCTAAAACCAGGCACTTATTGGCGGCCGAGTCAACCTCGGGGGAGGCCGGGAATCACGTTCAGACGATCGGAGTCACCGGTGGTGTCGGTGGCCGTGAGCGGGGAATCAAATTCAGGTCTCTTTCGGGTTCGTAGCCCAGCGCTAACCACTGCGCCACCACTCCGCGCAAAGACAAAGGTCCCCCGTGTAGCTTCTAACAGACTGTAGGGGCAAGTGCTGTGAGTAGCGAGAAGCAGCAGCGCCTAAGAAGGTAGACACAGACAAAGATCCCCCGTGTAGCCTCTAACAGACTGTAGGGGCAAGTGCTGTGAGTAGCGAGTAGCAGCAGCGCCTATGAAGGTAGACACAGACAAAGGTCCCCCGTGTAGCCTCTAACAGGCTGTAGGGGCAAGTGCTGTTAGTAGCGAGTAGCAGCACCTATGAAGGTAGACACAAAGGTCCCCCGTGTAGCCTCTAACAGACTGTAGGGGCAAGTGCTGTTAGTAGCGAGTAGCAGAAGCACTTATGAAGGTAGACACAGACAAAGATCCCCCATGTAGCCTCTAACAGACTGCAGGGGCAAGTGCTGTTAGTAGCGAGTAGCAGCAGCACCTATGAAGGTAGACATAAAGGTCCCCCGTGTAGCCTCTAACAGACTGTAGGGGCAAGTGCTGTGAGTAGCGAGTAGCAGCAGCGCCTATGAAGGTCAAAGATCCCCCGTGTAGCCTCTAACAGACTGTAGGGGCAAGTGCTGTTAGCGAGCGCCTATGAAGGCCGGCATGGCACACGAGGGGATGGGTGGCCAGCACCACGCCTGGCCACCTTTGTCTCCCCGGTGGTGATGTTTACCACACACACAGCACCAGGTGACTCATTTGAGTCGACCCAGGGGAGGCCCAGAACCGGTTCACGCAATCGTCACCGGTTATACATACACACAAATACACATACACACAACAACCGCCATTCGCCACTAAGTGGCGGTGACGTCACCACGACGCTTGTGCCAGGCCATGTGCACCATGAGGCCACGTGAAGTGTCGAACGCCCGCTGGCAGGAGGTCACGGGGCAGACCCAGGTGCCACGGGTCGACTGACTGAGATGACTGAGATGACTGGCTGATGCACCACCTGTGCCCCCTACTGTGCCAACCTGCTGTGCCCTAGCCACCCGGCGCTCTGCTCGTTGTTGTGAGCGTCGCTTCTCCGCCCTCTGCTGTTGCTGGAGGGCGACTGCCTCCAACTGCCCAGTAGCGTCCTTCACGAGCCTCCTCCACAGAGGCCGATCTTGACACCGCTGGTACCGGTCATCGGCAAGTCCACTCAGCTCCACGTCGTCCCGTACCGCATCAGCTCCATCTCTTCTCCAGCCCGTGCAGTGGTAATTTATCCACCTCTATCTGGTCAAACAGAAGTTGCTTGGGCATGCGGTGGTGGCTGGGCATGCGGTCGACGTGACCCACGCATATACGCACTCACCTGTGTGTGAGAATCATCGGGACTTGCATTCCAGAGCTGCACCACACACAGAGAGATCACATCACTACCATCACTCTCACACACACAGAGATGACATCACTACCATCACTCACACACACAGAGATCACATCACTACCATCACTCACACACACAGAGATCACATCACTACCATCACTCACACACACAGAGATCACATCACTACCATCACTCACACACACAGATTACATCACTACCATCACTCACACACACAGCGATCACATCACTACCATCACTCACACACACACACACAGATTACATCACTACCATCACTACCATCACTCACACACACAGAGATGACATCACTACCATCACTCACACAGAGATCACATCACTACCATCACTCACACACACAGAGATCACATCACTACCATCACTCACACACACAGAGATCACATCACTACCATCACTCACACACAGATCACATCACTACCATCACTCACACACAGAGAGATCACATCACTACCATCACTCACACACACACACAGATCACATCACTACCATCACTCACACACAGATCACATCACTACCATCACTCACACACAGAGAGATCACATCACTACCATCACTCACACACACACACAGATCACATCACTACCATCACTCACACACAGATCACATCACTACTATCACTCACACACAGATCACATCACTACCATCACTCACACACAGAGATCACATCACTACCATCACTCACACACAGAGAGATCACATTACTACCATCACACACACACACAGAGATCACATCACTACCATCACTCACACACAGAGATCACATCACTACCATCACTCACACACAGATCACATCACTACCATCACTCACACACACAGATCACATCACTACCATCACTCACACACACACAGACCACATCACTACCATCACTCACACACACACAGAGATCACATCACTACCATCACTCACACACACACAGATCACATCACTACCATCACTCACACACACACAGATCACATCACTACCATCACTCACACACACAGAGATCACATCACTACCATCACTCACACACACAGAGATCACATCACTACCATCACTCACACACACAGAGATCACATCACTACCATCACTCACACACACACAGATCACATCACTATCATCAGTCACACACACAGAGATCACATCACTACCATCACTCACACACAGAGATCACATCACTACCATCACTCACACACACAGAGATCACATCACTACCATCACTCACACACACAGAGATCACATCACTACCATCACTCACACACACAGATATTACATCACTACCATCACTCACACACACAGAGATCACATCACTACCATCACTCACACACACAGAGATCACATCACTACCATCACTCACACACACAGAGATCACATCACTACCATCACACACACACACACAGATCACATCACTACCATCATTCACACACACAGAGATCACATCACTACCATCACTACCACCATCACCACCATCACTACCACCATCACCACCATCACCACCAACAACATCACTCACTCACTCACAACAGACATCACATCACTACCATCACTACCACCATCACCACCAACATCACCACCATCACCAACATCACCACCATCATCATCAACATCACCACCATCATCAACATCACCACCCCCATCACCACCAACATCAACATCACCACCACCATCACCACCAACATCACCACCATCACCAACACCATCACCACAAACAACATCACCACCATCACCACCATCATCATCAACATCACCACCATCATCAACATCACCACCACCATCACCAACATCACCACCATCATCATCAACATCACCACCATCAACATCACCACCACCATCACCACCACCATCACCACCACCACCATCACCACCACCACCACCAACACCACCAACAACATCACCACCATCACCACCATCACCACCATCACCAACATCACCACCATCGTCATCAACATCACCACCATCGTCATCAACATCACCACCATCGTCATCAACATCACCACCATCACCACCATCATCATCATCAACATCACCACCATCATCATCACCAACACCAACATCACAACCATCATCATCAACATCACCACCATCATCATCAACATCACTACCATCATCACCAACATCACCACCAACATCACCATCACCATCACCAACATCACCATCACCAACATCACCACCAACATCATCACCACCATCACCAACATCATCACCACAAACATCACCAACATCATCATCGTCACCACCATCACCAACAACATCACCACCACCAACATCACCACCAACACCACCAACACCACCAACATCACCACCATCACCAACATCACCACCACCATCATCACCACCAACATCACCAACATCACCACCATCATCACCAACATCATCATCATCAACAACACCATCACCAACACCATCACCACCATCACCAACATCACCACCAACACCACCAACATCATCACCACCAACACCATCACCACCACCATCACCACCAACATCACCACCAACACCACCAACATCACCAACATCACCACCAACACCACCAACATCATCACCAACATCATCACCAACATCACCACCACCATCACCAACAACACCACCATCACCACCACCATCACCACCACCATCACCACCACCAACACCACCAACAACATCACCACCATCACCAACATCACCACCATCGTCATCAACATCACCACCATCGTCATCAACATCACCACCATCGTCATCAACATCACCACCATCATCAACATCATGATCATCACCACCATCAGCAACATCACCACCACCATCACCAACATCAGCACCAACATCACCACCATCATCACCACCAACACCAACATCATCACCACCATCACCACCAACACCAACATCATCACCACCAACATCACCACCACCATCACCAACATCACCACCAACATCATCACCACCATCACCAACATCATCACCACAAACATCACCAACATCATCATCGTCACCACCATCACCAACAACATCACCACCACCAACATCACCACCAACACCACCAACATCATCAACATCACCACCATCACCAACATCACCACCACCATCATCACCACCAACATCACCAACATCACCACCATTATCATCAACATCATCATCACCAACACCATCACCAACACCATCACCATCATCACCAACATCACCACCAACACCACCAACATCATCACCACCAACAACATCACCACCACCAACACCATCACCACCAACAACATCACCACCAACATCACCAACATCACCACCAACAACATCACCACCACCAACACCATCACCACCAACAACATCACCACCAACATCACCATCACCACCATCATCACCACCACCACCATCACCACCACCAGCACCAACAACATCGCCACCACCATCACCAACAACACCACCACCACCACCAACATCACCACCAACATCATCACCAACATCACCACCACCATCACCAACAACAACACCACCAACATCACCACCAACATCACACAGACTAGGCCTCACCTCCCGCCGTCGCCTAGCCCCGACCCGGCCTCCGGGCTGACTGTGCCCGGCTTCCCCCATGTCTCCCTCTCCACCTCACGGCGTCTCCACCACCTCCTCGTCCACCACCACCTCGTCCTCGGCCTCGTCCACCTCCTCCTCGTCCACCACCTCCTCGTCCACCTCCTCCTCGTCCACCCTTTCGGTGGCTGCCTCAACCTCGTCCGCTGGCGTCAGAGAGACACCGGGCACCGCGGGAGACTCGAAGTCAGAGACGTCGCCATGTTGGGTAGGGAGGTATGGGCGCCATGTTTGATAGGGATGTATGGCTGACATGTTTGGTTAGGTTGGGGAGAGAAGTCGCCATGTTGGATAGGGATGTATGGCCGACATGTTTGGTTAGGGTGGGGAGGGAAGTCGCCATGTTGGATGGGAATGTATGGCTGACATGTTTGGTTAGGGTGTTCGCGAGAAGTCGCCATGTTGGATAGGGATGTATGGCTGACATGTTTGGTTAGGTTAGGGAGAGAAGTCGCCATGTTGGATAGGGATGTATGGCTGACATATTTGGTTAGGGTGGGGAGAGAAGTCGCCATTTTGGCTAGGGATCTATGGCTGACATGTTTGGTTAGGGTGGGGAGAGGAGTCGCCATGTTGGCTAGGGATGTATGGCTGACATGTTTGGTTAGGGTGGGGAGGGAAGTCGCCATGTTGGATAGGGATGTATGGCTGACATGTTTGGTTAGATTTTGATTTAAAGCTTTCGTGACTGCAGTAATTTATATTCTTAGCTCTTTCGGTGAAGTCACGTTGAAGGGAAACAATATAATAATAAAATATATATAAAACAATAAAGATTCTCACGACGCTTCGACCATAACACAAACGGTCATCAGGTGTGTCGGTTTGCATTAATTTATTTCTTTTTAAACGGTGTATTTATTTATTTATAAAAACGTCAGCGCCACGCGCAGCGATTTGGCAGTTTATTTAGAAGGACTAGTCCATGTATGTTCTGAAAAGAGGAAGGGGGAGACGAAAAATTAATGTATGCTGTCTGAAAGCCACTGTAACCGTGAACAATCAATTAAGACCTGAAATGGTTAATCAAATCTTTCCAATGATTGCTAAGCCAGAATCCATCTTCTCGGTTGAAATTGTCTCTGTGCTTGTATATGTGGATAGCCTCATGAACGAATCTCTCATGGTAGCCAGATGGCTTACAAATAACCTCTGTCTTGGAGAAGTCAATGTCATGTGAGCCTACTGAATTATAACAATGATCTGCCACGGCCGAGGTGTTGGTCCTACCGTGTTTAAGGTCTGCTTTGTGTTCACGAATGCGGTCCGAGACATGGCGTTTGGTTTCTCCAATGTAACTACTACCACAGAGGCAACTTAGTTTGTAGACACCAGGGTACACATCTTTTACAGACGGAACCAGATCACGGATTTTATGTAATGTGTTGAAACGGACCTGGATCTTGTTTATTCAAGATTTTGGAGATCGTTTTTTGTGATCCCCGCAATGTAGGGTAAAGTGATGGTTTTGAAAGGCTCCTCAAGAGGGTCCTTCTTCATGGTTTGAGTGATAGCTTTGCGGATTGTATAGTCGGAGTAACCATTAGCCTTAAGAGCTTGGTGTACGTGCTTGAGTTCACTGCCTATGTGTTCCTGGTCGGATATGCATTGGGCTCTATGGTACAGAGTATTGATGAGATAATTCTTCTGTGATGGATGGTGGTGGGAATCCGGTTTCAGATAAGCATCCGTATGGGTAGCTTTCCTGTAGACAGAGTGGCTCATTGAACCATCAGGTCTCTTTTTTATTAGGACATCCAAAAAAGGTAGCTTGCCATCTTTTTCGACTTCCATGGTAAATCTGATGGCTGGGTGTATGGAATTGATGTGGTCGAAGAATTGGTCTAGAGCAGGCCGGCCATGTGGCCAGATGAAAAAAGTGTCATTTCAAGTCTTAATTGATTGTTCACGCTTACGGTGGCTTTCAGACAGCATGCATTAATTTTTTCGTCTCCCCCCTCCTCTTTTCAGAACATAGATGGACTCGTCCTTCTAAATAAACTGACAAATCGCTGCGCGTGGCGCTGACGTTTTTTTATAAAAAAAATAAACACACCGTTTAAAAATAAATAAGTTAATGCAAACCGACACCTGATGACGACCGTTTGTGTTATGGTCGAAACGTCGTGAGAATTTTATTGTTTAATATATATTTTATTGTTTACCTTCAACGTGACTTTACTGAAAGAGCTAAGAATATCTCTATCATCGTCATCATTGTCATTATCATCATCATCGTCGTCATCGTGTTCATCATCGTGATCATCATCATCGTCATCATCATCATCACATCGTCGTCATCATTCTCGTCATCATCGTCGTCATCATCGTCATCTTCATCGTCATCATCACATCGTCGTCATCATCATCATCACATCATCATCATCGTCATCATCGTCGTCATCATCACATCATCGTTGTCATCATCATCGTCATCATCATCACATCGTCGTCATCATCATCACATCATCGTCGTCATCATCGTAATCATCGTTGTCATCATCGTCATCATCACATCATCGTCGTCATCATCACATCATCGTCGTAATTTTTTTTTTAAAAACACAAGAGCAATACAATAACACTATGAGACATTATTGTAGATTTTAGGCAGGAAATGGCAGCAAATTCGTTTTCAAATTTAGAATTTTTTTCTGGGGGGGGTGACCCCCAGACCCCTGGAAGATTTAGCCCCCCACTCCCCCTGGAAGATTTAACCCCCCACTCCCCCTGGAAGATTTAGCCCCCCACTCCCCCTGGAAGATTTAGCCCCCCCAGACCCCCTGGAAGATTTAGCCCCCCAGACCCCCTGGAAGATTTAGCCCCCCACTCCCCCTGGAAGATTTAGCCCCCCAAACCCCCTGGAAGATTTAGCCCCCCACTCCCCCTGGAAGATTTAGCCCCCCCAGACCCCCTGGAAGATTTAGCCCCCCAGACCCCCTGGAAGATTTAGCCCCCCACTCCCCCTGGAAGATTTAGCCCCCCCCAGACCCCCTGGAAGATTTAGCCCCCCACTCCCCCTGGAAGATTTAGCTCCCCACTCCCCCTGGAAGATTTAGCCCCCCACTCCCCCTGGAAGATTTAGCCCCCCCACTCCCCTGGAAGATTTAGCCCCCCACTCCCCCTGGAAGATTTAGCCCCCCACTCTCCCTGGAAGATTTAGCCCCCCACTCTCCCTGGAAGATTTAGCCCCCCAGACCCCCTGGAAGATTTAGCCCCCCCACTCCCCCTGGAAGATTTAGCCCCCCCAGACCCCCTGGAAGATTTAGCCCCCCACTCCCCCTGGAAGATTTAGCCCCCCACTCCCCCTGGAAGATTTAGCCCCCCACTTCCCCTGGAAGATTTAGCCCCCCACTTCCCCTGGAAGATTTAGCCCCCCCAGACCCCCTGGAAGATTTAGCCCCCCCACTCCCCCTGGAAGATTTAGCCCCCCACTCCCCCTGGAAGATTTAGCCCCCCACTCCCCCTGGAAGATTTAGCCCCCCAGCCCCCCTGGAAGATTTAGTCCCCCCAGACCCCCTGGAAGATTTAGCCCCCCAGACCCCCTGGAAGATTTAGCCCCCCACTCCCCCTGGAAAGATTTAGCCCCCCACTCTCCCTGGAAGATTTAGCCCCCCACTCCCCCTGGAAGATTTAGCCCCCCACTCCCCCCCAATGTTGACTGCATGACTCCGGCCTTGGTCCACACCGTCCGCTGACAGAGCCCGAAGGGTTACGACTCCACCTCGACGTCAAATACCAAACTATTTTTGGTATTTGACCAGGTCAGGCCCACAGAGATTTGTAGATATTTTTTTTCAGAAGCGACCTGCCCATCACAAACTATATAGCTCACGGCTGTCAAACAACTCTAAAGACCGCCTGGTGGTAGTAACGTTAAGTCTAAACGTGGAGGAGCCGGAGAGAAACATCCACGCAGTGACCACAGGGAGAGAGAGACACGCAGACTCCAAATATACAGCAGCAGCAGCAGGCATCGTCAGGGTCAGGGGTCGAAACCCACGACCTCCTGTGCACCAGGCGAGGTAGTTAACATCTCATAGCCATTGTGATGATGATGAGAGACACAGACCTCCTGTAGACCAAGCGAGGTAGTCAACATCTCATAGCCACCGTGATGATGATGAGAGACACAGACCTCCTGTACACCAGGCGAGGTAGTCAACATCTCATAGCCACCGTGATGAAGATGAGAGAAACAGACCTCCTGTATACCAGGCGAGGTAGTCAACATCTCATAGCCACCGTGATGATGATGAGAGACACAGACCTCCTGTATACCAGGCGAGGTAGTTAACATCTCATAGCCACCGTGATGATGATGAGAGACACAGACCTCCTGTATACCAGGCGAGGTAGTTAACATCTCATAGCCACCGTGATGATGATGAGAGACACAGACCTCCTGTATACCAGGCGAGGTAGTCAACATCTCATAGCCACCGTGATGATGATGATGAGAGACATAGACCTCCTGTAGACCAGGCGAGGTAGTTAACATCTCCTAGCCACCGTGATGATGATGAGAGACACAGACCTCCTGTAGACCAGGCGAGGTAGTCAACATCTCATAGCCACTGTGATGATGATGAGAGACACAGACCTCCTGTAGACCAGGCGAGGTAGTCAACATCTCCTAGCCAACGTGATGATGATGAGAGACACAGACCTCCTGTATACCAGGCGAGGTAGTTAACATCTCATAGCCAACGTGATGATGATGAGACACAGACCTCCTGTAGACCAGGCGAGGTAGTCAACATCTCATAGCCACCGTGATGATGATGAGAGACACAGACCTCCTGTAGACCAGGTGAGGTAGTCAACATCTCATAGCCACTGTGGTGATGATGAGAGACACAGACCTCCTGTAGACCAGGCGAGGTAGTTAACATCTCATAGACCACCGTGATGATGATGAGAGACACAGACCTCCTGTAGACCAGGCGAGGTAGTTAACATCTCATAGCCACCGTGATGATGATGAGAGACACAGACCTCCTGTATACCAGGCGAGGTAGTCAACATCTCCTAGCCACCGTGGTGATGATGAGAGACACAGACCTCCTGTAGACCAGGCGAGGTAGTTAACATCTCATAGCCACCGTGATGATGATGAGAGACACAGACCTCCTGTAGACCAGGCGAGGTAGTCAACATCTCCTAGCCACCGTGGTGATGATGAGAGACACAGACCTCCTGTAGACCAGGCGAGGTAGTTAACATCTCCTAGCCACTGTGATGATGATGAGAGACACAGACCTCCTGTAGACCAGGCGAGGTAGTCAACATCTCATAGCCACCGTGATGATGATGAGAGACACAGACCTCCTGTAGACCAGGCGAGGTAGTCAACATCTCATAGCCACCGTGATGATGATGAGAGACACAGACCTCCTGTAGACCAGGCGAGGTAGTTAACATCTCCTAGCCACCGTGATGATGATGAGAGACACAGACCTCCTGTGTACCAGGCGAGGTAGTTAACATCTCATAGCCACCGTGATGATGATGAGAGACACAGACCTCCTGTATACCAGGCGAGGTAGTTAACATCTCCTAGCCACCGTGATGATGATGAGAGACACAGACCTCCTGTGTACCAGGCGAGGTAGTCAACATCTCATAGCCACCGCGGCACCCACGGCTAGAGGTGAGATGTAACAGATGGGGATTAGTCCACACTCTCTCTGCTGCATCGCCCCCCCAAGATGGACCCCCCCAAACCCCCCACCCCAACCCCCCCCACCCTCAACCCCCCCACCCTCAACCCCCCCCACCCCAAACCCCCACCCCCAAACCCCCCACCCCAAACCCCCCCACCCCAAACCCCCCACCCCAACCCCCGTGGCTACCCCCACCCGGCTCAAACTCAGCCTCAGCAGTCTCCTCGTAGCCGGCGGCGTCCGAGTCTGGGGCGGTTCTACAGCGGCGTCAGCTGAGACCACGGAGACCACGGCCCTCGTCTCTCGCGGGCAGTGCGAGTGGAGGGGGACCGCCTCACAGCAGCGTCAGCTGAGACCACAGAGACCACTGAGACCACGGCCCTCGTCTCTCGCGGGCAGTGCGAGGTAGGGGACCGCCTCACGGCAGCGGCGGCGGCGGCGAAAGGGGCCCTGAGAGCGGGGAGGAGAGCAGGCGAGCTCAGGCTTCGCGAAGCCGCGGGTAGGCCGCGGTTAGGCTGAGTGATTTTTACCTCATCACTGTCAACATCATCACTAACATCACTAACATCATCATCACTAACATCACTAACATCATCATCACTAACATCACTGTCAACATCATCACTAACATCACTAACATCATCATCACTAACATCACTAACATCTTCATCACTGTCAACATCATCACTAACATCACTAACATCACTAACATCATCATCACTAACATCATCATCACTAACATCTTCATCACTAACATCATCATCACTAACATCACTAACATCATCATCACTAACATCATCATCACTAACATCACTAACATCTTCATCACTAACAACATCATCACTAACATCACTAACATCATCATCACTGTCAACATCATCACTAACATCACTAACATCATCATCACTAACATCATCACTAACATCATCATCACTAACATCATCATCACTAACATCATCATCACTAACATCACTAACATCATCACTAACATCACTAACATCATCATCACTAACATCATCATCACTAACATCACTAACATCTTCATCACTAACATCATCATCACTAACATCACTAACATCATCGTCACTAACATCATCGTCACTAACATCATCATCACTGTCACCATCATCATCACTAACATCACTGTCAACATCATCGTCACTGTCAACATCATCGTCACTAACATCATCGTCACTAACATCATCATCACTAACATCACTAACATCATCATCACTAACATCATCATCACTAACATCTTCATCACTAACATCATCATCACTAACATCACTAACATCATCATCACTAACATCACTAACATCATCATCACTAACATCATCATCACTAACATCACTAACATCTTCATCACTAACAACATCATCACTAACATCACTAACATCATCATCACTGTCAACATCATCACTAACATCACTAACATCATCATCACTAACATCATCACTAACATCATCATCACTAACATCATCATCACTAACATCACTAACATCATCACTAACATCACTAACATCATCATCACTAACATCATCATCACTAACATCACTAACATCTTCATCACTAACATCATCATCACTAACATCACTAACATCATCGTCACTAACATCATCGTCACTAACATCATCATCACTGTCACCATCATCATCACTAACATCATTGTCAACATCATCGTCACTGTCAACATCATCGTCACTAACATCATCGTCACTAACATCATCATCACTAACATCACTAACATCACTGTCAACATCATCATCACTGTCAACATCATCATCACTGTCACCATCATCGTCACTAACATCATCGTCACTAACATCAACATCACTAACATCATCATCACTGTCAACATCATCACTAACATCAACATCACTGACATTATCGTCACTAACATCATCATCACTGACATCATCGTCACTATCATCATCATCACTAACATCACTAACATCATCACTGTCAACATAATCACTAACATCATCATCACTGTAAACATCATCGTCACTAACATCATCGTCACTAACATCATCGTCACTAACATCATTGTCACTAACATCATCGTCACTAACATCAACATCACTAACATCATCATCACTAACATCATCACTAACATCATCATCACTGTCAACATCATCATCACTGTCAACATCATCACTAACATCATCGTCACTAACATCATCGTCACTAGCATCATCACTCACATTATCACTAACATCGTCATCACCACCACCGTCATCATGGTCATAACAATCATCATCACAATCATTACTGTCATCACCATCATCACCATCGTCACCACCACTATCGTGACCATTACCATCATCATCACCACCATCATCATGGTCATAACCAACATCACCATCTTCTCCACCGTCACCACCATCACTATCATCATCACCACCATCATCAGCACCATCATCGTCATCACTTTCACCACCACCACCGCTACTATCATCACCACCGTCACCACCGTCGTCAATACCATCATCATGATTACTATCATCACCATCACTATCATCACCATCACCGCCATCAGCACCGTCATCACCAACATCACTTTCACCACTACCATCGTCATCACTTTCACCACCACCATCACTTTCACCACCACCATCACTTTCACCACCACCATCACTTTCACCACCACCATTGTTACTTTCATCACCATCAACATCATCACCACCACCACCAACATCACCACCACCAACATCACCACCAACATCATCACCACCACCACCAACATCACCACCACCAACATCATCACCACCCACTATACCACCACCAACCACTACCACCACTCACTACAACACCACCACCCACTACCACCACTCACTATAACACCACCACCACTACCCACTACCACCACTCACTATAACACCACCACCACTACCCACTATCACCACTCACTATAACACCACCACCACTACCCACTACCACCACTCACTATAACACCACCACCACTACCCACTATCACCACTCACTATAACACCACCACCACTACCCACTACCACCACTCACTATAACACCACCACCACTACCACCACTCACTATAACACCACCACCACTACCCACTACCACCACTCACTATAACACCACCAACCACTACCACCACTCACTATAACACCACCACCACCCATTACCACCACTCACTATAACACCACCACCACTACCCACTACCACCACTACCCACTACCACCACTCACTATAACACCACCACTATCCACTACCACCACTCACTATAACACCACCACCACTACCCACTACCACCACTCACTATAACACCACCACCACTACCCACTATCACCACTCACTATAACACCACCACCACTACCCACTACCACCACTACCCACTACCACCACTCACTATAACACCACCACCACTACCACCACCACCACTCACTGTAACACCACCACTACCACCACTCACTATAACACCACCACCACTACCCACTACCACCACTCACTATAACACCACCAACCACTACCACCACTCACTATAACACCACCACCACCCACTACCACCACTCACTATAACACCACCACGACTACCCACTACCACCATTCACTATAACACCACCAGCACTACCACCACCCACCCACTACCACCACTCACTATAACACCACCACCACTCCCCACTACCACCACTCACTATAACACCACCACCACTACCCACTACCACCACTCACTATAACACCACCACCACTACCCACTACCACCACTCACTATAACACCACCACCACTACCACCACTCACTATAACACCACCACCACTACCCACTACCACCACTCATTATAACACCACCACCACTACCCACTACCACCACTCACTATAACACCACCAGCCACTACCACCACTCACTATAACACCACCACCACCCACTACCACCACTCACTATAACACCACTACCACTACTCACTACCACCACTCACTATAACACCACCACCACTACCACCACCACCCACTACCACCACTCACTATAACACCACCACCACTACCCACTACCACCACTCACTATAACTCCATCACCACTACCCACTACCACCACTCACTATAACACCACCACCACCACTACCACCACTCATATAACACCACCACTACTCACTACCACCACTCACTATACCACTACCACTACCCACTACCACCACTCACTATAACACCACCACCACTACCCACTACCACCACTCACTATAACACCACCACTACCACCACTCACTATAACACCACCACCCACTACCACCACTCACTATAACACCACCACTACTACCACTCACTATAACACCACCACCACTACCCACAACCACCACTCACTATAACACCACCACCACTACCCACTACCACCACTCACTATAACACCACCACCACTACCCACTACCACCACTCACTATAACACCACCACCACTACCCACTACTACCACTCACTATAACACCACCACCACTCACTATAACACCACCACCACCACCCACTACCACCACTCACTATAACACCACCACCACTACCACCACTCACTATACCACCACCACTACCACTACTCACTATAACACCACCACCACTACCCACCACAACCACTCACTATAACACCACCACCACCACCACTAACACCACTCACTATAACACCACTACCCACTACCACCACTCACTATAACACAACCACCACTACCCACTACCACCACTCACTATAACACCACCACCACTACCACCACTCACTATAACACCACTACCCACTACCACCACTCACTATGACACCACCACCACTACCCACTACCACCACTCACTATAACACCACCACCACCACCCACTACCACCACTCACTATAACACCACCACCACCCACTATAACACCACCACCACCACCACCCACTACCACCACTCACTATAACACCACCACTACCCACTACCACCACTCACTATAACACCACCACCACCACCACCCACTACCACCACTCACTATAACACCACCACCACCACTACCACCACTCACTATAACACCACCACCACTACCCACTACCACCACTCACTATAACACCACTACCCACTACCACCACCACTACCCACTACCACCACTCACTATAACACCACCACCACCACCACCCACTACCACCACTCACTATAACACCACCACCACTCACTATAACACCACTACCCACTACACCACTCACTATAACACCACTACCACCCACTACCACCACTCACTATAACACCACCACCCACTACCACCACTCACTATAACACCACCACCACCCACTACCACCACTCATTATAACACCACCACTACCCACCACCACCACTCACTATAACACCACCACCACTACCCACTACCACCACTCACTATAACACCACCACCACTACCCACTACCACCACTCACTATAACACCACCACCACTACCCACTACCACCACTCACTATAACACCACCACCACTACCCACTACCACCACTCACTATAACACCACCACCACCACTACCACCACTCACTATAACACCACCACCACTCACTATAACACCACTACCCACTACACCACTCACTATAACACCACTACCACCCACTACCACCACTCACTATAACACCACCACCACCACCCACTACCACCACTCACTATAACACCACCATTACCACCACTCATTATAACACCACCACTACCCACCACCACCACTCACTATAATACCACCATCACCACTACCACCACCACTCACTATAACACCACCACCACTACCACCACTCACTATAACACCACCACTACCCACCACCACTACTCATTATAACACCACCACTACTACTCACTATAACACCACCACCACTACTCACTATAACACCACCACCACCACTCACTATAACACCACCACCATTCACTATAACACCACCACCCACTATAACATCACCACCACTCACTATAACACCACCACTCACAATACCACCACCACCACCCACTACCAACACTCACTATAACACCACCACCACCGCCACCACTCACTGTAACACCACCACCACCCACTATAACATCACCACCACCACCACCCACTATAACATCACCACCACTCACTACAACAACAACACCACTACCACCACCCACTATAACACCACCACCCACTATAACATCACCACCACTCACTACAACAACAACACCACTACCACCACTCACTATAACACCACCACCACCCACTATAACATCACCACCACTCACGACAACAACAACAACACCACTACCACCACTCACTATAACAACACCACCACCTCGTCCACACCCACTATAACACCTCCTCAACCACCCCGTCCCGTCTCACACTACCTCCCCCCCCAGCCATGGCCGTAATCTTGGCGACAGTGGTCGTGGCTGCCGCTGCCGGGGCAGCAGCAGGGGCAGCAGCAGCGTCATCGCCGTCATCGCAGCAGGAGGTGAAGGTGGAGGCGGAGGTGAAGACGAAGGAGATGGGGGGCGAGCTCCTGGCCGAGCAGAGCCATCGGGAGGACTCGGCGGAGCTGCTGGTCTTCATCCTGCTGCTCACCCTCACCATCCTCACCATTTGGCTCTTCAAGCACCGGCGCTTCCGCTTCCTGCACGAGACCGGCCTGGCCATGATCTACGGTGGGCACGGCACCACCACGACCGCTGCTGCTACCACAGTTGCTGCCGCTACTACTACCGCTACTACCACCACCACTACCGTTACTACCACTACTACCACTACTTTTACCGCTACTACCACTACTTCTACCACCACTACCGCTACTACCACCACCACTACTGTTACTACCACTACTACCACCACCACTACCGTTACTACCACTACTTCTACCGCTACTACCACTACTTCTACCACCACTACCGTTACTACCGCTACTTCTACCACCACTACCATTTCTACCACCACGACCGCTACTACTACCACCACTACTACCACCGCCACTACTAATGACTACCGCTCCTACCACTACCGCCACTCCCACCACTACCACTACAACCGCCACTACTACCACTACCGCCACTCCCACCACTACTATCACTACCACCACTACCGCCACTCCCACCACTACTACTATCACTACCACCACTACCGCCACTCCCACCACTACTACCGCTACTACTACCGTCACTCCCACCACTACTACCGCTACTACTATCACTACCACCACTACCGCCACTCCCACCACTACTACCGCTACTACTACTACTACTACCACCACTACCGCCACTCCCACCACTACTATCACTACCACCACTACCGCCACTCCCACCACTACTACCGCCACTACTATCACTGCCACCACTACCGCCACTACTACTGCCACTACTACCACTACCACCACTACCGCTACTACTACCACCACTACTACTACTACCACCACTACTCCTGCTACTACCACCACCACCACCATGGTAGTGGTTGAGGTTGGTGATGGTGGCAGTGTGATGGTGTAATGTGGTTGGTGGTGGTGTTGTGGTTGTCATGGAGGTTGTGGTTGTTTGGCTGATTTACAGTTGGAATCTATTACCGGTTAACGTGCCCTTGCTGTTGTGGTCGTGTGATTTTGTTAATAATTTATTGTAGATACAAAAGAGAAAGATCCCCCCTTTGTAGCCTTTTACAGACTGTGGGGGCAAGCGCTGTTAGTAGCGGGTTGTGCCTATGAAGGCTACCGGCACTGTGGCACACGAGGGGGTGGGTGGCCAGCACCATGCCCGGCCGCCTTTGTCTCCCCAGTGGCGATGTTTACTACACACCGCACCAGGTACTCATTTGAGGCCGAGTCGATTTAGGGGAGGCCCAGGACCGGTTCCAATCGTCACTGATGTTGGCCGTGAGCGGGAATCGAACTCTGGTCGCCGGGTTCATAGCGCCGTGCACTAATCCCTACACTACCACTCACCCCACACACTCACACACACACACACGCGCGCACACACGCACACACACCCACACACACCCACAAACACCCACAAGCGTGCACACACACGGACACGCACAGATAGAATCACACATTGTTGTGGTTGTGCTGTTGGCAGTGATATTTGCTGCCATTGCAAAGACAAAGATCCCCCGTGTAGCCTCTAACAGACTGTAGGGGCAAGTGCTGTGAGTAGCGAGTAGCAGCAGCACCTATGAAGGTAGACACAGACAAAGATCCCCCGTGTAGCCTCTAACAGACTGTAGGGGCAAGTGCTTTGAGTAGCGAGTAGCAGCAGCGCCTGTGAAGGTAGACACAGACAAAGATCCCCCGTGTAGCCTCTACCAGACTGTAGGGGCAAGTGCTGTTAGCGAGTAGCGAGCAGCACCTATTAAGGCTACCGGCACTGTGGCACACGAGGGGGTGGGTGGCCAGCATCACGCCCGTCCGCCTTTGTCTCCCCGGTGGCGATGTTTACTACACACCACACTGTACCAGGTACTCATTTGGGGCTGAGTCGACCTAGGGGAGGCCCCAAGACCGGTTCAGATAATCGTCACTGGTGTTGGTGGTGGCTTTGAGCCGACCCCGGGTCAGCGGGTTCGTAGCACAGCGCAGTAACCGCCGCAACTACCGCTCCCCACCACAGACGCACAAAGGCAAATAACACACAAGGACACAGCTGCGCGTTCGCCACAAAGTAGCGGTGACATCACCACGGCGCTTGTGACAGGCCGGTGAACTTTGAGACCACGTGAAGTGTTGTCGGCTCGCTGGCGGGAGATCGAAGGACCGACCCAGCAGGTGCCATGGGTTGACTACTGAGGTGGCCGATGCACCACCTGCGCCCCAATACTGTGCCAACCTGCTGTGTTTTGGCCGGCCAGGCTCGTCGTTGCGAGAAGCTGCTTGGGCAGGCGGTTGCTGGGCAAGCGGGCTACATGACCCAGCCAACGCAGCAGTGGCCCGCCAGAGGAGCTCGCCGATGATGGAGACTGTGTCCAGATCTTTCACACAATCCAGCCTGGTAGGCAGGCCAGCCTGAATGTTTCTAACCGGCGCAGATGTTCCAAGAGATGGGGGGGGGGGTCCACGTTTCACAAGCGTAGAGAAGGGAAGGCGTCACTGAGGCCGAGAAAACCCGAAGCTTCGTGTGGAGCGGCAGACCAGGTGGTTTCCACGCAGCAGCTTTACGCAGCCGATGAAAAGATAATGCCGCCCGACTGATTCGGAGTGAGACCTTTTGCTGTCACACCGGAGCTGGTCGTGAGCACACTGCCCAGGTATGGAAACTTTTCCACAACTGCCCCATTATTCATGGGGAGTTGAGCGGGTGGAGTATTTTGATGGCACGAAATACCTACGAAAAAAACAAAGACAAAGACCCCTCCCGTGTAGCCTGTAACAGACTGTTGGGGCAAGTGCTGTTAGCGAGTAGCACCTACAAAGACAAAGACCCCCCGTGTAGCCTGTAACAGACTGTTGGGGCAAGTGCTGTTAGCGAGCAGCACCTATGAAGCATGGCACACGAGGAGGTGGGTGGCCAGTACCACGCCCGGCCGCCTTTGTCTCCCCAGGTACTCATTCGAGGCCGAGTCCACCTAGGGGAGGCCCAGGACCGGTTCAGATAATTGTCACTGGTGTTGTTGGCCGTGAGCGGGAATCGAATATCGGGTCGCCTGGTCCATAGCGCAGCGCGCTAACCGCTGCGCCACCGCTCCTCAGACATACTCGCACACACACGCTCACTGATGCAGACACGCATACTGCCACAGATACACGCACGCACACGGATACACGCACGCACACGGATACACGCACACACACGGATACACGCACACACACGGATACACGCACGCACACACACACAGGGTTGTGTTGATAGTGATGGTGGTGATACTGGTGGTGATGGTCGTGATTGTGGTGATGGTGGTGGTGATGAGTGATGGAGGTAGTGATGGTGATGATGGTGGTGGTGCTGGTATTGGTATTGGTGGTGATATTGGTGGTGCTAATGGGAGTAGTGATGATGGTGGTGATGGTAGTGATAGTGGTGATGGTAGTGATAGTGGTGATGGTGGCGGTGATGGCACCAATGGTGCATGGTTGTGGTGGTGCTGGTGGTGGTAATACTGATTGTGGTGATGATGGTGGTGGTCGTAGTGATTGTGATGATGATGATGTTGGTGGTTGTTGTGGTTGTGAAGATGGTGGCGATGGCGTCAGTGGTACATGGTTGTGGTGGTGCTGGTGGTGGTAATACTGATTGTGGTGGTGATGGTCGTAGTGATTGTGATGATGATGTTGGTGGTTGTTGTGGTAGTGACGATGGTGGTGATGGCGTCAGTGGTACATGGTTGTGGTGGTAATACTGATTGTGGTGGTGATGGTGGTGGTCGTAGTGATTGTGATGCTGATGATGTTGGTGGTTGTTGTGGTTGTGACGATGGTGGCGATGGCGTCAGTGGTACATGGTTGTGGTGGTAATACTGATTGTGGTGGTAATACTGATTGTGGTGATGATGGTGGTGGTCGTAGTGATTGTGATGATGATGTTGGTGGTTGTTGTGGTTGTGAAGATGGTGGCGATGGCGTCAGTGGTACATGGTTGTGGTGGTGCTGGTGGTGGTAATACTGATTGTGGTGATGATGGTGGTGGTCGTAGTGATTGTGATGATGATGATGATGTTGGTGGTTGTTGTGGTTGTGAAGATGGTGGCGATGGCGTCAGTGGTACATGGTTGTGGTGGTGATTGTGGTGGTAATACTGATTGTGGTGATGATGGTGGTGGTCGTCGTGATTGTGATGATGATGTTGGTGGTTGTTGTGGTTGTGAAGATGGTGGCGATGGCGTCAGTGGTACATGGTTGTGGTGGTGATTGTGAGGAATGCGCCGAATGAGGAGGAAGTTGGTGCAGCAGCAATGAGGAAGAGTTTAGCCAGGCTTGAAGCCCCCATTGAGATTCACCGTCCCCAATGACTCACATCCTTCAGTTAACCACCCCCCCCCCCGTGCCCCCCCACCGTGCCCCCCCACCGTGCCCCCCACCGTGCCCCCCACCGTGCCCCCCACCGTGCCCAGGCCTGCTGATGGGTGTGGTGCTGCGCTACGGCCTGCCTGGCTCGTCCACGGACGCCCACTTCCTGCTCAACTGCAGCCTCAACCTGAGCAGCAGCGGCGGCGCCGGCGGCGGCGCCGGCGGCGACGGCTCTCTGCTGCTGGTGGAGGTGGGGGGCCACTACTATGAGTACGCGCGCCAACGGGAGGTGGAGCCCCCCACCAGCGAAGCGGGGGGGGCCCCGACGCCGCACACGCGGCCCAACGACGCGCTGCACAAGGTGGGGGGGGGGGGGGGGGTGGGACACGGAGAGACACGGAGAGACACGAGGACACGGGGAGACACGGGGACACGGAGAGACACTGAGGAACACGGAGAGACACGGGGAGACACGGGGACACGGGGAGACACTGAGAGACACGGAGAGACACGGGGAGACACGGGGACACGGGGAGACACTGAGAGACACGGAGAGACACGGAGAGACACGAGGACACGGGGAGACACGGGGACACGGAGAGACACGGGGAGACACGGGGAGACATGGAGAGACACGAGGACACGGAGAGACACGGAGAGACACTGAGGGACACGGAGAGACAGGGGGAGACACGGGGACACGGGAAGACACTGAGAGACACGGGGAGACACGGGGAGACACGGAGAGACACGGAGAGACACAGGGACACGGAGAGACACGGAGGGACACGGAGAGACACGGGGAGACACGGGGACACGGGGAGACACGGGGACACGGGGAGACACGGGGACACAGAGAGACACGGGGAGACATGGAGAGACACTGAGGGACACGGAGAGACACGGAGAGACACTGAAGGACACGGAGAGACACTGAGGGACACGGAGAGACGTGAGGACATGGAGAGACACGGGGAGACATGGAGAGACACGGGGAGACATGGAGAGACACGAGGACATGGAGAGACACTGAGGGACACGGAGAGACACGGGGACACGGAGAGACACGGGGAGACATGGAGAGACACTAAGGGACACGGAGAGACACTGAGGGACACGGAGAGACACTGAGGGACATGGAGAGACATGAGGACATGGAGAGACACGGGGAGACTTGGAGAGACACGAGGACACGGGGAGACACGGGGACACGGAAAGACACGGGGAGACATGGAGAGACACGAGGACACGGAGAGACACTGAGGGACACGGAGAGACACGGGGAGACACGGGGACACGGAGAGACATGGGGAGACACGGGGAGACACGGGGAGACACGGGGACACGGGGAGACACGGGGAGACACGGGGAGACACGGGGAGACACGGGGAGAGACGGGGAGACACGGGGGTAGGTTTGGGACACGGAGAGACACGGGGACACGGAGAGACACGGGGAGATACGGGGAGACACGGGGGTAGGTTTGGGACATGGGGAGATACGGGGAGACATGGGAGACATGGGGAGACATGGGGAGACATGGGGAGATACGGGGAGACATGGGGAGATACGGGGAGACATGGGGAGATACGGGGAGACACGGGGAGACACGGGGGGTAGGTTTGGGACACGGAGAGACATGGGGACACGAGGAGACACGGGAACACGGAGAGACACGGGGATACGGAGAGACACGGGGATACGGAGAGACACGGACAGACATGGGGACACGGAGAGACACGGGGAGACATGGGGAGATACGGGGAGACACAGAGAGACACGGAGAGACACGGGGAGACACAGGGGGTAGGTGAGGGACAGAGAAACATGGAGAGACATGGAGAGAGATGGAGATACACGGGGAGACACGGGGAGACATGGGCAGACAGGGGGGTATGTTTGGGACACGGAGAGACACGGAGAATCGGAGACACAGAGACATGGGTACACGGAAACACAGAGACACGGAGAGATTGAGAGACACAGGAACACGGGGATACAGAGACACGGAGAGACACGGAGAGACACGGAGAGACACGGGGAGACACGGGGACACGGAGAGATTGAGAGACACAGGAACACGGGGATACAGAGACACGGAGAGACACGGAGAGACACGGAGAGACACGGGGAGACACGGGGAGACACTGAGGATACGGGCAGACATGGGGGGTATGTTTGGGACACGGAGAGGCACGGGGAGACACAGAGAGACACGGGGACACAGAGAGACACGAGGATACGGGGAGACACTGGAGGTAGGTGAGGGACACGGGGAGGCACGGAGAGACACAGCGAGACACGTGGTAACACGGAGAGACACGTGGTGACACGGGGAGACACGTGGGGTAGGTGAGAGAGACGGGGAGACACGGAGAGACACAGAGACATGGGAGGTAAGGGAAGGACACGGAGAGACACATGGAGACACGGGGGTAGGTGAGGGACACGGAGAGACACAGAGAGACACTGGTGGTAGGTGAGGGACATAGATTTAAATGCCCCCCCTTCCCCACCCCTCTCTCACACAGGTGACCTTTGACCCCGAAGTGTTCTTCAACATCCTGCTGCCCCCCATCATCTTCTACGCGGGCTACAGCCTCAAGCGGGTAGGCCCTGGGGGTCAGGGGTCAGGGATTCAGGGTCACTCCTCAGGGTTCAAGGGTTAGGAAGGTTGCCAACCCTGACGTGATGGGGAGCCACGGTGGCTAGGAGACGTTAACCACCTCACCTGGTACGCAGGAGGTCGTGGATTTGATCCTGATCCTGACTGTCTGCTGCTGCTGTATATTTGGAGTCTGCGTCTCTCTCTGTCATCATCATCACGGTGGCTAGGAGATGTTAACCACCTCGCCTGGTACGCAGGAGGTCATGGATTTTATCCTGACCCTGACTATGCCTGCTGCTGTATATTTGGAGTCTGTGTCTCTCTCTCTGCCATCATCATTTTCATCACGGTAGCTAGGAGATGTTAACTACCTCCCCTGGCGTACAGGAGGTCGTGGGTTCGTTCCTGACCCTGACGATGCCTGCTGCTGCTGCTGTATATTTGGAGTCTGCGTCTCTCTCTCTCTCCCCGTGGTCGCGTGAGTCAGTGTCACGCTTGTCGAGTACTTGCCTGCTGCTATCTGTTTCCACGTAATGATGACGGTGATCGCCGCCTCTTCGTCGAGCTATCGTTTGTGATGGCCAGGTCGCTTCTGAAAAAGCTACGTGGCTCAGTGGGGAGGCCTTCCCTGGTAAAATACAAAATAGCTTAGTTTTTACGTTTAGTCATTACCCTGTCAAGGACAAGAACAAATGTAATGGGATGACGAGGGAGGGTGGGTGAGTGACTATGTGAGTGGGTGAGTGGCTATGTGAGTGGCTATGTGAGTGACTACGTGAGTGAGTGACTATGTGAGTGGGTGAGCCGCTGTGTGAGTCAGTGACTATGTGAGTGACTGTGTGAGTGGGTGAGTCGTTATTTGAGTAGGTGAGTGACTACATGAGTGGGTGAGTAGCTATGTGAGCGACTATGTGAGTGGGTGAGCCGCTATGTGAGTAGGTGAGTGACTACATAAGTGGGTGAGTGAGTGACTGAGTGAGTGAGTGACTGTGTGAGTGAGTGACTGTGTGAGTGGGTAAGTGGCTAGCTGAGTGGGTGAGTGGATAAGTCATTATGTGAGTCAGTGTATGTATGTTGAACTTGATAATTGAAGGTACGGGGGAAGGACAACAAACTAAACAAAACAACAAAAACAACATGCAGCAGGTATATAGAAATTCGTTTGTCAGTCGAGATGATGATGATGATTTAAAAGTGCAGCACAGCTCCGTTGGATTCCTAATATTGGAAGGAATAGCATTCCAGACGGGCGCGCAAGCGCATTTTAACGTTGAATGAATTTCTGCGTGGATTGTGTCCATGCATTGTATTAATTCATCTCACACACACTCACACTCACTCACACACGTGCACAACAACAACAACCGCCATTCGCCACTAAGTGGCGGTGATGTCACCACGACGCTTGTGCCAGGCCATGTGGATCTTGAGGACCACGTGAAGTGTCGAACGCCCGCTGGCAGGAGGTCTCGGGGCAGACCCAGGTGCCACGGGTCGACTGACTGAGATGACTTAGATGACTGGCTGGTGCACCACCTGTGCCCCCTACTGTGCCAACTCTCTGGGTTTTATCCGCCCCCGTGGGTCCGCTCGTTGTTGTGAGCGTTGCTCCTCTGCCCTCACTCAAACCCACACATGCTCACTCACGCACGTGCGGGTGTGTGCGTGTTTGTGTGTGTGTTCGGTTCCCGCTCACGGCCAACACCGGTGACGATTATCTGAACCGGTTTCTGGGCCTCCCCGAGGTGGACTCAGCCTCAAACGAGTACCCGGTGCGGCGTGTAAACATCGCCACCGGGGAGACGATACCGGCCGGGCGTGGTGCTGGCAACCCACCCCCTCGTGTGCCGGTAGCCTTCACAGGTGCCACTCGCTAACAGCACTTGCCCCTACAGTCTGTTAAGGCTATGCGGGGGATCTTTGTCTTTGCACAGAGGCACTTCTTCCGAAACCTGGGCTCGATCCTGGCATTTGCCTTCCTGGGCACAGCCATCTCTTGCTTCGTCATCGGGTGAGCACCGCACGGGCACGCACAGGGACACACGGGCACACACACACGGGGACACACGTGCACACACACACACGTGTGTGTGTGCACGTGCGTGCACGCACACACGTGCACGCACACACGGGCACACACAGCCACACACGGGCACACACGTGCACACACGCACGGGCACACACGTGCACACACGCACGTGCACACACGCACGGGCACACACGCACGTGCACACACGGGCACGCACGCACGGGCACACGGGTATTTGGCACCCATGCATGGGCACCCATGCACGGACACGCGGGCACTCACGTGCATGCACGTTTGTGTTGAGAGTGAGAGTGTGAGAGCGCGCGTGTGAGTACGTGTGTTGAGAGAGCGCGTGTGTGTGAGTGCGTGTGTTGAGAGAGCACGTGTGTGTGAGTGCGTGTGTGTGTGAGTGCGTGTGTGTGTTAGTGCGTGTGTTGAGAGAGTGTGTGTATTAGTGCGTGTGTATTAGTGCGTGTGTTGAGAGTGCGCGTGTGTGTGCGTGCGAGTGTGCAGGATGATCACGTGGGGTGCTGTTAAGCTGATGCAGGCCGTGGGGCAGTTCACAGACAACTTCTACTTCACTGACTGCCTCCTCTTCGGAGCCATCATCTCAGCAACCGACCCCGGTCCGCCTCCCTCCCCCCCCCCTTCTCCACTCCCCCTTACTCACCCCTCCCCTCCCCTTTTCTCCCTCCCTTTCTCCCCCTTCTCCCCTCCCTCCCCCTCCCCCTTCTCCCCTCCCTCTACTCCCTCCCTGCCCTCCCTCTTCTTCCCTCCCTCCCCATCCTTTCCCCCCTGTGTATGTGTGTGTTTGTGTACACGTGATGATGAAAGTTGCAAGCGAGAGTTTCATCATTGCTTGCGGCTGGGGTTGGCATCGTCCCCCACTCCTCCTGATGTCGAGGGTAAATGGGCGAGGTTTAGGACTGTGACTCATGCAGCTGCAATGGCTGCTTTGGGTACGCGGTCCAGACCTCCCCAGAGACTCTGGCTGACAGAGGAGGTGTTCAGGATGGTTGAGAAAAATCGACAGGCCCACTCTAATCGTCTACAGCATCCCACGTCAGAGAATGAGGAGGATTACCGCAGCCTTCGCTCGGAGGTTCGGAGAGCCGTGAGGTGCTGCAAGGGTGGGTGGTGGTTGCGGGTTGCTGAGGATATGGGGTCTGCCTCAGTGGCCTGCGATCTCAAATCCCTATTTAACTCCATCAAAAAGTAACCTGCAGTGCCACACCTATTACCATCATTAGGGGAAAGAACGGCGATCCAATCTCCGACCCCCAGGAACAGGTTTGCAGATTTTCTGAGCATTTCTGTGAGGTCCTGGGGGAGGGGAAATCTCTCAGCCAGGAAAACATCGTGGCACAAAGTGAGGATGACCCTGCTGAGGCTGCGGTGCCTCATATTGGAAGAAGAAGTCACCCCCTGTGAGTGGCTGGCTGAGGTGCCATCTGTTGAGGAAGTACTGAAGGCAATCCAGAGTCTGAGACCAGGAAAGGCACGGGGCAGAGATGATCTCCCAAGCGAAGTGCTGAGGGAGGGTGGCGCTTGTGCACAGACTGCCCTACATGACATCATAACAACGGTCTGGACCACTGGATGGGTTCTGCAGGATTGGAAGGAAGCCCTGGTGGTCTCGCTTTTTAAGAAGGGGGACCGCACAGACTGTAACAACTACAGGGGCATCTCACTCCTCAGTGTGCCGGGAAAGGTCCTGGCAAGGATTATTCAGCATCGCCCTGCCAGGCACGCTGAGGAGAGGCTTGCAGAGTCCCAATGCGGTTTCAGGAATGGGCGGTCCTGCACAGATGCCATATTTTCTGTCCGTCTGCTACAGCAGAGGTGTAGGGAATTCCAATAAGACCTACATCTCTGCTTCATTGACCTGGTCAAGGCCTATAATACCATCAGTAGGCCTGGGCTCTGGGTTGTTCTTCGTGCTGTCAGAGTCCCTGACCCTCTGCTCACGCTCATTAAGGACCTTCATGATGGTGAGCGGTCCTGGGTAAAACTACGTGGCCGGGAGTCAGAGCCATTCCCTGTACACCTTGGGGTGTGACAGGGATGTCCTCTGGCTCCCACATTATTTAACATCTATTTTTACCACGTAGTTCATGAAGCCTTCAATAGCTGTACCGGGGGAATTTCCATTTGCTACAGATATAATGGGAGGTTGATCGATGCCCGGGTGCGGTCAAGGGATGGCTCCCTATTGTATGCCGATGATTTGGTAATTGCTGCTCATTCAGAGGAGGAGTTTGAGACACTTCTGCTGAAACTGGAGCGTGCCATTAAGGGGCGGGGCCTTAACATCAGCCCCACCAAAACTAAGCACCTGCTTGGGTATTTTGTGCCATCGGACATTCCACCCCCACAACTCCCAATTGGTGATGGGGCAGTTGTGGAGAGAGTGGAGAGTTTCCCATATCTGGGCAGTGTGCTCATGACCGGCTCCGGTTTGGCAGCAGAGGTCTCACTCCGAATCAGTCGAGCGGCAATATCTTTTAATTGGTTGCGTAACACTGGTCTGTCGCTCCGCACTAAGCTTCAGGTCTTCTCGGCCACGGTCATTCCCTCCCTTCTCTACGCTTGCGAAACGTGGACCCCCCTAATGGAACATCTTCGCCGGTTGAAAACATTTAGGCTAGCCTGCCTACGATCCATCCTGGGTTTAACCAGACTGGATTGTGTGAGGAGCTCACAAATCCTTGAAAGATCTGGGCAAAGCCCAAGGCAAGGCTGCGTTGGCTGGGTCATGTAGCCCGCATGCCCAGCCACCGCATGCCTAAACAGCTTTTGTTCAGCCGGAGCGAGGGAGCTAAACGGGCGCGGCATGGGCTAGAGAAGAGAAGGAGTGATGTGGTACAGGAGGACGTGGAACTGAGTGGACTTGCCGATGACTGGTACCAGCGGTGTCAAGATCGGCCTCTGTGGGGGAGGCTCGTGAAGGACGCTACTGGGCAGTTGGAGGCAGTTGCCCTCCAACAACAACGGAGGGCGGAGGAGCGACGCTCACAACAACGAGCGGAGTGCCGGGTGGCTAAAGCACGGCAGGTTGGCACAGTAGGGGGCAGAGGTGGTGCATCAGCCAGTCATCTCAGTCATCTCAGTCAGTCGACCCGTTGCACCTGGGTCTGCCCCGTGACGTCCTGCCGGCGGGCGTTCGACACTTCACGTGGCCTCAAGGTGCACATGTCCTGGCACAAGCGTCGTGGTGACATCACCGCCACTTAGTGGCGAATGGCGGTTGTTGTTATACGTATGTGTACGTGTGTGTGGGGATCGGTAGTGTAGCAGTTAGCGCTACTCTGCGCTACGAACCCGGTGACCCGGGTTCAAATCCTGCTCACGGCCAACACCAGTGACGATTATCTGAACCGGTCCTGGGCCTCCCTAGGTCGACTCAGCCTCAAATGAGTACCTGGTGCGGTGTGTAAGCATTGCCATTTGGAAGACAAAGGCGGCCGGGCGTGGTGCTGGCCACCCACTCCCTCGTGTGCCATGCCGGCCTTCACAGGTGCTCGCTAACAGCACTTGCCCCTACAGTCTGTTAAGGCTATACGAGGGATCTTGGTGTGTGTATGTGCGTGTATATACGTGTGTGTGTGTACGTGTATGTACGTACGTGTGTGTGTGTACGTGTATGTACGTACGTGTGTACGTGCGTGCAGTGACGGTGCTGGCGATCTTTGTTTTTGTGTGTGTGTGTACGTGTATGTACGTACGTGCATGCAGTGACGGTGCTGGTGATCTTTGTGTGTGTGTGTACGTGCATGTATATACGTGTGTGTGTGTACGTGTATGTATGTACGTGCGTGTGTGTACGTGTATGTACGTACGTGCGTGCAGTGCCGGTGCTGGCGATCTTAGTCTTTGTGTGTGTGTGTGTACGTGTATATACGTGTGTGTGTGTACGTGCGTGTGTATACGTGTGTGTGTACGTGCGTGTACATACGTGTGTGTGTGTACGCGTATGTACGTACGTGTGTACGTGCGTGCAGTGACGGTGCTGGCGATCTTTGCCGAGCTGGGCGTGGACGTGGATCTGTACGCGCTGCTCTTCGGGGAAAGCGTCCTCAACGATGCCGTCGCCATCACTCTCGCATCGTACGTCGATACGCAGCGATACACAGTGATATACCAGCGTGATTGATACACAGGGATACACAGCATCACACCACGGTAAACCGTGTGTATACGCGTGCGTGTGCCCATCTCTGTGTGCGTGTCTCTGTCTGTGTTTGTGTGTGTCTCTATGTGTGTGTCCCTGTGGGGAGCGGTAGTGTAGCGGTTAGCGCGATGCGCTGTGAACCTGGCGACCCGAGTTCGATTCCCGCGAACAGCCAACACCGGTGACGATTATCTGAACTGGTCCTGGGCCTCCCCTAGGTCGACTCAGCCTCAAATGAGTGCCTGGTGCGGTGTGTAAACATCGCCACTGGGGAGACAAAGGCGGCCGGGCGTGGTGTTGGCCACCCACCCCCTCGTGTGCCGTGCCGGCCTTTATAGGTGCTCGCTAACAGCACTTGCCCCTACGGTCTGTTAAGGCTATACGGGGGATCTTTGTCAATGTATGTGTGTGTCTATGTGAGTCGGAGCCATTCCCTGTACACCTTGGGGTGCGACAGGGATGTCCTCTGGCTCCCACATTATTTAACATCTATTTTGACCACGTAGTTCGTGAAGCCTTCAATAGCTGTACTGGGGGAATCTCCATTTGGTACAGATATAATGGGAGTCTAATCGATGCCCGGGTGCGGTCAAGGGATGGCTCCCTATTGCTCAACCACGTTATGTATGCCGATGATTTGGTAATAGCTGCTCATTCAGAGGAGGAGTTGGAGACGCTGCTGCTGAGACTGGAGCGTGCCACTAAGGGATGGGACCTTACCATCAGCCCCACCAGAACTAAGCACCTGCCTGGGTATTTTGTACCATCGGACACTCTACCCCCACAACTCCCAATCGGTGATGGGGCAGTTGTGGAGAGAGTGGAGACTTTCCCATACCTGGGCAGTGTGCTTATGACCGGCTCCAGTTTAACAGCAGAGGTCTCACTCCGAATCAGTCGAGCGGCAATATCTTTTCATCGGTTGCGTAACGCTGTGTGGAAGCTACCTGGTCTGTCGCTCCGCACTAATCTTCAGGTCTTCTCGGCCACGGTCATTCCCTCCCTTCTCTACGCTTGCGAAACGTGGACCCCCCCTAATGGAACATCTTCGCCGGTTAGAAACATTTAGGCTGGCCTGCCTACGATCCATCCTGGGTTTAACCAGACTGGATTGTGTGAGGAGCTCACAAATCCTTGAAAGATCTGGGCAAGGTCCCATCGGTGAGCTCCTCCGGCGGGCAAGGCTGCGATGGCTGGGTCATGTAGCCCGCATGCCCAGCCACCGCATGCCTAAACAGCTTTTGTTCGGCCGGATCGAGGGGGCTAAACGGGTGCGGTACGGGCTAGAAAAGAGATGGAGTGACGTGGTACAGGAGGACGTGGAGCTGAGTGGACTTGCTGATGACTGGTACCAGCGGTGTCAAGATCGGCCTCTGTGGAGGAGGCTCGTGAAGGGCGCTACTGGGCAGTTGGAGGCAGTCGCCCTCCAACAACAACGGAGGGCGGAGGAGCGACGCTCACAACAACGAGCGGAGCGCCGGGTGGCTAAAGCACAGCAGGTTGGCACAGTAGGGGGCACAGGTGGTGCATCAGCCAGTCATCTCAGTCAGTCGACCCGTGGCACCTGGGTCTGCCCCGTGACCTCCTGCCAGCGGGCGTTCGACACTTCACGTGGCCTCAGGGTGCACATAGCCTGGCACAAGCGTCGTGGTGACGTCACCGCCACTTAGTGGCGAATGGCGGTTGTTGTGTGTGTCTATGTGTGTGTGTCTATGTGTCTATGTGTGTGTGTGTCTATGTGTGTGTATCTATGTGTGTGTCTATGTGTCTATGTGTGTGTCTGTGTCTATGTGTGTGTCTATGTGTCTATGTGTGTGTGTGTCAATGTGTCTATGTGTGTGTGTGTCAATGTGTCTATGTGTGTATGTGTCTGTGTGTCTAAGTGTGTGTGTGTGTATGTGTGTGTGTCTATGTGTGTGTCTATGTGTCTATGTGTGTGTCTATGTGTCTGTGTGTGTGTCTATGTGTGTGTGTGTCTATGTGTCTATGTGTGTATGTGTCTATGTGTGTCTAAGTGTGTATGTGTCTATGTGTGTGTGTCTAAGTGTGTGTCTATGTGCGTGTGTCTATGTGTCTATGTGTCTATGTGTGTGTGTATGTGTCTATGTGTGTGTGTGTATGTGTCTATGTGTGTGTGTGTCTATGTGTCTATGTGTCTATGTGTGTGTGTGTCTAAGTGTGTCTATGTGTCTATGTGTGTCTAAGTGTCTGTGTGTCTATGTGTGTCTATGTGTGTCTATGTGTGTGTGTGTGTCTATGTGTGTGTGTCTATGTGTGTCTATGTGTGTGTGTGTCTATGTGTGTCTATGTGTCTGTCTCTGTGTGTCTATGTGTGTCTGTGTGTCTATGTGTCTGTCTGTCTATGTGTGTGTGTCTATGTGTGTGTGTGTCTATGTGTGTCTATGTGTCTGTCTCTGTGTGTCTATGTGTGTCTGTGTGTCTATGTGTCTGTCTGTCTATGTGTGTGTGTGTCTATGTGTGTGTCTGTCTCTGTGTGTCTAAGTGTCTGTGTGTCTATGTGTCTGTCTCTGTGTGTCTAAGTGTCTGTGTGTCTATGTGTCTGTCTAAGTGTCTATGTGTCTAAGTGTCTGTGTGTCTATGTGTCTGTCTAAGTGTCTATGTGTCTAAGTGTCTGTGTGTCTATGTGTCTGTCTAAGTGTCTATGTGTCTAAGTGTCTATGTGTGTCTATGTGCGTGCAGCGCGATTGCGGCGTACAGCCCTGAGAACCAGCACACGTTTGACGCGTCGGCCTTCTTCAAGTCGGTGCTCAACTTCATCGTCATCCTCAGCGGGTCCTTCGCCATGGGCGCTGCCACCGGAGTGGCCACCGCTCTCATATCCTGCACCAGCACCGCCACCAGCACCACCACCAGCACCACCATCACCACCACTATCACCAGCACCACCATCACCACCACTATCACCAGCACCACCATTATCACCAGCACCACCATCACCGCCACCAGCACCATCACCACCATCACCACCACTATCACCAGCACCATCACCACCATCACCACCACTATCACCAGCACCATCATCACCATCACCACCACTATCACCAGCACCATCATCACCACCACGATCACCAGCACCACCGCCACCAGCACCACCACCACCACCATCGCCAGCACCGCCACCATCACGATCACCATCATCACCACCACCACCGCTACCAGCACCACCACCACCATCGCCAGCACCACCACCATCACGATCACCAGCACCGCCACCACCACCACGATCACCAGCACCACCACCAGCACGATGACCATCACCACCACGATCACCAGCACCACCACCAGCACGATCACCATTACCGCCGCCAGCACCATCATCACCATCACCACCACTATCATCAGCACCATCATCACCACCACGATCACCAGCACCGCCGCCAGCACCATCACCAGCACCGCCACCACCACCACGATGATCACCAGCACCACCACCACGATAATCACCAGTACCATGATCAACATCACCACCAAAACGATCACCACCACTATCGCCATCACCAGCACCACCACAAGCACCAACCACTATCGCCATCACCAGCACCACCACTACCTGCACCACCCGGACCACCACGATCGTCACCACCGCGATCATCACCATCGCCACCACAATCACCATCACCAGCATCACCAGCACCACCAGCACCACTACCACCACCATCACCACTACCAACGTTACCACCATCACATTTTGATGATAAATGGTTGTGATATTAATGGTGGTGATTATGGTGATGATGATGACGATGGTGGTGATGATGAAGGTGGTGATGATGGTGAAGGTGGTGTTGATGACGATGATGGAAACTAGCTACGGTGAGGATGCGGCTATGATGGCGATGATGGTGATGGAGTGGTGAGGAGGATGGTGAGGATATGGCGATGATGGCGAGGAGGTGGAGTGTTTCCCTTGACGGTCGATGTTGGTGTGGGTCACGTGACCAAGTTCACGCGGCTGCGCGATTTCCCCTTGCTGGAGACGGCTCTATTCTTCCTCCTCTCCTGGAGCACCTTCCTGTTGGCCGAGGCCTGCTCGCTCACCGGTACCGCTCACCACCACTCGCTCACCACCACTCGCTCACCACCACTCGCTCACCACACACTCGCCCAACCACACACCCAGACACTCGCCACACGCTCACCACTCACTCACCCAACCACACACCCACACACTCGCCACACACTCACTCTCACCTTCTTGCTCACTAACCTGTACCACACAGTCACCCACACACACTCGCTTACCCGCACACCCAATTACATACATATACCCACTCACTCATACACACACTCACCCACACATACACACTCACCCACACTCACACACACACTCACCCACACACACCCACACACACCCAACCACAAACTCTCACTTTACTGCTCGCCTGCTCACCACACACTCAACGACACACTTTCCCACACACTCACCCGCACCCTCACCCACACACCCAACCACACACTCACCCACACACCCACACACACCCCCTCACCTACCCACCCACTAACCCCACACGGTAACCGCCACCAATCACCACACACTTACCCACACACACACAGATTTTCTCGCACACACAACCACTCACCAGCCGCTCACCACCCATTCACCAAACACTCACCCACACACACACTCACACTGTCACCTTTATGCTCACCGGTACTCACTGCACACTCACCACCTACTCACTTAACACTCACCCTGTGAGTAGGCTGTGAGTGTGTGTAGGCTGTGTGAGTGTCTAGGCTGTGAGTGTGTAGAGTGTGTGTAGGCTGTGTGTGTGTAGAGTGTGTGTAGTCTGTGTGTAGTCTGTGTGTAGGCTGTGTTTAGTGTGTGTAGAGTGTGTGTAGGCTGTGTGTAGGCTGTGTTTAGGTTGTGTGAGTGTGTCTAGGCTGTGTGAGTGTGTGTTAGTGTGTGTAGGCTTTGTGTAGGGAGCGATAGTGTAGCGGTTAGCGCGCTGCGCTATGAACCTGGCGACCCGGGTTCGATTCCCGCTCACGGCCAACACCAGTGACGATTATCTGAACCGGTCCCGGGCCTCCCCTAGGTCGACTCAGCCTCAAATGAGTACCTGGTGCGGTGAGTAAACATTGCCACTAGGGAGACAAAGGCGGTCGGGCGTGGTGCTGGCCACCCACCCCCTTGTGTACCGTTCCGGCCTTCATAGGTGCTCGCTAACAGCACTTGCCCCTACAGTCTGTTAAGGCTATATGGGGGATCTTTGTAGGCTTTGTGTAGGCTGTGTTTAGGTTGTGTATGTTTAGGTTGTGTGTAGGCTGTGTTTAGGTTGTGTGTAGACTGTGTTTAGGTTGTGCGAGTGTGTGTAGGCTGTGTGTAGGCTGTGTATAGACTGTGTTTAGGTTATGAGAGTGTGTAGGCTGTTTTTTGGTTGTGTCAGTGTGTAGGCTGTGTGTAGACTGTTTAGGTTGTGTTTAGGTTCTGTGTAGGCTGTGTTTAGGTTCTGTGTAGGCTGTGTTTAGGTTGTGTGTAGGCTGTGTTTAGGTTGTGTGTAGGCTGTGTTTAGGCTGTGTGTAGGCTGTGTTTAGGTTGTGTGAGTGTGTAGGCTGTGTTTAGGTTGTGTGAGTGTGTAGGTTGTGTGTAGGCTGTGTGTAGGTTGTGTGTAGGCTGTGTTTAGGTTGTGTGAGTGTGTAGGTAGTGTGTAGGCTGTGTGTTGGTTGTGTGAGTGTGTAGGCTGTGTGTAGGTTGTGTGTAGGCTGTGTGTAGGCTGTGTGTAGGTTGTGTGTAGGCTGTGTGTAGGCTGTGTGTAGGTTGTGTGTAGGCTGTGTGTAGGTTGTGTGAGTGTGTGTAGGCTGTGTGTAGGCTGTGTGTAGGCTGTGTGTAGGCTGTGTGTAGGCTGTGTTTGGGTTGTGTGTAGGCTGTGTTTAGGTTGTGTGTGTGTAGGCTGTGTGTTGGTTGTGTGAGTGTGAAGGCTGTGTGCAGGCTGTGTGTAGGCTGTGTTTAGGTTGTGTGAGTGTGTAGGCTGTGTGTAGGCTGTGTGAGTGTGTAGGTTGTGTGTAGGCTGTGTGTAGGCTGTGTGTAGGCTGTGTGTAGGCTGTGTGGTGATTGGCTCTGCGACTGGCGCTGTGCCCACACAGGGATTGTGGCGGTGCTGTTCTGTGGCATCACCCAGGCTCACTACACCTACAACAACCTCTCTCCAGAGTCGCAGGAGCGGAGCAAGCAGGTAGTACTCACTCACTACCACTCACAACAACAACAACCGCCATTCGCCACTAAGTGGCGGTGGCGTCACCAGGGCGCGTGTGCCAGGCCACGTGCACCTTGAGGCCACCACGTGAAGTGTCGAACGCCCGCTGGCAGGAGGTCACGGGAGAGACCCAGCTGCTGCCATGCGCCGAGTGGCTGAGATGAGTGTCCGATGTGCCACCTGTGCCCCCTGCTTTGCCGGCCTGCTGCGTGCCTGGCAAGGCGATGTTCAACAATCCTCGCCGGGGACCTTTCCCGGCACACCGAGGAGTGAGATAACCCCTGTAGTTGTCACAGTCTGTGCGGTCCCCCTTCTTGAAGAGGGGGACCACCAGGGCATCCTTCCAATCCTGCGGAACCCGTCCAGCGGTCCAGACCGTAGTTATGATGTCGTGTAGGGCAGTCTGTGCACAAACGCCGCCCTCCCTCAGCACTTCGCTTGGGAGATCATCTCTGCCCCGTGCCTTTCCTGGTCTCAGACTCTGGATCGCCTTCAGTACTTCCTCAACAGATGGCACCTAAGCCAGGCACTCACGGGGGGGTGACTTCCTCCAATATTTTAAGTAAAGCAGCCTCAGCAGGGTCATCCCCACTTTGCCCTAGGATGTTTTCCAGGCTGAGGGATTTGCCCTTCGCCAAGATCTCACAGAAATGCTCAGTAAATCTGCAAACCTGTTCCTGGTGGTTGGAGATTGGATCACCGTTCTTTCCGCTAATGATAGGTGTGGCGCTGCAAGTTAATTTTTTTGATGGAGTTAGAGTGATTTGCATGCACACTCCTGTACACACACTCACACCTGTACACCCTCATAAGCAGATGTGTGCACACACACTCTTATACAAACACACACTGTTGTGCACGCACTCACACGTGTGCACACACTCACACGTGTGCACACACTCACACGTGTGCACATACAGGTGTACACACACACGTGTACACACACACATATACACACACACACACGTACACTCACACACACGTACACACACACATGTACACACTCACAGGTGTACACACACACACACGTGTACACACACTCACACGTGTGCACACACTCACACGTGTGCACACACTCACACGTGTGCACATACAGGTGTACACACACTCACGTGTCCACACACTCACACATGTACACAAAAACAAAGATCCCCCGTATAGCCTTAACAGACTGTAGGGGCAAGTGCTGTTAGCGAGCACCTATGAAGGCCGGAGCGGCACACGAGGGGGTGGGTGGCCAGCACCACGCCCGACCGCCTTTGTCTCCCTAGTGGCGATGTTTACACACCGCACCAGGTACTCATTTGAGGCTGAGTCGACCTAGGGGAGGCCCGGGACCGGTTCAGATAATCGTCACTGGTGTTGGCCGTGAGCGGGAATCGAACCCGGGTCGCCAGGTTCATAGCGCAGCGCGCTAACCGCTACACTACCGCTCCCCACCTCACACATGTACACACACACACACACACGTACACTCACACACACGTACACACACACATGTACACACTCACAGGTGTACACACACTCACACGTGTGCACACACTCACGTGTCCACACACTCACACATGTACACATACACGTGTTCACACACACACACACGTGTTCACACACTCACACATGTACACACACACGTACACTCACACACACGTACACACGCACATGTACACACTCACAGGTGTACACACACACACACTCAAACGTGTACACACACTCACACATGTACACACACACGTACACTCACACACACGTACACACACACATGCACACACTCACACGTGTACACACACTCACACGTGTACACACACTCACACAACAACAACCGCCATTCGCCAGCAAGTGGCGGTGACGTCACCACGACGCTTGTGCCAGGCTAATACGCACCTTGAGGCCACACTCTTGTACATAGACACTCACACATGTACACGCACACACGCGCGTACACACACACGCGCGTGACACACACTCGCGTACTCGTGTGTGAGCGTGCCCTGCTCTCTCCGCTGCTGAACGGTGGCCGTGCCCTCTCTGTGCAGCTGTTCGAGCTGCTCAACTTCTTGGCGGAGAATTTCATCTTCTCCTACATGGGGCTGGCGCTCTTCACCTTCCAGAGGCATATCTTCAACCCCATCTTCATTATCAGCGCCATGGTATCCTCCTCACCGTGTGTGTGTGTGGGGAGTGTGTGGGGTGTGTGTGTGTGTGTGTACAGGAGAGTGTGTGAGTGATTGTGTGAGTGACTGTGTGTACATGAGTGTGGTGTGTGTGTGTGTACGTGAGAGTGTGTACATGAGAGTGTGTGAATGACTTTGTGTGAGTGACTGTGTGAGTGTGGGGTGTGTGTGTGAGTGACTGTGTGTGTACATGAGTGTGTGTGAGTGACTGTGTGTGTGTGTGTACATGAGAGTGTGTGTACATTAGAGTGTGTGAGTGATTGTGTGAGTGACTGTGTGAGAGTGTGGTGTGGGTGTATATGAGTGACTGTGTGCGTACATGAGAGTGTGTTAGTGACTGTGTGTGTGTACATGAGTGTGTGTGAGTGACTGTGTGAGTGTGGGGTGTGTGTGTACATGAGTGTGTGTGAGTGACTGTGTGTGAGTGTGTGGGGTGTGTGTGTGTGTACATGAGTGTGTGAGTGATTGTGTGAGTGTGTGGGGGTGAGTGTATGTACATGATAGTGTGTGAGTGACTGTGTGTGAGTGTGTGGGGTGTGTGTGTGTGTACATGAGTGTGTGAGTGACTGTGTGTGAGTGTGTGGGGTGTGTGTGTGTGTGTGTACATGAGTGTGTGAGTGATTGTGTGAGTGTGTGGGGGTGAGTGTGTGTACATGAGAGTGTGTGAGTGACTGTGTGTGTGTACATGAGTGTGTGTGAGTGACTGTGTGTGTGTACATGAGTGTGTGTGAGTGACTGTGTGTGTACATGAGTGTGTGTGAGTGACTGTGTGTGTGTACATGAGAGTGTGTGTATGCGTGAATGTGGTGTGTGTGTGTACATGAGTGTGTGAGTGACTGTGTGTGTACATGAGTGTGTGAGTGACTGTGGGTGAGTGACTGTGTGTGTGTTTATGAGTGTGTGTGAGTGACTGTGTGTGTGTACATTAGAGTCTGTGAGTGACTGTGTGTGAGTGTGGTGTGTGTGTGTGTACATGAGTGTGTGAGTGTGGTGTGTGTGTGTGTACATGAGTGTGTGAGTGTGGTGTGTGTGTACATGAGTGTGAGTGACTGTGTGTGTGTACATGAGAGTGTGTGAGTGACTGTGGGGTGTGTACATGAGAGTGTGTGAATAAGTTGTGTGTATATTTGAATGTGGTGTGTGTGTGAATGTGGTGTGTGTATGTGTGAATGTGGTGTGTGTGTGCCTGTGTGTTTCTACTTGTCCTTGTGTATCTCCATGTCTCCATGTCCCTGTGCGTCCCTGTGAATCTTCGTGTCCCCGTGTGTCCCCGTGTGTCCCCGTGTGTCCCCGTGTGTCTCCATCTCCCTGTGTGTCTCTGTGTCCCCGTGTGTCTCCATCTCCCTGTGTGTCCCCGTGTGTCCCCGTGTGTCCCCGTGTGTCCCCGTGTGTCTCCGTGTCCCCGTGTGTCTCCATCTCCCTGTGTGTCTCCGTGTCCCCGTGTGTCGCTGTGTTTCCGTGTCCTTGCGTTCCACTGTGTCCCTGTGTCCGTGTGTGCCTCCATGCTGCCGCGTCTTCCCGTGTCCCCCACTGATTTGTTACTTGCCCTTGACTGACCGCCTACTCGCCCACTCACTCGCTCACTCACTCTCTCACCCACTCACTCGCCCACTCACTCTCTCACCCACTCACTCGCCCACTCACTCACTCGCTCACTCACTCTCTCACCCACTCACTCGCCCACTCACTCACTCTCTCACCCACTTGCTCACTCTCTCGCCCACTCACTTGCTCACTCACTCTCTCATCCACTCACTCGCTCACTCACTCTCTCACCCACTCACTCGCCCACTCACTCGCTCACTCACTCACTCGCCCACTCACTCGCTCACTCACTTGCTCACTCACTCTCTCATCCGCTCACTCACTCTCTCACCCACTCACTCGCCCATTCACTCTCTTACTCTCTCACTCTCTCACCCACCCATTCTCCCACCCACTCGCCCACCCACTCGCCCACCCACTCTCCTACCCACTCTTCCACCCACTCTTCCACCCACTCTCCCACCCATCCATTCTCACACCCACTATCCCACCCACTCTCCCACCCACTCTCCCACCCACTCGCCCACCCACTCTCCCACCCACTCTCCCACCCACTTTCCCACCCACTCGCCTACCCACCCACTCTCCCACCCACTCTCCCACCCACTCTTCCACTCACCCACTCTCCCACCCACCCACTCTCCCACCCACCCACTCTCCCACCCACTCTCCCACCCACTCTCCCACCCACCCACTCTCCCACCCACCCACTCTCCCACCCACCCACTCTCCCACCCACTCTTCCACCCACTCTCCCACCCACTCTCCCACCCACTCTCCCACCCACCCACCCACTCTCCCACCCACTCTCCCACCCACTCGCTGGCGCTCCGTGTGCCCGCCCGCCACAGCTGGCGATGTTTGTGGGGCGAGCGTGCAACATCTACCCGCTCTCCTTCTTCCTGAACCTGGCACGGAGGCACAAGATCGCGTACAACTTCCAGAACATGATGATGTTCGCAGGTGAGACACGCGGGGAGAGACACGCGGGGAGACACCCGTGGGGAGAGACACGCCGGGAGAGACACGCGGGGAGAGACACGCGGGGAGAGACACGCGAGGAGAGACACGCGGGGAGAGACACGCAGACAGAGACACGTGGAGAGAGACACACGGGGAGAGACATGCAGACAGAGACACGTGGAGAGAGAGACACGCGGGGAGAGAGAGAGAGAGACGAGACGCAGAAAGAGACACGGAGAGAGAGACGCACGCTAACAGCACTTGCCCCAACAGTCCATTGAGGCTACACGTGGGAACCTTTGTCTGTGTGTATTTGTCCCCCGTGCCCTCCTCTCTCCATGCCCTCTACATTCCTCTGTGTCTGCACGTCGCTCCGCCCCCGCCCCCCCCCCCAGGCCTGCGAGGCGCCATGGCGTTCGCGTTGGCCATCAGAGACACGACGACACCGGCCAGGCAGATGATCTTCAGCACCACGCTGCTCATCGTCTTCTTCACCGTCTGGGTGTTCGGGGGCGGCACCACCGCCATGCTCTCCTGCCTCAAGATCCGGTGGGTGGGCAGGCGGGCGGGTGGGCGGGTGAGCGGTTGGGTGGGTGGGTGGGTGAACATTTGGGTGGGTGAACATTTGGGTGGGTGAATAATTGGGTAGGTGGGTGGTTGGGCGGGTGGGTGGGCGGGTGTTTGGATGGTATAGTGAGTAGGTGGGTGGGTGGGTGGTTGGGTGAGTGGGTGGGTGGGTGAACATTTGGGTGGGTGAATAATTGGGTAGGTGGGTGGTTGGGTGAGTGGGTGGGTGGGCGGGTGTTTGGATGGTATAGTGAGTAGGTGGGTGGGTGGTTGGGTAGGTGGGTGGGTGGTTGGGTGAGTGGGTGGGTGCGTGAACATTTGGGTGGGTGAATAATTGGGTGGGTGGGTGGTGGTTGGGCGGGTAGGTGGGCGGGTGTTTGGATGGTATAGTGAGTAGGTGGGTGGGTGGTGAGTGGGTGGTTGGGTGAGCGAGTGGATTGGTGGGTGGTTTAGTGATTGGGTACAGTGTGTGTGGGCTACACGGGGGACCTCTGTCTGTGTTGTTGTGGTGGTGGTGTTTGTGGTGGTTGTTGTGACAGAGTTGGTGTGGACCCAGACCAGGATCTGCAGATGAACAGTGACAACTTCCAACCACTGCATTCGGTGAGACTCACTCACAAACACTCACTCACACACACAAACACTCAGTAACACAACAACAACAACCGCCATTCGCCACTAAGTGGCGGTGACGTCACCACGACGCTTGTGCCAGGCCATCTGCACCTTGAGGCCACGTGAAGTGTCGAACGCCCGCTGGCGGGAGGTCATAGGTGCCACGGGTCGACTGACTGAGATGACTGGCTGATGCACCACCTGTGCCCCCTACTGTGCCAACCTGCTGTGCTTTAGCCACCCGGCGCTCCGCTCGTTGTTGTGAGCGTCGCTCCTCCGCCCTCCGTTGTTGTTGGAGGGCGACTGCCTCCAACTGCCCAGTAGCGTCCTTCACGAGCCTCCCCCACAGAGGCCGATCTTGACACCGCTGGTACCGGTCATCGGCAAGTCCACTCAGCTCCACGTCCTCCTGTACCACATCACTCCATCTCTACTCTAGCCCGTGCCGCGCCCGTTTAGCCCCCTCGATCCGGCCGAACAAAAGCTGTTTCGGAATGCGGTGGCTGGGCATGTGGGCTACATGACCCAGCCACACTAATACTAACACACTCACTCATACACTCGCTAACACACGCACTCACACACTCACTAACACACTCACTAACACACTCACACACTCACTAATACACTCACTAACACACTCACTCATACACTCGCTAACACACGCACTCACACACTCGCGAACACACTCAATAACACACTCACTAACACACTCGCTAACACACTCACTAACACACTCACTAACACTCTCACTAACACACTCACTCATACACTCACTAACACACTCATTAATACACTCACTAACACACTCACTCATACACTCGCTAACACACGCACTCACACACTCGCGAACACACTCAATAACACACTCACTAACACACTCACACTAACACACTCACTAACACACTCACGAACACACTCGCTAACACACTCACTAACACACTCACACACGCACTCACACCCACAGATTCATTCACACGCAATTATTAGCACGCTGCGCTACAAACCCGGCGACCCGAGTTCAATTCCCGCTCACTGCCAACAACAGTGACGATTATCCGAGTGGATCTTGGGCCTCCCTTAGGTCAACTCAGCCTCAAATGAGTACCGGGTGCGGTGTGTAAACATCGCCACTGGGGAGACAAAGGGGGTCGGGTATGGCGCTGGCCACCCACCCCCTCGTGTGCCTTCACAGGTGCTGCTCGCTAACAGCACTTGCCCCAAAAGTCTGTTAAGGCTATACGGGGGATATTTGTCTTTTGTGTGTGTGAGTGCGTACGTGTTTACGTGTGTGCACGTGTCTGATGCGCGCGCGAGTGTGTGTGTCTGTGCGTGTGTGTGTATGCGTGCGTGTACGTGTGTGTGTACGTGTGTGCGTGTGTACGTGTCTCAAATATTGGAAGAAGTCACCCCCTGTGAGTGGCTGGCTGAGGTGCCATCTGTTGAGGAAGTACTGAAGGCAATCCTGAGTCTGAGATCAGGAAAGGCAGCGGGCAGAGATGATCTCCCAAGCGAAATGCTGAGGGAGGGTGGCGTTTGTGCACAGACTGCCCTATATGACATCGTAACCACGGTCTGGACCACTGGACGGGTTCCGCAGGATTGGAAGGATGCCCTGGTGGTCCCCCTTTTGAAGAAGGGGGACCGCACAGACTGTAACAACTACAAGGGCATCTCGCTCCTCAGTGTCCCGGGAAAGGTCCTGGCAAGGATTATTCAGCATCGCCTTGCCAGGCACGCTGAGGAGAGGCTTGCGGAGCCCCAATGCGGTTTCAGGAAAGGGCGGTCCTGCACAGATGCCATATTTTCTGTCCGTCTGCTACAGCAGAGGTGTAGGGAATTCCAACAAGACCTACATCTCTGCTTTATTGACCTGGTCAAGTCCTATGATACCATCAGTAGGCCTGGGCTCTGGGTCGTTCTTCGTGCTTTTGGAGTACCTGACCCTCTGCTCACGATCATTAAGGACCTTCATGATGGTGAGCAGGCCCGGGTAAAACTTCGTGGCCGGGAGTCAGAGCCATTCCCTGTACACCTTGGGGTGCGACAGGGATGTCCTCTGGCTCCCACATTATTTAACATCTATTTTGACCACGTAGTTCGTGAAGCCTTCAATAGCTGTACCGGAGGAATCTCCATATGGTACAGATATAATGGGAGGCTGATCGATGCCCGGGTGCGGTCAAGGGATGGCTCCCTATTGCTCAACCACGTTATGTATGCTGATGATTTGGTAATAGCTGCTCATTCAGAGGAGGAGTTGGAGACGCTGAGACTGGAGCGTGCCACTAAGAGGTGGGGCCTTACCATCAGCCCCACCAAAACTAAGCACCTGCCTGGGTATTTTGTACCATCGGACACTCCACCCCCACAACTCCCAATCGGTGATGGGGCAGTTGTGGAGAGAGTGGAGAGTTTCCCATACCTGGGCAGTGTGCTTATGACTGGCTCCAGTTTAACAGCAGAGGTCTCACTCCGAATCAGTCGAGCGGCAATGTCTTTTCATCGGTTGCGTAACGCTGTGTGGAAGCTACCTGGTCTGTCGCTCCGCACTACGCTTCAGGTCTTCTCGGCCACGGTCATTCCCTCCCTTCTCTACGCTTGCAAAACGTGGACCCCCCTAATGGAACATCTTCGCCGGTTAGAAACATTTAGGCTGGCCTGCCTACGATCCATCCTGGGTTTAACCAGACTGGATTGTGTGAGGAGCTCACAAATCCTTGAAAGATCTGGGCAAGGTCCCATCGGTGAGCTCCTCCGGCGGGGAAGGCTGCGATGGCTGGGTCATGTAGCCCGCATGCCCAGTCACCGCATGCCGAAACAGCTTTTGTTTGGCCGGATTGAGGGGGCTAAGCGGGCGCGGCACGGGCTAGAGAAGAGATGGAGTGATGTGGTACAGGAGGACGTGGAGCTGAGTGGACTTGCCGATGACTGGTACCAGCGGTGTCAAGATCGGCCTCTGTGGAGGAGGCTCGTGAAGGATGCTACTGGGCAGTTGGAGGCAGTCGTCCTCCAACAACAACGGAGGGCGGAGGAGCGACGCTCAGAACAACGAGCGGAGCGCCGGGTGGCTAAAGCACAGCAGGTTGGCACAGTAGGGGGCACAGGTGGTGCATCAGCCAGTCATCTCAGTCAGTCGACCCGTGGCACCTGGGTCTGCCCCGTGACCTCCTGCCAGCGGGCGTTCGACACTTCACGTGGCCTCAAGGTGCACATAGACTGGCACAAGCGTCGTGGTGACGTCACCGCCACTTAGTGGCGAATGGCGGTTGTTGTTGTTGTTGTGTGTGTACATATGTGTGTGTGTGTACATGTGTGTACATGTGTACGTGTGTGTGTTTGTTCATGCTATAGCAGAACGAGGGAGGCAGCCGGACCAAGAATGAGAGTGCGTGGCTCTTCCGCATGTGGTACATCTTCGACCACAAGTATCCTCACTGCGCGTCTCCCCGCGTGTCTCCGTGTCTCCCCGCGTCTCCCCGTGTCTCCCCGTGTCTCCCCGCGTCTCCCTATGCCTCCGCGTGTCTCCGCGTGTCTCTCCGCGTCTCTCCGCATCTCCGCGTGTCTCTCCGCGTGTCCCCGTGTGTCTCTCCGCGTGTCTCTCCGCGTGTCTCCCCGCGTCTCTCCCCGTGTCTCTCCGTGTCTCTCCGCGTCTCCCCGTGTCTCTCCGACGTGTCTCTCCGCGTGTCTCCCCGTGTCTCCCCACGTCTCTCCGCGTGTCTTCGCGTGTCTCTCCGCGTGTCTCTCCGTGTCTCTCCGTGTCTCTCCGCGTGTCTCTGTGTCTGTCCGCGTGTCTCCGCGTTGCTCCTCATGTCTCTGCGTCTCCCCGCGTGTCTCCGCGTGTCTCTCCGCGTGTCTCCCCGTCTCTCCCCGTGTCTCTCCCCGTGTCTCCCCGTCTCTCCGCGTGTCTCCGTGTCTCTCCGCGTGTCTCTCCACGTGTCTCTCCCCGTGTCTCCCCGTCTCTCCGCGTGTCTCCGTGTCTCTCCGCGTGTCTCTTCGCGTGTCTCCACGTGTCTCTCCGCGTGTCTCCGTGTCTCCGTGTCTCTCCGTGTCTCTCCGCGTGTCTCTCCGCGTGTCTCCGCGTGTCTCCCCGCGTTGCTCCCTGACTCTGGCCACCCTTCCAGCTACCTGAAGCCGATCCTCACCCACTCGGGCCCCCCACTCACCTCCACGCTGCCACGGTGCTGCGCCCCCCTCGCCCGCTGCCTCACCAGCCCCCACGCCTACGAGGTGAGCAACCCCCCCCCCCCCCCACGCTCCGTATCTACGTGTGAGTGGGTCTGTGTGTGAGTGGGTCTGTGTGTGAGTGGGTCTACGTGTGTGTGTGTCTCTGTGTGTGTCTGGGTCTACGTGTGTGTGTCTCTGTGTGTGTGTGTGGGTCTGTGTGTGTGTGGGTCTACGTGTGTGTGTGGGTCTACGTGTGTGTGTCTCTGTGTGTGTGTGGGTCTGTGTGTGTGTGTCTCTGTGTGTGTCTCTGTGTGTGTGTGGGTCTGTGTGTGTGTCTCTGTGTGTGTCTCTGTGTGTGTGTGTCTCTGTGTGTGAGTCTGTGTGTGAGTGGGTCTATGTGTGTGTGGGTCTACGTGTGAGTGTCTCTGTGTGTGTGTGCGTCTACGTGTGTGTGTGGGTCTGTGTGTGTGTGGGTCTGTGTGTGTGTGCGTCTACGTGTGTGTGTGTGTGGGTCTGTGTGTGTGTGCGTCTACGTGTGAGTGGGTCTGTGTGTGTGGGTCTGTGTGTGAGTGTCTCTGTGTGTGTGTGGGTCTGTGTGTGTGTGGGTCTGTGTGTGTGTGGGTCTGTGTGTGTGTGGGTCTGTGTGTGTGTGGGTCTACGTGTGTGTGTGGGTCTGTGTGTGAGTGGGTCTACGTGTGTGTGGGTCTACGTGTGAGTGGGTCTGTGTGTGTGTGGGTCTGTGTGTGAGTGGGTCTACGTGTGAGTGGGTCTACGTGTGTGTGGGTCTACGTGTGTGTGGGTCTGTTGGTGTGTGTGTCTCTGTGTGTGAGTCTGTGTGTGAGTGGGTCTATGTGTGTGTGGGTCTACGTGTGTGTGGGTCTGTGTGTGAGTGTCTCTGTGTGTGTATGGGTCTGCGTGTGTGTGGGTCTGTGTGTGAGTGGGTCTATGTGTGTGTGTGGGTCTGTGTGTGAGTGTGTCTCTGTGTGTGTGTGGGTCTGTGTGTGTGTGGGTCTACGTGTGTGTGTGTCTCTGTGTGTGAGTCTGTGTGTGAGTGGGTCTACGTGTGTGTGAGTGTCTCTGTGTGTGTGTGGGTCTGTGTGTGTGTGGGTCTGTGTGTGTGTGGGTCTCTGTGTGTGTGTGTGTCTCTGTGTGTGGGTCTACGTGTGTGTGTGTCTCTGTGTGTGAGTGGGTCTACGTGTGAGTGTGGGTCTACGTGTGAGTGTCTCTGTGTGTGTGTGTGGGTCTGTGTGTGTGTGGGTCTGTGTGTGTGAGTGTCTACGTGTGTGTGTGGGTCTACGTGTGTGTGTCTCTGTGTGTGTGTGCGTCTACGTGTGAGTGGGTCTGTGTGTGTGGGTCTGTGTGTGTGTCTCTGTGTGTGTGTGGGTCTGTGTGTGTGTGGGTCTGTGTGTGTGTGGGTCTGTGTGTGTGTGGGTCTGTGTGTGTGTGGGTCTACGTGTGTGTGTGGGTCTGCGTGTGTGTGTGGGTCTACGTGTGTGTGTGGGTCTGTGTGTGAGTGGGTCTACGTGTGTGTGGGTCTACGTGTGAGTGGGTCTGTGTGTGTGTGGGTCTGTGTGTGTGTGGGTCTACGTGTGAGTGGGTCTACGTGTGTGTGGGTCTACGTGTGTGTGGGTCTGTGTGTGAGTGTCTCTGCGTGTGTGTGGGTCTGCGTGTGCGTGGGTCTGCGTGTGTTTGGGTCTGTGTGTGTGTGGGTCTGTGTGTGAGTGGGTCTACGTGTGTGTGGGTCTACGTGTGAGTGGGTCTGTGTGTGTGTGGGTCTGTGTGTGTGTGGGTCTGTGTGTGAGTGTCTCTGCGTGTGTGTGGGTCTGCGTGTGCGTGGGTCTGCGTGTGTGTGGGTCTGTGTGTGAGTGGGTCTACGTGTGAGTAGAGCTGTGTGTGTGTGTGGGTCTACGTGTGAGTGGATCTGTGTGTGTGGGTCTGTGTGTGAGTGGATCTGTGTGTGTGTGGATCTGTGTGTGTGTGGGTCTGCATGTGTATGTGTGGATCTGTGTGTGTGTGGGTCTGCGTGTGTGTGGGTCTGCGTGCGAGGGCTCAGTGATCACTAAGCCACTTTCTAAAACTGTGTGTCCGTCAAGTCACGTAAATATAAATAATATATCACGACGATTCGATTCCTTGTGTTGCCATCGAAAACGTTGGGATTGATTACTTGTATTTAGGTTACTTGACCAAACGACCCAGCGAGTGTGAATTCCTGCAATCACGAAAGCTTTAAAATCAAGACTTCCACTTGCTTAAAGTCTTCACTAAGCTTGTGCCAGTAGTGTATAGTGTAGTGTAGAGTGTATAATAGTGTAGTGTATAGTGTAGTGTAGAGTGTGTAGTAGTGTATAGTGTAGTGTAGAGTGTGTAGTAGTGTATAGTGTAGTGTGTAGTGTAGTCTATAGTGTAGTCTATAGTAATGCAGTGTATAGTGTGTAGTGTAGTGTGTAGTGTATAGTAGTGTAATGTATAGTAGTGTAGTGTATAGTAGTGTAGTGTATAGTGTAGTGTGTAGTGTAGTGTATAGTGTAGTGTATAGTAGTATAGTGTAGTGTATAGTGTAGTGTATAGTAGTATAGTGTAGTGTATAGTGTAGTGTATAGTAGTGTAGTGTATAGTGTAGTGTTTAGTAGTATAGTGTAGTGTATAGTGTAGTGTATAGTAGTGTAGTGTATAGTGTAGTGTTTATAGAATCTGGGCTGCATGCACCCCCCCCGCGGGGGTGGGTGGGGGGCCTCTAGCGGCAGTGCCGCCTGTGCTACCACCGCCACTGCCACCGCTGCCGTCACCGCCACCAGAACCAGGAGCAGCTGGGCGCCGGCACGGGGGGCGACGACGACGACTCGGTGCTCATCCTGGGCGACGGCGACCTCATCCTCACCGCGGGCAGCGCCAACGGGCCGGCCGCCGACCCCTCCTCCTCCTCCGCCGCCGCCGCCGCCGCCGCCGCCTCGTCGTCGTCCGCCGCCGCCGCCGCCGCCGCCGCCCACGCGCACGACCGGCGCCAGCGTGGGCCGGCGAGGCCCGGCAACGGGCCGAGTCGGCAGGAGCAGCTGCGGCAGCGGCGGCAGCAGCCGGGGGCGGCCGCCGGCGCTTCGCCGAGGAGGCGGCGCTCGAGGAGGGCGGCGACCTGGGGGAGGGCGACGCGGCGGTGGCGCGAGGCACACGCCTCGTCCTGCACTCGCACGGCGGCGACGACGAGGAGGAGGAGGGCGGCTACGGCGCCCTCGCCTGACCCCCGCCGTGGCTAAGGTCAGCTGACCCGATGGCTTTGCGCTCTACCGGCGCCGCCGTCGCCGCTGTCGCCGCTGTCGCCGCCGCCGCCGTCGGCATTGTCGTCGGCTGACCGATGACGTCGTTGCAGTCGCCGGCCGGCCGGCCGACGCCGTCGTCGCCGTCGTCGTAGTCGTCAGCTGACCGGTGACATCACGCTGCACTTGCCTGCCGAGGACGCTCGAGCCTGATCATCGTCGTCGTCGTCGTCATCGTCACTATCGTCGTCGCCTAGTAACCGGCGCCGTTACCGGAATGCCGACATCATCGTCGTCGTAATCATCATCACCGTCGCCTGGCGGCCGACAGCATCATCGCCGTCGCATCTCCCGTGATGACATCATCGCCGTCGCATCTCCCGCGATGACATCATCGCCGCCGCATCTCCCGCGATGACATCATCACCATCGCCTGGCGGCCGACAGCATAATCGCCGTCGCATCTCCCGCGATGACATCATCGCCGTCGCATCTCCCGCGATGACATCATCGCCGTCGCATCTCCCGCGATGACATCATCGCCGTCGCATCTCCCGTGATGACATCATCGCCGTCGCATCTCCCGCGATGACATCATCGCCGTCGCATCTCCCGCGATGACATCATCGCCGTCGCATCTCCCGCGATGACATCATCGCCGTCGCATCTCCCGCGATGACATCATCGCCGTCGCATCCCGGGCGATGACATCATCGCCGTCGCATCTCCCGCGATGACATCATCGCCGTCAACCCGACAGCGTCGTGTTGACGGCGATGGGTTCGTGACGGTTGTGATGATGACGGCGGTGGTGGCGGTGGCGGTTGTGTTGGTGACGGTTGTGGCGGTGGTTGCCCGGTGTCTTGCCACTATGAATCTGCAGTCCGTGTGGTTGCCGTGATTTTTTTGCGATCGCCGCCACCGCCCCCTTTGTGTCCTCGTCCTCCTCCTCCTCGTCCTCCTCCTCGTCCTCCTCCTCGTCCTCCTCCTCGTCGTCGTCGTTGTCGTCCTGGTCGTGTTTTGATTTTTGCGCGGTTTCCCGAGCGAGCTTTTCGCGTAATTTATGATCGCGGTGAATTCTTGCGTGTCCGTCCGCCGCGTTCTTGTTGCGCTGCGTTGCGGTGCGTTGTGACGTCACGTCGCGTTGTGACGTCACGTTTGCGTTGTGACGTCACGTTGCGTTGTGACGTCACGTTGCGTTGTTGCGTTGTCGCGTTCAGCAGGCACTTTGTGCTGTCTGACCCCCTCGCGATCCTCCTGACAAGCCCCACTACCCCCCCACAAAAAATACAACAACAACAACCGCGTACCACTGATGCCATTATCACCATCACCACTACCACCATCAATACTATCACCAATACCATCACCACCATCACCACAATCAGTATCACCACCACCACGACAACCACGCACGACCGATGCCATCACCACCGCCATCACTACCATCACCACAATCAGTATCAACACCACAACAACTTAAACAACCACGCACCACTGATGCCATCACCACCATCATCATCACCACAATCAATACCACCATCATCACCACAATCAATACCACCACCATCATCACCATCACCATCATCACCACCATCACCATCATCACCATCACCATCATCACCACCATCATCATCACCATCATCATCACAATCATCACCACCATCATCAGCACCTATGAAGTCTACCGGCACTGTGGCACACGAGGGGGTGGGTGGCTACCAGCACCACGCCCGGCCGCCTTTGTCTCTCCCGCAGTGGCGATGTTTACTACACACCGCACCAGCTACTCATTTGAGGCTGAGTCGACCTAGGGGAGGGGCCCAGGACCGGTTCAGATGATCGCAATCACTGGGTGGAGGTGATCGCAATCACTGGGTGGAGATGGTCGCCGTGAGCGGGAATCGAACTTTGATCTCTGCTGGGTTCATCGCACTAACTGCTGCACCACCGCTCCCCACAAACTACCCAAACACCCCCTTCTCCCACCCCTAAGCTCTTCCGTCCTCAATATATTGATATATATTGATATATAAACTGTAATCTACTACCTTTTTTATTTGACCAGGTAAGGCCCACAGAGTTATATAGTTTTTTTTATTTCCATGAAAGGTGTTAGCGTCCCAATGTAATGATGGGGTGGGGGGGGGAGGTCGTTTTTTTTCTGCGTGGGAGAAAACCTCGCGCGTGCGAGGAGAGAGGGGGTGCAACGCTTGATCCCCGTTACAGATGTAACAGATAGAGATTAGTCCACACACAATCTGCTGTACCGCTTTCTCCTGCCAGAGGCAGGGGGTATGGCTCCTCCACGGCCCGCCCACGGGGAGTGAGATGTAACAGATGGAGATTAGTCCACACACACAATCTGCTGTACCGCTTTCTCCTGCCAGAGGCGGGAGGATGTCTTCGCATTGACAACCACCCACGAGACAGAATGGAGGGAGTTTCACAAAACCATCTGTGCCGGTGTTCCGCCAACCCCTCGCCGCAGCGCTGAGTCCGACGTTTCACCCCTCCCCCCCCCCAACAAGCCGGTATGAACCTGGCGGGCGTTTGGATGGGTGGCCACCGTTTGGGCTTGCCGGGTGTTGTTTGCCTGCGGCGTAGCGATGCGGCACAGATGGAGCGTGCCTTTGTGAATTGAATCCATCCGTGTGCGGCTGCTCCCCAGTTGTTGTTTTTGGCGTCGTCCTCTGACGTGGGACGTGCAAACTCCCCGTTGCCATCGTGGCTCGGGTGTGGGGCCAGTGGGAAAACCGCCACCAGTACCGTGCTGGTCTCACGCTGGCCCGGGTGTGGCCAGTGGGAAAACCACCACCAGTACCGTGCTGGCCCCACGCTGGCTCGGGTGTGGGGCCAGTGGGAAAACCGCCACCAGTACCGTGATAGCACCACGCTGGCCCGGGTGTGGGGCCAGTGGGAAAACCACCACCAGTACCGTGCCGGCCCCACGCTGGCTCAGGTGTGGGGCCAGTGGGAAAACCACCACCAGTACCGTGCTGGCCCCACGCTGGCTCGGGTGTGGGGCCAGTGGAAAAACCACCACCAGTACCGTGCTGGCTCGGCTGTGCCAGTGCAAAAGGCGTAGCAGTGAGGCTCCGATAAATGAAGATCATCATCATCACCACCGTCATCGCCACCATCACCCTTAGTAACGCTGACCCCCCCTGATTGAACCCTGAGTGAGGATGGGCGGCGTTGCACCGTTAAAACCACCCCACTGGGTCGTGCCCCTGTTGACCCCATAGATTGAGGTCAGGGGTCGAAGGTCTTGGGGGAGGATGTTGATGTCCCTCACCTCCCCCTCCCCGTGAATTGCCAAATGAAGTCGCGTGGTTCGTTGTGTGCGCGCGTGTGTACTGTGAACTTCTTTCGCACCGTGCGTAGCCAACCGTGCTAATCGGTGGGTGGGTGACTGAGTGTGTGGGTGAGTGTGTGGGTGGGTGGGTGAGTGTGTGGGTGGGTGAGTGTGTGGGTGGGTGAGTGGGTGGGTGGGTGAGTGACTGGGTGGGTGGGTGAGTGTGTGGGTGAGTGTGTGGCTATGTGAGTCTACCTTTTTTACCTTGAATTTATTTTGCAGCGTACTTAAGTCAACCGTGCTATTCGGAGGGCAGGTGAGTGTGTGGGTAAGTGTGTGTGTGTGTTTAACTTCGTTCGCACCGTATGTAGCCAGCCGTGCTCATCGTAGGTGCAGGGGTGGGGAAGGACAACATATTGAACACGCAAAAATCAGTTTAATAAACACATTCTATAAACACATTCTATAAACACATTCTATAAACACATTCTCCTGCGGAGGGAGGGAGCTGCTGGTAGTAACGTTGGGTTACTGCTCGGTCAATGGCCAGGGTCAACAACAACGGCGGCACCACGTGGTGGTGCGTTCCGCACAATACGCCCCACTGTGAGGGCGGGCACAAGCCGGCGTGAGTTGGTGAAACGTTGAGTTTTATAAGGGGGACACCACGGGGTGACCAGCCCCTCCCCACCCAGCCCCTCCCCTCCCACCCCCCACCCAGCCCCTCCCCACCCAGCCCCTCCCCACCCAGCCCACCCAGCCCCTCCCCACCCTCCCCACCCAGCCCCTCCCCACCCTCCCCACCCAGCCCTCCCCACCCTCCCCACCCAGCCCCTCCCCACCCTCCCCACCCAGCCCCTCCCCACCCTCCCCACCCAGCCCCTCCCCACCCTCCCCACCCAGCCCCTCCCCACCCTCCCCACCCAGCCCCTCGCCACCCTCCCCACCCAGCCCCTCGCCACCCTCCCCACCCAGCCCCTCCCCACCCTCCCCACCCAGCCCCTCCCCACCCTCCCCACCCAGCCCCTCCCCACCCTCCCCACCCCAGCCCCTCCCCTCCCTCTCCACTCCCTCTCCACCCAGCCCCTCCCCTCCCATTTGTGGATGCACGACGGGCGGACGGACACAATAATCCCGTGTGGGCTGCTCCTGGTGTAACTCGAGGTTCCTACACAGTATCAATGAGTTTGTCAATCTCGACGACGATTTTCAAAGTGCCATATCGCTCCAGTCGGTGGCTTCCTAATACCGGAATGAAGAGCGTTCCAGACGGCCGCAGAAGTGCATTTGAAAGGGCGACTGTGTATATGAGTGTGTGTGTGGGGAGTGGTGGTGCAGCGGTTAGCGCTACGCTGCACTACAAACCTGGCGACCCGGGTTCAATTCCCGCTCACGGCAAACACCGGTTGACGATTATCTGAACCGGTCCTGGGCCTCCCCTAGGTCGACTCGGCCTCAAATGAGCACCTGGTGCGATGTGTAAACATTGCTACTAGGGAGACAAAGGCGGCCGTGCTTGGTGCTGGCCACCCACCCCCTCGTGTACCGTTACCGGCCTTCATAGGTGCTGCTCGCTAACAGCACTTGCCCCTACAGTCTGTTAAGGCTATACGGGGCGGATCTTTTATCTTTGTATGTGTACGTGCTGCCCTTCATAGGTGCTGCTACTCGCTAGGCAGCACTTGCGCCTGACAGGCTATACATGGAACCTTCGTCTCTGTGTGTATGCATGGACGTTGAACTTCCTTTGCAAAGTACCTCGCCAACCGTGCTAATCGGAGGTGATGATGACGACGATGTTAAAGTGCAGCACATTACCCAGTGACTGCCTAACGTCTTTGTCCGGCGGCGGCGGCTGCGGCTGCTGCTGCTGCGTGGGAAAGTCGCTCGTGACAGGGTTCGTGTTCCTTGACGAGATCGGCGAGGCATTTGCGCGCTTTCGTTCGCTCGTTAAGACCGTGATGGCAACGAAGGAAGGGCTTAATGTGAAATCATTGCCGGCAAATAGCGTTCTCTGTTGCCTGCCGCAAGTGTGATAGGATCCAATCAGATCGCACAGGCGGACGGTCACGTGACGCACCCCAAGCTTGTAAGTGTCAAACGCGAGAATGCCCAAACCCCTAACTCCTAAACCTCTAACCGCAGCCCGGAGCTCCTAAATCCGAACCTCTCTGTCATCATCCTCTCGCCCTAACCCCCAACTTCTAACCCCCCTGAAGTCTTCAGCGTGAACCCCATCACGTGGGTACAAATAAGTAACAGGGCAGAGGTGCAGGCCCTTCCAAGTGGTTTGTTCATCCCATGCCGACAGGAAAAGTTGTGGTGAGTTGTGGTGGGTTGTGGAGGGTTGTGGAGGGTTATGGTGGGTTGTGGTGGGTTGTGGAGGGTTGTGGATGGTTGTGGAGGGTTGTGGTGGGTTGTGGAGGGTTGTGGTGGGTTGTGGTGGGTTGTGGTGAGTTGTGGTGAGTTGTGGTGGGTTGTGGTGGGTTGTGGAGGGTTGTGGAGGGTTGTGGAGGGTTGTGGAGGGTTGTGGTGGGTTGTGGAGGGTTGTGGTGGGTTGTGGTGGGTTGTGGAGGGTTGTGGAGGGTTGTGGTGGCTTGTGGAGGGTTGTGGTGGGTTGTGGAGGGTTGTGGAGGGTTGTGGAGGGTTGTGGTGGGTTGTGGTGGGTTGTGGAGGGTTGTGGTGGGTTGTGGAGGGTTGTGGTGGGTTGTGGAGGGTTGTGGTGGGTTGTGGTGGGTTGTGGTGGGTTGTGGAGGGTTGTGGTGGCTTGTGGAGGGTTGTGGTGGCTTGTGGAGGGTTGTGGTGGGTTGTGGTGGGTTGTGGTGGGTTGTGGAGGGTTGTGGTGGGTTGTGGTGGGTTGTGGTGGCTTGTGGAGGGTTGTGGAGGGTTGTGGTGGGTTGTGGTGGGTTGTGGTGGGTTGTGGTGAGTTGTGGTGGGTTGTGGTGGGTTGTGGTGGGTTGTGGTGGATGTGGTGGGTTTTGGTGGGTTGTGGTGGATGTGGAGGGTTGTGGTGGGTTGTGGAGGGTTGTTGAGGGTTGTGGTGGGTTGTGGAGGGTTGTGGAGGGTTGTGGAGGGTTGTGGTGGGTTGTGGTGGGTTTTGGTGGGTTGTGGTGGATGTGGAGGGTTGTGGTGGGTTGTGGAGGGTTGTGGTGGGTTGTGGAGGGTTGTGGAGGGTTGTGGAGGGTTGTGGTGGGTTGTGGTGGGTTGTGGAGGGTTGTGGTGGATTGTGGAGGGTTGTGG